AGTGCGGCGGTTCGCCGGATACTGCGCAACCCTGACTACAACTGATATGCTGTGATTTCTTCTTCCCTTCTACTACCTACTAGTATTTATGGATGTGTGGGGTGTAATTATATTGTTATCTGACTACAAGCGTGTAAAATCACAACGCTTATGATCACATCTACTTCTTAGTCTGAGACATCTCATACTATCGTTATACATCCTCCTCTGCGCCTACCGTTAATTCTCGAATAATCCACTATCCCCGTATTTGTATGTGGTAAGTCCGAACCAAGGCGAATTGGCGTATCAAACTTCACGGACTCGTGCAGGTACATACTTTTTCTCACCCGGAATTAAGATCTAGCGAAGCGGGGATAGTGAATTAACGGTAGTTACAGTAAGCTCCAATCATTACCTAGACCACAAGGAGAAAGCCGCCCATAGTTGTTCACAGCCGCATCTCTGAGTTCGTCCCCTCTAGTGTTTTGTATATCCAGTCCCCGCCAGCTCAGAGGGTGATATTCTGGTGGCGAGGCCGGGATACAAGTATGCACTAACCCACGGTTGTGGGTATCCATAGCACGCAAACGATACGACTGACTGTGTGTGGTTCCGTCACGGATTCTCACTCATTCCACATATATCGTGCAAATAAATTTTATTTTATTTATTCGTCAAGTAGCTATAACATTAAGAACGATGCACACGTATAAATAGATATACAAGAACAAGAGGTGTTAAAGTCTTCTATTTCGAGCATCGTTATTTGGCCATTTGGCAATCCCCCCCCCCTCCAAAAAAAAAAAAAAAAAAAAAGGAAAAGGAAAAGGAAAAGGAAAAGAAAAGAAACCCAGGCGTGTGTGAGAGCTTGGCGCAGCGCAAAAATACACCAATATTAGCTCTTTAATCACACCACTAGCTATCCTTGGCTCTAGTAGGGAACCATTGACAGAGAAGACACACTAGCTACATGTCCACTTGTCTCGAAAGGATCATATATCTACATGTAGTACTTCCACCCCTTCGCTCCTCGTCTCCCAAAACAATGTCATACATGGCTATGACTTCTATTCAGGCACAGTAGGGAATTACATCCCTCATTACCTTGTATCTCTGTATCTCTCATGCACTGCTATCTCACACCCCGCTCGCTGCTCATTACCTGGATTAAGCTACAGGGTGTATCTAGGTTAGCTACAACAGGGGCCAGCTGTTGAGTCATGTTTCTGACAATATTCGAAGAGACGTCTTTGGGTGATCTTGAGATTGGTTTCAACATCACCTTTACCCTCCTTTGTACCTACTCGAAGGTATTGAGCTACAGACATTTGGGGTTTGAATGCCGCCGTGCATATTACCCTGCAAGGCGCGGTGACTATGTATTTACGACTCACTATGTATTTACGGCTCACGGCCCACAACAGCATGAGTGATACCTCATGATCACACAGAAACACACACACCACAAAGAAACCGAGGTCATTACTCCAATTCCGCTTCGGATTACGTTACTGCATGACATCTTCAACCAAAAACAGAAACAAGGGGGAGAAGAAGACGAAGAAGACACAACTATCTTGGATGGAAAAGAGAGAGAAGGAAGAAAAGGGGGGGCGATCAGGAAAAAGGGAAGAGAGAACAGAAGCAAAAAATCCTTCTATACATGGTCTCGTCAAGTGCTACAATTTTTTATTTTTTTCTACGAAATCAGATCAGATCAAAGCTTTGCCTTGACATCTCCAGCCTTCTCGTCGGCCTTCTCGCCCTTGCTCTTGATTGCGGTGGCTTCTTCGTTTATGGTGACTTTGCCGCTCTTGTCAGTACCGTTGCCGAAGAAGATGACTTCGACAGTGAGGTCATCCCTGTTGATACATTAGCTTACCTGTCTATCTCAGCTCCGTTTTAGCCCAAGAGAACATACCTGTATCTTCTAGAGTACGGGCTTGGAAGTGTCAACAAAGCCGACAACTGGTCCTTGTTCTTGCCACCCATTGCGTTTCTGACCACATGTGTAGCCGCGTTGCGGTCCTCCCACACAAACCTCTCGCTCTCCTTCGCCGTTACTCCCCACTGCCTTATCCTGATGGGCTGTCTCTGACCAGTTGCATCGGTGGCTTCGCCCTCAACAGGGAGCGCACCTTGGTTCTTGCCACCAAATAATCCACCGAACCATGGTTTCCCACTCTTAGTAGCACCCTCCTGCTGCTCCTCAATCCAGCGACCAACAAGACCAACGACCTCCTCGTTCGTCAACATCTCCCAGAGACCGTCAGTGGCAAGGACAAGGAAATCGCCCTTATCAGGCTCGATCTGTGTAGTTGTAACAACCGGCTCGGCAGTAACATATGGCGGGGTCTTGAGTAGGGTAGATGGGGTGCGACCAAAGAATTCCTTCTTGATTTTGAGCTGTGTCTCGATGCTCCACTTGTAGAATGCATCACCGAATGCACGTGTTGGCTCCAAACCTCCCAATACACGTCCATTTCTGATCACGTGCTCTTCACCTGGGTGCTCAGCACGCATGCGCGCCTCCTCTTCACGGTTTGAGCCTGTCTGGTCTTCACTCAACGCGGTAGCAGTCCACTTTCCATTCGCGCCTCTGCGTCCAAGAACCGCGCGAGAGTCACCAGTAACCGCGATTTTAAGCTGCTTACTGTGGGACTCGTAGAACGCGAGGAGACCACAGGAGCCCGAGAGTGCGGGGGCGAGAGTCTCAGCAGCGACGAGCTTGCTGGGGTTCTTGAAGACCTTCTCGACGGATTCGTTAACAATCTCGTTGTCGAGGCGGAGGAACCCCTTTTTGATGGCGGCATCGACAGCCTCGGAGGTGGGCGCGGTGGCACTGGGGTCGGTGAGGGCAGCTTTGTAGGTTTCGTTTAGTTCGCGGGCAACCATGACAATAAGGGCCTGGCGAAGCTTCGCTGAGGTTGTCCAGCCACTGTGACGGGGGAATTGTTAGCATTGTCAAAATTCATGTAGAGCGGAGTATGTCTCGTGACTGAGCTGGTGGCTGTTTTGATGTATATTGTGAAAAATGTTTCTACAAACCTATGCCCATCAAACACGCCCCAAAACATCCAATCGCTGCTCGGCTGCCCCTCAACGGGGACAACCGTCTGCGGGACCTCGATAATCTTCTCGTCGTGGTCATCCTCGATGGGATCGTTGCTGGGGACCTGGACGACATCGTATCTCCAAACACCGCGTCCCCGGCCGACGATGTAGCTCTCCTCGTTCCTCCTCAGCTTCTCCGTAGCCTGCTCCGGTGACAACATCTCCACAATCTTCCTACCGCTGTTATCGACCTCCTTCGAGACCTTTTCGCCGGCAGGTAGGGTACCAGTGTAGAGGCTCTCGTTATCGATCAGGATGACCTTCTTGGGCTCCTCCGATGCTTTCGAGGCTGCTGCCGCTGGTGTTACGGCGGAGGTTGAGAAGGACTGGTGCTGCGGCTGCGAGACAACAGGACGGGGAGAGGACGACGGAGAAGAAGGAGAAAGAGGACTGCTATTACCCAAACTGGCCGAGATGCTGTCTTTGTAGTACCACGCACCGGCCAAGACCAGACCGCTTAGTAGTGCTATCGTGAATTGTTTTGGTTTCATGTTACCTGAGGGGGTAGGAGCTGCTGAGCTGCTGCTATTGCTGCTGCTGTTGCTGTTGGTGCTGCTGGAGGTGGAGAGGCTTGACGATCTTAGGGCACTGGCAACATTACGGGGGAGGATGGTTGTGCGGCGTGGGGAAAGGACGACACCCCGGCGGGCCGTTGTAAGGGCTGATGATCTGAGGGCCACTCTCTGCATGGTTCAGATGTGGGGCGATGGGGGGGGGGGGGGTGTGAGGAGAGGTAATATGGGGGGAGAGCGCAGGCAGGTAGATGAAAGAGAGGTGGGGATCGATTGAAGGTGATAAGGGAGATGAAGAAGAAGGGAGAGAGGGATGAAGAAGAGGTAATTCGTTGATGAGGGGGGCTCTAGAGACGAGGGGGCTCTAGAGGTGAGGTTCGAAGGATTATAGTGGTTAATTTTTTTTTTCGGACCCTTAGGATACACAAAGTGAAGGGGGTGTGGATTGGGGGGGGGGGGGGGGGGGACGTTGCGGTCTTGTGCCTTAGTTACGCATTTGCTCTATCTACTCTACTCTACTCTACTCTGCTCAATTCCTCTACCGTGGGCTTCCTGAGCTATCTTATCACCACAAGCACATCATCAAGCACAGGTACAGAAAGAGGTTGATGGGGCCCTATGATGCCATCTGTCTTGTGTTCACCGTGCAGAAGTGGGTCGTGCCCCTGCTCCAACTCTAATCTGGGGTGCCCGTTATCTTATCGCGCTCCACCCACTACACCACAAGCGTGCCCTCTAATTGAGCGCCCAAATGCCAAATGCACAACCTTGTGTATATTGTAGTATCTCTGGAGTTAATTGAAAACAGTAGAAGCGAAGCTGGTTGGTGATGGCATGATCAAAGTGTCAGCTCGACGTCAGGGTCCTATTCCGTCATCGAGTGCGAGCCTGTGAATGCAGATCTAGAGCATGCTGTACACGCGTACGATCATATGACTCGAGCCTCATTTCGCAGAGTAATGAATGATATTCACATGGTAAGATGATTTATAGCTTAAGGAATTATAAAGTAAGAAGGAATAAGAAGACTAAATATACCTCACCGTGAAACCCATTGCTCTCGATAAGAAACTGGAATGTACGTAAGTGCACGTGCCTTGACCATGAAATCGCAGCCCATGGAGAGGTCTGGCGGCGTAATCATTGATAGCAGGACTTTCTGATTACTAGGGTAATGATTTTCTAGTTTTCTAAAAATCAGGTGCTATTTCTCCAACCAGGAACGTACACTTAAAGAAACAATCCCCACCGACCCCTCTAACCCAGAACAAGAATCACTTACATCCCACTAAATGCAAAAAAGAAAAACGAGAAGAAAAAAGAAAACTAAAACTAAAATCTAAGCATCTAACTACCCCTCTAGTGGGCCTCCGCCCTCCCCCGCCCTCCACTCTACATCACTCTACACCCCCACCAACCCGCCGGCCTCTCACTCTCCCCATTCCCCACCTCCCTCCTCTCCACGTCATCATCCCCGTCCTCATCCCCATCCAACATATCATACTCATCGACAAACCCCGCCTTCTCCCTCCTCCCCTTCACCGCCGTCACCGACACCAGCCCCAGCTGAAACGGCCCCGACTGATGATCAAAGAAGCTCCTCGCCATCACCGAGAACCTCCTGATCCCGCCCAAATCCAAGTCCCTCTCCCCATCCCTCTCCCGCCCCCTATACGTCGCCTTAAAGTTCGACCACGGCAAATATATAATCTGCTCATCACCATTCGCGGCCCCGTCAGTGGCCTTGAACGTCGCCTCGTACGACAGCGTCGACTCCTCGCGCGCTCGCCCCGTGGCCGGGTCCCTGTACGCCGCGGGTACCACGTCCTTGATCACCAGCGTGAAGGTTTTGACGGTGGTGGAGTCGTTCTGCGGCGGCGCGGAGACGACGAGCTCGATGCCGGTGTAAGGCGCGAGGTCCCAGATTGCCTCTTCGGTGGTCCGCTGCGAGGCGAAGCCGGCGCCGCCGAGAGTGCTTGTGTCGAGGGTTCCGGAGAAGAGCGCGGAGGTGCCTTCGGGGGAGGGAATCATGTAGGACTATATTCACACCGGGAGGGACATTAACCTTTTTGAAAAACAACCCCCCAAACGGAAGACTAGTAGGGACGTACGACGGAGCTTCCTCCACGGACTCGGTCGTCTTGTGCGGTCCATTCAGAGGCGGTCCATGGTCTGGTTCGGTATTATATCAGTGCCAATTGCCCGGAAGAATAATGGCAGCTAGGGTGACTTACTTGGTGCCTCCAAAGAGGGGGAGACGGTCAGCAGAATCATAAACTGGGATCGGCATTGTGAGGGTTAATAACGCTGTGTAGAGGAGGAAGAAGAGAAAGTTGCAAAGATGAAGAGTGTTTGCAGTTGTTGGATCCCTCACAAACCAAACTGGCTATGATGTAAGGATCGTGGGTAATTCGGGAAACCCCGTAGGTACGTGGCCACGTGACGACGGGTATTTGAGGCGCTACAAACGCAGGTTAAAGGTGAGATCTAGAGGTAGAATGCTTTGTATCTCTGCAGCTGCGCATGCTTTGAAGCATTCACAATACTGATCGATAGGAGCATTAAATTGCCCACGGGGTTTGTAAGGCGTGACGTGACGTGACATAACTGACATACCAAGCCGTAGAACAACGCGGGAGGATATTCCGAGGACCATTGGGCTGACCCATTCCAGAGTATTTCTGGCCACCCTTGTTCGAACAAGCTCTCTGGTTGGCAATGATCGATACAACAACATCTAAGTACAGGGATTGGAAGTAACAGAAATATGGGAGAGATTTACTCTAGAGGATTCAACCTACTAAAGTACTTCTATCAATCCTATCTTATCAACCTAGGATTATCACAACCTAGGACTACTTGCCCGATTTTAAAGAGTAGGACGGAAATACAACGACCTCAACGGCGCAACGGCGCAACGCAACGCAACGAAGCCAACTCTCGACGAAGCCCAATGCAATGAGCTAGTTCAATTTGTTATGCCCGATAACTATTGTTACCAATATACTCCAGAAAAACGTATGGTTATGATACTTGCTCGGTGTTGAGGTGTTATATCAGGTGCGAGCACGTACGGTTGCGACTCACCCTTCCTTGTAACTACTTCCGTCCTACTCTTTAAAATCCGGCAAGTAGTGTTCTTGAACAAGATCTAAAACCGCCTAAATGCGGAAAGTCTAGGAACTCGTCCAGAATTGAGCAATTGGAGGAGATTGACTCGTCAATCTAGAAGGATCCTAGGAAGAATTGACTATTTACACGCATAGTAGAAATTCTAAATGGAAGCTTCTGGTTTAGTTCACCGGGTCAATTAATTTCAGCTCTGTTTAAAGAAGAGTCTTTAAAAACGACCAGCACCGTGCCGAGTCCCGCCGCCATATTGCTACCTCGGTATGATACTAGTACATACATAGACCAAGCTGAGGCCCATAATATACTATTCATTAAGGCTTGAGCCGCCTACTGCCTGGGTAATGTAGATAGTAGATACAATACCGTATCTACCGGACGTAGGGTAAAGTCCGAAAAGAAAAGGTACCGGAGTTTTCCAGATCTTCAAACTGCAAACATCAAGGTGCATCACCGAACGACCGGGCAGCAGTCCGACGACCCAAGCAAGCCTGCCTCACACACGAATCAGGGCGCTCCTTCTCCACCTTCCCAAAGTGCACCCCACTTCCCCGGATTTCTCCCCACAGCCTAACGAACTCTGTAGCTCCCGCCCCCTCACTCTCGGTTATTGGTCTCAGAGCCAATGATTGGCGCGACCACAACATCTACATGTGAGTTTCCGAGGCTGACGAGAGCTGAGGTCGATAAATAGCTTCAGGAGAGCTCTCCTTCATGTAAACTGTAATCATTATACGACCTAGCTCAATTAGAAACAAATAAGTCCACTCGAAATGCCTTACGAATCGCCACTTCCTCCGATTGACGGTACTGCTTCCCTGCGATATCTGTGATATATGTGAAACTGTAGCGTTGGGTATCATGATCAATTAATCAATTGTAGCTGACGCGAAACCCCGCAGTCCCCCCAACGTCCACAATCTACAATTTCCTCTTCGGCCCTACCTCAACAATAGCAACCACTCCCGCATCTTCCACGCGCTCATTCATCGATGCAGCCACCGACGCGCGCATCAGCTTTCCAGAGCTCAAACAGCTCACTACGCATCTCTCCACGGCGCTGACTCGACACTACGGACTACGCCCCGGCGAAACCGTTGCCCTGTTCTCCACAAACACAATATGGTACCCAGTCGCCATGTACGGAGTTCTGCGCGCCGGCGGTGTAGTCAGCGGTGCGAGTCCCGCATATACGGTGGATGAAATGGCCTATGCTCTGGAGAAGAGCAAGGCACGCTTTCTGTTTACGTTGCCGGGGTCGTTGAAGGTTGCTTTGGCGGCAGCGGAGAGGGTAGGGATGGAGAAGAAGCGGGTATTCCTACTGGAAGGTAGGGCGGAGGGGATTATGGGGTTGAGGCAGCTGGTAGAGATGGGAAGGAGGGTTGCAAACCAGACACCAGAGTGGGTAGTTCCCGAGGGGAAAGGTAATGGAGAAGCGGTGGCATTCTTGAGCTTTAGTAGCGGAACGACAGGGCTACCGAAAGCTGTAAGCCTCCCCTCCCATTCTTCCTTAAGCTGTCGTGATTTCGTAAGAGGAGATAATTAACCAGTAGATATCGTAGGTAATGATATCCCACAGAAATGTAATTGCCCAATGCCTCCAGATCCAAAAAGTGACCACTCCGGACCTAACCCGTGTGTTGGCGGCCCTCCCTCTATTCCACATCACAGGCCTCGTGCATATCCTGCACCTTCCTCTCCTCGTCAATGCCGATGTAGTCATGCTACCTCAGTTCACGCTCCCCAAGATGCTCACCGCCGTGGCCGACTACAAGATCCCAGAGATGCTCCTCGTGCCACCAATCCTCATCCGGTTGATCCGTGACCCCATAGTCGCCAACTATGACCTCAGGCACGTGAAGCGTCTCTCCTCTGGCGCAGCCCCGCTCTCCCGTGAGGTCATCAAGGAGCTTGAGAATAAGTTTCCATGGATGGGATTGAAGCATGGATATGGCATGACGGAGTCATGCTCGTGTATCACGGCCACATTGCCAGAGGACACGCAATTTAAGCACGGGCACAAAGTTGGGAAGTTATGTGCCAGCACGCAGGTGAAGATAGTTGACGAGAATGGAGCGGAGGTGCCGCGTGGGCAGCCTGGGGAGCTCCTGGCGAAGGGGCCGCAGGTCACAATGGGATATCTGGAGAATGAAAAGGCAACGAGGGAGACGTATGATTGTGAGGGGTGGCTCCATACAGGTGATGTGGCGGTTATTGACGAGGACGGCCATGTGGAAATTGTGGAGAGGATCAAGGAGATGATCAAGGTGAATGGGGTGCAAGTTGCGCCGGCGGAGCTGGAAGATCTATTGCTCGGGCATCCGAAGGTCGAGGATGTCGCAGTACTTGGAGTGCCCCATGAAATGATGGGAGAAGTGCCAAGAGCGTACGTGGTGCTTAAGGCGGGAGTGAAGCAGGATGGAGCAGAGGAAGAATTGGTGGGGTATGTGAAGAAGAGTAGAGGCGCGAAGGACAAGTGGTTGAGGGGTGGTGTGCGGTTTATAGAGAGTGTCCCGAAGAGTCCCAGTGGTAAGATCCTAAGGAGGGTATTGAGAGAAAAGGCGAAGACGGAGGATAAAGTAGTCGAGAAAGCAAAGCTGTAAGGAATATTAATTAGAGGTGGCCTCGATCCTGTACGTTTCTACACGTGTAACGTTATCGGATATTTTATGAATTGAGGATACGGAATGTCAATTCTTCATGAGGAGTCGTTAAATACCAGTCCATATATCGAGCTTTCTTTGTAACTCACTAAAGACAGTGGCTACAATAAAATCAAAACGAGAACTGCCTAAGCTTAATTGCGTGGCTTAATTTGTATTTATGTGACTACATCAAATCGTTATTAGAATCTTTATATCGTTAAATTTATAATGCTAACTCAAAATAATAATTAAGTTTTAATTGATACTTTGCTTCTACTACCAGAATAATATGGAACAGAGACCTACTGTGGTTGTTCGGAAATTTAAGCCCAGGCTTGGCTTACATAAGGTTCAATGATCATATTACCGGTTTTTGAATAACGAAAAGACTTATGGTGTTTTCGTATCCATCCTCATAATGGCAGTAAGTTTCTCATGAGTTTAGAGTTCTTATAATGTATAGCTCCACTTAGGGCCGAACAAGCGCCCACCCCAATGAGGCCAACCTCGCCACCAAGAAAATTCAGCCATAAAGGATATCAATGAACAGCTCGCGTAGATGTGCCCCATCGTAAAAAAAATTTCGATTCAAGTGTTCCCATACAAATCTAGTCCGAGAGTGAATGAAAGACTCAAACTCAAAGTTCGAATACTCGGAAAAGCAAAAGCGAGAAGAATAGCTCTCTAGCCTTGTTCCAGCCCAACAGAAGTGCCTAAGTCGAACATTGTGTATGTCTTCTTAGCCCGGGGCCAAGCTAGCTCGAGCTAGAAGCGAAGTCCGACATGCCCAAGCCTCTTAGACACTATGATCGAGATCTCCTCTACACCCATAATCTCGGACCAACCACACTAGAGGGGTTGGAACTTCATATCGCAGTATATCCTGCCCACAAAGAAGGGTTGAATAGGCTTCGCTTACACCTAAAATCTTCGACAAGCCCACCGAGCAGTCTACATCTGAGCACTGTAATTGTGATGACACCTCCCGTAATTTTGGAGATGACGATGCACACATCAACTCTGATTACATGTAGACAGGGCCCTGAGACCTAGAGGGGTATGCGTAGCTGAAAATGGCCTGGCACCTGTGTCTCTATCTAGTGGACGTTAGCCATAGCTAGTACGTCAATGAAAGGGCCAAGGATAGTTCATACCAGATGATAGGATGTAGTTGAACATTTTAACATCATGTTCATTTTAACGGTAGTGGCAGGGTGAGAATTAAGGTTGTGTGGCTACATGTATTCATGCCACTGCACTCGCACTCGGTACTTACATGTATGCAACACGTAATACAGCTACATGTACCTATCAAAACTATAAGTGCCCGTAGATCTCTCTTGGCCAGAATCCTACCCAGGTATATGTCTCTGAAATACATATGTAAGCACTAAACTGCCCACCCCCACTCCCCTCATAGTGCATGTTAACCAACTCAGCACATACAGAGAAAAGACACCCGGCGCCCGCTATAGACGGTGTTGGTGCCACACAGAGACTTCAACGGCGTGCACACCACGCAATAAAGCAGTCCCTAGGACTCTTTTGGATAGGGAGTTTATGTCCTTTTATTCCATCACCTTCTGGCTGTGGACAGGGGAATGTGATGAAATATGTATTGCGTTGTGGAATTGTTTACTTTGATGGGAGTTCAGCTTTTGTTGGTGGGTTGTGTATGTTGGTATGCGAGGTAGACATGGGCTGTGCTTTTGCTAGCTCACTAGCAGCTCCTACGCCTTCATGTGCGTTATCGAGTAGCATTATATTTCATCCTTCAATCCCTTGATTCGTTGCGGACGGAAACGCCGAGTCAAACTTCAACCGGATCATCAAAAGCAGCTGCGCTAAGGCTTTTCTGCTTACTCATGAGTCGTCACTCGCTTTATTGATGTCTATTATCTATATCATGCATCCCCGGATGTTGTATAGCTCATTGGATCCCTCCCCGTACATATAGCCGCCCGATAGAGAGACTTCCCCGCTAGACGGGAGGAAGATCATGTGGTTCAAGGGTTCGGTTCCTAGCTGCAGCCCCCTTAGGAAGCGACATAGCCTGCGGAAACTGTAGAGCGGTGCACAAGAGAGGACAAATCAGGGGGCCTATTGTAAGTCAACTTATTTGCACCTGTCGCGGTCTGTGCTTCTTTAACTAACCTATCAAAACCTTGGTCTTGGAGAAATAAGGTGAGCTTGAGAGAGTAGAGGTCACAGGCTATCACTCGGTGATCAGGGGATCTTTTGGTGTTGGCGGAGCGGAGATACGAGGGAGAAAGTTGGATTTGTCAGTAGAATAAACATGCAGAAGATTTGGAATCGATCCCTCCATTCTTACCCCTACAGGTGCAATGTGTGCACCTCGGGTATAGGGGAGACATGCAGGTCTGCCCCAGATAACATTGGAGCTGGAGCTACAGAAAAACGCCGTCTTGGCGGGCAGCCATTCTTCCAACCCCTGGGGTGTACAGATTTATAATAACCCAGCGAAACATATGGCGTATGCAAACAAAATCCATTCTCCATATATATCAGGTTCCGTGCTATGTGTCGAGTGTGCTCTAATTGGCGATTGGTGACCAAAAATCTGGCTTCAAAGGCTTCGAAATCCAGAGAACACAGCTCGGTAGCATCGAAGGTGTTCTTTTGGCTGGCATGCACTCATGTCTGAATCGCGGCACAACCTTCTGTCGGAAGCACCACCCATCCCCTCATCACGCTTTCTTCGCATGTGAGTAGCTTAAGATCGCCTGAACTTTGAGCCAGGTATTGAGCAGCCTTCTCCTCGGTAAACCGAAAATTGCCACCTGCAGATGATTACTACGTCTGGAGTTCTGAGCCAATTCTCAACACAGCCATGATAGGCCCATAGGATTTTCGTTGACGCCGCGCCGAGAACTACATGTAAGTGTCCACCCGCAGCCTTGTTCTCTACACAATCGTCGATATGTATATGAGCTTCAAAAATCTTAGTTTACTAACTGACGTCAAGATAGGACATAGCCAGCCTTCTGCTACCCGATACCCCTGTTCTCTATTCCACAGGAATAACGTTTTGGAAGCCACGCCGCGAGTCTGCTTCACAAGGTGTCTGTTACCCATAACTACCACCAAGAGCACGGCCACGAATTCAACTACTACTACAAGGATGTGTATCCTGAGGTATGGACATACCTAGGAAGATATAGCGGTTGTAAGGCTGAACCTGGTAAGGCCTTCTTCAATCGATACTAGGGCCTCTATGGAACCCTGAGGATTGCATTTTCCAAGATACAGCATGCGTGCAAAGAGCCTGTGCTACCACATGTGCATGCTCACTTATCGATAATGGTGCCCGATGCATATTCTCATGGAGTTCTCTAGACATAGAACGAACACGAAAATGCGTTGATTCGTTTCTCAGTTCACGGATATTGTCTCGAAATGTAACTTTGTTCTGGATATCGATATCTCATCTTTTTTACTCGGAGGGATCTTGAACATATCTTGTTGGTTGGTAAAACCCATTTCAATTTCCCCGTGCATCGTAAACTTTGAACACATCCCTGTTTTTCAGGTTACATCTACCTTTCTTCTCAATCTCTGACACATACCTATCTATATTCTAGAGACAAATCAACAATCAAAATATTGAAGGTGTAATACCTCAATCAACCGCATACCGGCCAACCAATTTACTTGCTTTAACCAAGCCCCCACCCCTCCCCCTTGTTCATATCACGAACCCGTGTCCACGAGACCTGCCTGACTCTACCGACTCTAGGCACTCCATATTGATATGCTACATCAACTCGACCATAGATGGGAGAGTTCCCACAATTTCCCACTGCGTTTCTCTACGTAAAAACAAAAATGTAAAACAAAATCTGATTACTTCCCCAGGCGCAATCACCGATCCCGTCCCTCGATAACAACGCATGTCTCACCCCCCCTGGGATCGAGCCTCCTATCAAGCTTTTGGACGAGGCATGCACAAGGCACTAGAGTAGAAACTCGTACCTAGTTGGTATCAATGGTCAAAAGAAGCCTTCTTACATGCTCTATCTAGAGTACGAGTCCTCGTAACTTCATGCAGGAGAAATTTGGAATGAATTATGCAGGTGTATGTATGTACCTACATGCGTGACTGAATTTGAGTTTTTTAACAGGAGCTTAACTATATAGATCTGTACTTTAGAGTATGCAGATCATATGCAATATGCACACTGCAGGCTTTTGACTTTTACAGGGAAGGGAAGGGGAGGGCTATATGATGGGATGTTATAGGTAGCAGGTATGTGCAAGACTCTTCCCAACCTATCGGTGAGGCCAAGTGGGAAACTCCGCTGCCAAAGGCCGATGTTCTTCCCTATTTAGGATATCTGGACTCGGGGGATTCCAGGTTACCGGTGATCTAGAAGGAGAAGAAGCGGAAATATCCGCCTCACTCTCCGCCGTCCGGACCTTTGACTTTTGACTTTGGTGCATTTGTGTATATCACCGTTGAAGCAAGGAGGATGGATTACATCGGGCACTACAACAACTGGATCAATTTTATACATTACAGACGGCTAGGCCTTCGTATTTTTTTTTATTTTTTTATTCAAGCGCTGGAAAAGGGAAAGAAAACAATTAATATACATTCTCGCTTCTCTCCCTCCACTGCTAACCCCTAACGAGTATCCAAATATCCGTTTTTATACGCGGCCTTCTTCAGCTTCATGCACAACGAGTCTCAGTTACTTTTCTCTGTCCAATTGGACCATTCTCACCAATTACTTTCTTTTTTTTCTTCTTCTTGGTTGACCAAGAATCTCAACCAAAAAGTGCACAAAAAAACCAAGAGAAATGCACCCACTCACTTTCGAATTTAGGTATTTACAGTAGCCACAATAAAGTCCCATATTAAACTCCCACAAACTCCCAATATCAGTTTTACTTTTTTTTTCTTTGTTGCAGCAACTACTCCACCCCCCCCCCCCCCCAAGTATGTAGAGTACAATAGCATATTCGCTCTCCCCATGCCCGCCAGTTTGAGTGCAGTATCCTGCCCGCCTAGTTGCACGCACTAGTGCTGTGCTGCATCGTGGTTATCGTTGTAGGTTATACAAAGCTCGAATCGAATATAAACATCCACTACCATCACTAACCACCAGCCCAGTGACAAGAAAAATATTTATAAGAAAATAAAATCCCAGGACAAAATTAACGCCCCGTAAGATGATATATGAAAGAAGTTGAAGTAGCAATAGTAGCAGCAGCAGTAGCAGTAACAAGCTTGTGATGGGTGGTAAAAAAAAAGACGAGGGAAGAAAAAGAAAAAAAAAACATCCTCAACCAAGCAATTAAGCCACCCATGTCCAAAAAACGAAAAAAAGTGAAAAAAAAAAAACTGTTCTGATGTTTTCGTCCCCCAACGTCCCATTGATTGTTTTTGCCCATTGTTATTGCCCCGTAGAATCCTCGTCCCTAACTATTGTTCCTTCGACAAATTGTGCCTCCAAACCCGACTCCGCCGCCGCCTCCCCCGAAGACGAAGACTCGGCCGGCGACGCTGCCAACGTCGTGTTCTGTAGGGCGTGCTGCTGCTGTATATGCTGAAAAAGCACGCACTCCCCAAAGATGTAACTATACTCACCACCGCCGCCCTCGCCATCGCTCCACTCCTCCTCGTCCCCGTCGCCATTATCGTGACTCCAGTCGCTTTCCTGTTCGGTCCCATAGCGCCCTCCGGTCAGTCCCTTCTAAATTCCCGATATCATCAAGATGCTAATGCTAGAGGAAAGGGTAACAGACCTACCTCTTCGTTGGCCGCCACCGCCACCGCCGCCGCCGTTCCCGATCCGCTACCACTGACCACGCCGTCGGGCTCTGGCAGCTCGGCGTTGCTGCAGCCGCCGCCGCTGGTGCTGCTGTTGCGTTCGCTGCGCAGCAGGTGCAGCATCTTGAGCCGGTCGAAGAAGCCCTTCTTGCGGTTCTCGAGCACGGCGTCGCTGGCCTCCTGCAGCGTCTTTATGCGGGCGTCCCGCTGCGCTTCGGGCAGGTTCGAGGCGGTGAGGATGGTGGTGTTGAGGTGGAGGAGGTTCTCGAGGAGGTCCGGCGAGTCGGTGATCATGAGTACGGAGACGTGCTGCATTATCCTACACCATGTGAAGGGGTCGCGCGAGGGGACGTTGGGTGGGTAACAGGGGACTATATAACACCGGCGCCGCCAGTCAGTCAGTCAGTCAGCTACTACTGCACCTCCTCCTCCTCCGGGGGTGGGGTGGGGTGGGGTGGGGGTGTGTGTGTGTGGTGCGGGTGAAGAGGGAGGGGTGGGGACAAACATCTCAAGCTCGGCCTCCCGTCTACATACCAGCTCGAGGTATTCAGCGGCAGCCCCTCCAGCGGGCACGATGTGCAGTCCGCGCGCATCTCTATGAGGGTGTGGAAGTTTGGGTCGTCGCTGCGCGCGCCCCCCTCCTTCAAGAAGGCCTTGAAGAGGACCATCCAGTGCGTGCCCTTGAGGTCCTGGTCGCTGTGCAGCCAGTCCTCGCGCGCGGTCCGGACGAGGGTCGTGTAGGCGCGGAAGTAGCCGTCGGGGGCGTGCGCGAACGACCAGGCGCTTGGAGGGATGGCGGCGACATCGAGCAGGGCGGCGTGCGCGGGGAGGAGGTCGGTGAAGTGGCGGCGCCAGTGGGGGTTTGATGTTGCGGAGGAGCGGAGGGCGTGGGAGGTGAGGCGGAGAGAGGCGAGGTCGGTGGGCGTTAGGAGGGAGAAGATTTGGTGGATTACTAGTGAGTGGGGGTGTGTGTGGTCAGCGAATGTCTTTCTATCTTTCTTTCTTTATTCTTCTGCTTCTTCTGCTTCTTCTTCTGTGGTATATTGAGGCCAATTGCGATATTGGGGGCTGCTATCGTCGCGGTTTGGGGACGTGGCGATTGTAGGTATCTCAGTCGTGTCATTGAACCTCGCTCGACACTCAAACTCGACTGACATGACATGATATGCCAAAAATGACAAGCATACAAACCACACACGGGCAGGCAGACAGGCAACATTAAGGCTGAATAGGGAAAACAGGAAGGGGCTATGAACAGCAGCAAGCAAGCAAATCAAGCAAATCAAGCAAGCAGTAGCAGTAGCAGCAGCATAAAGCAACCAAGAATTAACGAAAAGGCAAAATAGAAACAAAAACAAAAAAACGTGGGAATTGATTTGTATGTAGCAAGCAGTAGGTAATAAAAAGATGTAGTAGTAGTAGTAGTAGTAGTAGGACAACCAAGATCTGTGTATCCATCCCCCAGCATCATCATCATCACTAATTTCTCACTCTTTCCCAGATAAGATCTCTCTCGCTCACTCACTCTCGTTCCCCTTACCTTCAAGTGGAAGATTCTCCAGTGATAACCCGTTCCCGCTCGCCATTGCTGGTGCAGTTGCAGTCGTGATCTCGGCCCTGGGGCTTTTTCGAGGCGGGCTGCTGCTGTCAGTCTGTTTCCGGGAAGAGGGAGGAGAGCAGCAGTCGTTTGTTGCTGCTGGCACTGCTGTTGATGATGCTGGTGCTGAGGCTGTTGATGGTTGTGGTGGTGTGGACGACGACATTGATGATATAAGAGTAGTCCCGGTAGTCCCAGTAGTAGTATCGGACAGACCCATGGTTGTCTTCTCCATTTATGTAGAGTATCGGGGGTGTGTGTGAGGGAGGGAGGCCGGGGGGGGTGTGTGTGTGGGAAGGATGGGGAAAAACTCCTTGGGGGGGGGGTGTCTCTGGTCTGTCCGCGGACTAGTCCGTCTCCTCCTCTGTCAAGACTGGATCTGTCGTCCGTCTCTCTCTGGCTGGCTGGCTGGCTGTTTGTCTGTCCTACTCTGTTCTACTCTACTCTACCGGCAGCGGGAAGTAACTCTACTAGTACATACAGTGTGCTACCAGCATTAAAAGTAGAGTAACTGCGCGCGCTACCTACTGTATGCCAGTAACTACTCTCTTCATGTAAAATCGCGATGCAACAATATGGGCTAGGCCCCGTTTCTGTTCTTTTATGCTTTTTTATTAGACATATTGGCTGACTCTGTGGTGGTCGTGGTGGTGGTATGGTAAAGTGGTTTTGTTTTTTCCCTTTCTTTCTTTCTTTCTTCCTCCTTCTAAGGTTCTGAGGTTTATGGTTTACCGATCTTTTTGCTTTTTTGTATTATCCTTTTCTTTTTCTTTTTCTTATTTTCTTATTTCTTTTTTTCTTTGCTCGAGGTAAAGTAGAACCTTTTTCTGCGACTGAGGTCCGTGTCTGGCTTTCTGTTTTTTTATTTTCTTTTCTTTTTGGGGGCTGTTTCTGTTTCTGGTCTTTGGGGGGGGGGGGGGTGAGTGAGGGAGGGAGGTTTTACAATGCTTTCTTTTGGCTGGTGCTGCTGATTGAGTTGAGTGTAAAGAAGAAAAAAGAAGGGACGACAGACGACGACCAAAACCGAAGCCGCAGTTGCTTTTCAATCAATTGTACCCAGGTAGAGTAGATAGAAGATGGTGGCACCCTACCCCCTTCCACTTCCCCTTCCCTACATACCCCCTCCTAGTAAGTAAAAAAAGAAAGGAAAGAAGGAAAGAAGGGCGATAATCCCCGTAGAGACATATGTAGGGATGCGTCGCACAGAGACAGCACGAGAAGGGGCAAGCGAGAGGAAGTGGACTACGGACAGGTAACCTTAGACTACAGTACCTAGCTACCTCCTTGAGGTCCTCGTATCTAACCTTACCACCTCCTCCTCCACAGATAGATACTTGTTTACCACGAAAAGAACCAGAAAATGCAGTTGCTCAGGGCAAGGATTATTTGTATGGAGTGGCGGTGATCTCTCATATAAACTATCCCTGTTTCCGTCACTTGCATTTTCTGGTTCTTTTCGTGGTAAACGAGTAGATAGACAGACAGATAGATAGATTGACAGAACAGAACAAGAACAGACGAGACGAGACGAGCAGGCAAAAAAAGTTAGGCGGCCAGGGGGGGCCTGAGGCCTGCGTCGTCGCGTTGGTACATGGTAGAAGAGTAACTAAAGCTAAACGTGGGAAAAAGAAGGTTTCCCTGCGCTAGAGTACTGCTGCTCCTGCATGACAAGACTGACACTGGGTGAAGCTTTTTTCTTGTAGCAGAGGGAGGGTCGAGGAGGGAAGTGTCAAGCGATCAGCACTAGCACTCAAACTCGAGATTGACGAGCAGCGGAGGCTTATGCACTAAGTACACAAGAGCTTGTTGCTGGGAAGTTGAAACGCCTCTACATATGTATGGAGTGCTCTAACAGGCCGTCTGAACCCCAATTAATTGCCTACCTGTGAGGAAATCTTCGTCTCCTCTAGCCTCCCCAAGCTAGCTAGCCAGTTAGCTGGTTAGGCGCGTGTTCGTGGTTGGTTCATCTTGGTTTTGTGGTGGTGGTGGGTGGTTTCGGGATATACTTGTTTACGGGTACATGTAGGTGCGGTCTACTGGGCTCCGTAGACGGGCGTACTCTATGTAGGAACGAGAAACTTCTGCCGGCCGGAGGGAGGGAAGGGTGGACAGCAGTTGATAACGTATGCGTTTTTTTTTTACTATCGTGGAAGTTTTCCAGACGATTTCTGCTTCCAACGTGAAGCATTTGGCGTGTTGAATAAGTAGACGAGGGGAGGGGGCGGGGATGGAAGTCGTCGACTCCCTTCGAGAGCTTTGGAGAAACTCGGAATTGATTGCTAGTCTAGGGGGAGGGATCCATCTATCCCAGCAGCTTGGGACCGAAGACGGAGGTTGATGATGATCAATCAAGATAGCTCTAGAACCAAACAGGCCTAGCGGAGTGATTGGTGCCAAGGATACTGTATCTATGGGAATCTCGAAAGGAAGAATTAAACGATGGAAGATATGATTGATTTGATTGATTACTGTACTCGGCCAGCGAAGATCACAAGATAGGGTTTATGTAGGATGACATAGTTGCTGTGGATTGCTCTCTGTATGGGTCGCCGGTGATTGACACAAATGACACTGATGAGCTCAAGCTGTTCGCTGGGGCGTCCATTCAACGCGCATCTGAGGAGATCACGTGCCACAGGCGGGGGGCTGTGCTGGGTGCGGGAAACATTGTTTACTTGTTTCAAGTCCTGGGGCTCAGTACACTCATCACACTCATCGCTCGGCTGCGCACGAATCATACTCGATATAGGCGCCTTGTTCTTGCGAACATTTCCATACCAACGCCGAGTACTATGCAGCAGGTAGTAGACCGTAGACGGGGAAGAATACATTACATAGCCTTTGTAACACGCGCACATATAGCCTTTGTAACCACTAGATGCGTCACAAATTCTTTCAACTTCACTGCACCTTCATCATCTGCCATTACCGCTGTGATCCCAACAGTTGAGTTTAACTGAGAACTTCGCCCATATTTCTGTTATCGCCGCCGCCCCCGCCGCCTGCGACTCAGGGCCCTATCAAACATAAAGCGTCCTCTATAAGGGACGCGTTATAGTCCATTTTTCTTGCCTACATAGCTCTCGATAGGACCACTCGATTTACTTGTAAAGAGAGAAAGAAAGAAAAGAAAAGAAAAGAAAAAAGGAGGATAACACGGTCCTTCTCTGCATTTCCCCACTTCTTACCCACATCTGTCAAGCAAGCAGTCAACCAGCCACCAGTCAGTGCAGCAGCAGCAGCGCAGTGTTACCGTCGCTCCTCGTACGTTCAGATCTTGTTTCCTGTACGAGAGTCGACTCCACATATGTATGTCAGCCAATAATATCACGATCTATCGGTCCCCCCCTTCCTTTCTCATCCCTTCCCATCCACTGTATGTACCTGGAGCACATCTTGCTAATACCTATTCCCGGGTCTAGCTGCAGCTACTACCAGTAGAGTACCTACATACTACTGCCTGTTACTACTCTACTACCATTCCCTACTGTAGCAGTACCACCATGGCCTACTACCAGCAACCTCCTCCAGGGAACTATCCCCCACCACAGCAGCAGCAGCAGCAGCAGCCACCCCCAGGCGGCTACCCACCGTACCAGCAGCCATATGGGGCCCCGCCATCCCCATACATGCCACAGCAGCAGCAATGGGGCCAGCCGCCACCTCCTGGAGGGTACCAGCAACCCCCGCCGCCCAGTCCTGGGTTCCAAGGACCACCCACCCCAGGATACCCACCGCCCCATAGCCCAGGATTCCCACCACCGAGCCCAGGCTACGGTGCCCCGCCGCAGCAGTTCCAGCCTCCTCCCCCGCAGGGATACCCCCCTCCACAGCAAGGATATGCCCCCCCACCACAAGGCTACCCTCCCCCGCAAGGCTACCCCCCACAGCAGCAAGGATACCCACCTCCACAGCAAGGGTACCCGCCACAAGGCTACCCCCCAGCACCACTCGTGCACCGCGACTCCAACGGCTACCACCCCCCCGCGCCGCCGCAGGGCTTCCCGCCCCCGCAGCAGGCCTCATACCTCAACCCCCTCGGCGTCGGCGGCGGCCCCCCACCACCAATCGCACACACCTTCCCGCCCGTCGCCCCGCGCATCATCCCCACCGCCGACATCGACATCATCTACAAGGCCTGCAAGGGCTTCGGCACCGACGAGAAGGCCCTCATCAGCGTCTTTGGCTACCGCGAGGGTGACGTCATCGACGCCATCCGCGAGCAGTACTCAACCCACACCAAGCGCGACCTCATCACAACGATCGAGAAGGAGACGAGCGGAAACTTCCGCACCGCCCTCAAGGCCGTTGCGTACGGGCCCAGCGAGTGCGATGTCTTCTTTGCAAACCTGGCCATTGCGGGCTTTGGCACGAACGAGAGCATGCTCACAGAGTCGATCATGGGGAGGACGAACGCGGAGGTTAATCGGATGAAGACGATATACCCGCTGCGCTATAAGGAGTCGTTGGAGGCCGCTGTGCGCGGCGACCTCTCGATGAAGACGGAGAAGCTGTTCATGATGGCGCTGTCGGGCCAGCGGATCGAGGACTGGGAGCCGATAAACCCGCAGGTGGTGGCGAACGATGCTGCTGCGATCCATAATGCGTGTGCGGGGCTAGGCACGGACGAGCTGCTGGTGTGCTCGGTACTGACGCGCGCGAGCGAGCCGTATCTGAGAGCGCTGGCGACGGAGTATAAGAACAGGCACAAGACCGATCTGGTGAAGCTCATCAAGAAGGAGTTCTCCGGGCATATGCAGGATGCGCTGGTGTATATTGTGGAGGGCGCGCTGAATAGGCCGACGAGAGATGCGATACTGCTGGAGGCGAGTATGAAGGGCATTGGCACGAGGGATGAGTTGCTGATCTCGAGGCTGGTGAGGATGCATTGGAATAAACACCATTTTGAGTTGGTGAAGAGGGAGTTTAAGAGGTTGTATGGGAGGGATCTGCAGCAGAGGGTCAAGGGGGAGACGAGTGGGGATTATGGGAAGTTAATGGTTGCGCTGTGTTCTTGAGGGATGGGATTTTTTTTCTTCTTTTTCTTTCTTTCTTTCTTTCTTTTTTTCTTGATGTTTCGCTTTTTTTGTGGGCTGCTGATGATGATAAATGGTGTGTGTTTATTTATCTAAGAGGGAGATAAAGAGAGAGCCTAATCTGTATTTATGTTGTTTTCTTATATGGGGCGGCTATGTCTGCGGTTGGGTGGGGTGGGGGGGGATTTGCTCTTATGTCTTGGCTTGTGCTTGGGCCGGAGGTTGGTGTGTAAGGTAGTGCCATTAGTTGCTATCGTTTGCGTGTGGGTTGGGATATCTGTTAGTGGCTCAAAAAAAAAGTAGAAATTGTTCCTTTTTTTATATCCATCTACTCTAGTTTTTAATGATTGTTCTTGCTCTTTCTTCATGTAGGCTAACTATATCACGAATCTTTTTATATCTTATCTTAGCGGTGCGTACGGAGGATTGGGACTCGTGATAGACCTCCAGGCTGTCTATATCAAAGACACTAGCCTTCGAGGGCCTGCATGGGGCGGGGATACGTACGTGATAGTAAGGCCTTGAGCAGATAAGTATGCCCCGTATCCGCCACAGATGTGGCGCTGTGGCAGTGCGGTCGAGTGATGTATTGTGACTGCAGTGCGCATATGTCGTTGGGCGAGAAAGGATGAGCGCCCTTTTGTCCTTTCTATGGGGCTGATCTATAGTTATAAAGAGAGGGCTTAGGTATGGTATCTCTGGCGAGCTGGGGGTGAGGTGAGTTGGGGTGAGGTGTGGTTCTTGTGGGTGTCTGATCGATGCAGGGGAAGGGAAGGAGGGGTATCTTTTTGTACTGTGGTTAACGTTGGTTGGGGTCTGTTGAGATGATGGTGTGACTGCTGTGATGGGGGGGTGTACTGGTATGGCGGGTGGAGGTGTGGGCGGGTGGTTGTGGGGTTTCTAGCTCTCAGCTCACGACTTTCAAACCCTTTGCTCACTCGCGATACAGGTTGGAACTCGCTTGGCAGATATGGTGGGTATCAATGGGTTCTATTCTTCTGCTCACCCTTCCTACACGTTCATATGGGGGCAGCGGCGTTAGGCCGGAGAATTAGGGAAGGAGGGGGGGGTGTTGGGTTTTACTTCTTTGACTCTGATACTGGGGGGAAGCGTTAGAACTCATGATCAGCTATAGGGAGAGGGGTGGGGGGTGGGGGGTGGGGGAGTGGTCATTGATACCTGCACTTTGCGCGTACCGCCAAGCAGTCACGCTAGTTGGTGTTAGTAGTAGGTGTTGTTTGTGGGAATTCATTACGGCTGTTGTTATTGTCAACTAAATTGTTGCCAACGTTTCATTATGTAGTTTGAACGCTGTTCTAAACTATCTATACTCTTGTCGCGGGGCTAAATGTTCTCTAAACTGGATCTATAAGGATGGTATATTCCCACCCTCTTCCTTGTTTTAACAGTCAGTTCATACTATCAACTTGGCCGGTTCGGCTCTACTGCTCCTCTGAAGGCAGCAGGCAGACACCCGCAATTACAATGAGCGAGTGATACGCCATGACTACACTACGCAGCGTTCCTGCTCCACGAACGAAGCGCATGGCCAAATTAAAAAAAAAGATGCTTGTCATACTTAAAGACGTGCGTAGACTGCCTCTTCCGGAAAGATCACGTCTACAGACTCGAACATCTGATAGCAGGTGGACGGATTCTGCGCCCCACTCTGGCACCCACCGCGTGTAGGATGAGTACATGTATGTTCGCCCTTACATTCAGACTCGAGCCGCACTGTCGTGGACAATGGGATGAAAAAAAAGTCTATAAGTCATTGGTTCTATTTTCCCTGGGGGCGGGATGCTGTCTATCGAAAGCCCCCCCCTCTCTTCCTAGTGGGTTCTTTTAATTTTATAATATGAACGCGGGTCCAAGAAAACTTGACTTATGGGCTCAAACCTAACAAGCCCAAATCAGCCAACCGATCCACCCAAAAGCTTCTCCTGCTGATGCCTAGGGAATGTTTTAAAGGGGGTGTATATTATATTTTCTCAGAAGCTCCTTTAGCTAGTAGGAGGCTCGACAATATCAAGTTATATTAGTTGAAACCTAATGTCCGAGGATACTAGAAAAAAAAAAGATTAAGCGAATACTCTTAAATTTGTGTTCTGACACCACCATCAGAATCTTTGCGCTTGATATAGTCTATGTACTTGTTCCTACTTGTTTCCCATATCTGGAGGCTGTGGGGGAATTGATGTTTGTTAGGTTTCCTTTTCGCGGGTTGTTGTGTTGCATCCCGGCCCCTCTGTCGACCATAGGTCAGGTTTTCTCAGACCCGCGTTCACATGTATGTACTTGCTTACAGCCGGTGTCCATGTGGATATGTATCTGGTGATGCACTCTATTGGTCCAAGAAGCACTATATGGCATTATGCTACTTCTTTTCTTTTAGAAGTGTGTATCCCAACAGAAGGGAAGGGAAGGAAGGAATGCCGCGGTCCCTTCTAATAGGGTCATAAGGTGTCACTCGGCCATTTACACTAGCTAGCTGTATCACCCACCTGCCAATAGAACTACGTATTGGGACATCTGTTATAACGCCGAGTCTAGCAGATGCTGAAGAGTATATGGAGGGGCCCGTATCGCTCCTCATCATCACTCGAAACCTACCTGCACCCAGGAACTCCACTGCTTTACAACCCCAACCCCACCACAACTCCCACTCCAACTCCGCTACAACCCCCAGATACTCACCTATCCGCCCCAAAACACCCCGAAACAAAAAACCAAACCACACAGCAGCAACAATCCGCCCTGAATTAGCAGCACCCTACCTAAGAAAGCCTATTATACATGCAGATAAAAAGATTCGAAACAAAAGAGAGAAAAAGAGAGAAAAAACCCACTCCACTAGTCGAAGTCCCGATTTTCAAACCTGTCCCTATCGAAATACTTGGCGGCGATGGTATTCCCATTAAAGAGCCGTCCCTGGAGCGCTTGTATCGCCTATTCACACATGGCCCGTCAGTCAGTCACACATCCCCCACTAACCACCTCCTCGCACCCTACCAAACAAAAAAAGAAGAAAAGAGAGAGAAAGAAAAAAAACCCACCCTCAGCGCACTCAACTGGCTAGTAAACACCACAAACACCCTACTCTTCGTGCGGCCCTCCATCCAATGTATAAACACCCTCTCCACCTTGCCATACTTGCCCTCACACTCCTCGCCAATCTCCTGCACCAGCACGGCCTCGTCCTCGTCCTGCAGCCCGTCCACCATGCTCTCCAGCACCACCACCTCGCTGATCCCCCCCTCGCCGGGGTTGGCGCGCTTGTTGCGGTCGACGATCTTGCCGCGGCCGGCGAGGTCTTTGGACTTTGACGCGGCGACCATGCGGAGCGGTTGCACGATGCCGCTGGAGTCGGCGCCGAGCCCCGTGCCGGATTTCCAGCCGTACTTGGACATGAGGCGTTGGGCGAAGCCGGCCTGGCCGGGGAGGGTGGAGCGGTCCTCGTCGGCGGGGGGCTGGGGCGGTGGTGGGGTGGTGGGGCGTGCTGGTGGGGGGGAGGCGGGAGGCGCGGGGGCGGGGGCGGAGTGGTTGTAGAGGATGGGGGCGCGGGAGATTGTTGCTTCTGGCTGCACGGGGGGCGGTGGTGGGGGTGGTGGGGGAGGCGGGGGGTGGAATGATGGTGCTGGTGGGGGGGGGGTCGGTGTTGCGGCGGCAGCAGCGCCGTACCCGGCTTGTCCCATCTGCGACATGCGGATGCGGCGCGCATATGCATCCTCTCCCGACGCATCATCCGGCACCTCCGCTGGCGGCGGCGGTGGTGGAGGCGTCGGCTGTGACCTTACTTCACCACCACCACCACCACCACCACCCAGCGACGGCGGCGGCGCAAACGAGTACCCCTTCGGCGGCGCAAACCTCCCCGCCGCAGCCGCCTTGTACGCGCCGTCCTCCTCGTCGCTGTCCCCGCCCCAGCTGTCGTCCCTCTGGCGGTGGTGGCGGCGGCCATAGACCCTCTCGCGCCAGTCCTGCATCTCCCTGACCTTCTCGTCGCCCTCGCGGTACTCCTCGTAGCTGTTTGGGCGGCTGGGGTCGTAGACGTCGTCCCAGTTTGTGGGCGGCGGCGGGGTGTCGCGCGCCTTTTTGCGGCGCTTCTTGTTGCTGCTGCCGGTGGTGTTGCTGCTGCGGTGGTGCTGCTTGGACGTGCTTGAGTAGAAGCCGTTGACGTCGTCGTCGCCGCCGGTCCAATCCTCGAGCGTGGTTTTTGTGATGGGCCGCGGGGCGGTGGAGGGGGTGGGGTCGGTTGTGGTGTTGGTGGTGGTGGTGGTGGTATTGGTGGTTGTGGTGTTAGCGGTGGTGGTGGAGGTGATGGGTTTCATGGAGATTTTGGGCTTGGTGGGTTTTGTGGGTTGCGGGCGTTTTGTGATTGTGGGTTGGAAGCGGAGGGATGCTGTGGCGGGCGGGCAAGTCAGTCAGCCAGTCAGCCAGTCAGTCAGTCGGTCAGTCAGTCAGTATCCTATCTATGAGTGCTAGTCCTCATGATGTTTGCTATCTACATGTAAATAGCTATGAAATGCACACACACACATACCAGCATTCAACTTCTTCTGCCCCGATCCCGCACCTCCAGCTCCCGCTCCCGTCCCAGCTCCTGTAGTAGAATTCCCATCCTTCGAGCTGCCGCTGTTGGCGCCCGCAGCTGCAAACACAACTGGCGCACGGGAGATTGAAGCCGTGCTGTTTGCAGTGCTGGGCTCGAGGAGGTTGGCGTATAGGCCTGAGCGTGCCGGCGGGGGGTCTGGCATTGCTGTGCTGTGAATTGGGTTTCTCTGCTCTGGCAGACAGACGGACGGACGGGCAGAGAGATAGTCGCGGTTTGTGGTATGGATGGTAGGTATTGATTGTATTTGGTGTAGAGTTGTAGAGTGTGCAATTGCTGGGTCGGGGGGTGGTGGGTGTTACCCTGCCTGCCTGCCTGCCTGCCTGCAACTTGCCAGGGCCCACCAACCAACACAGACAGCTCCGTGGTTCCCCACCATTTACGTGTGTGCGGGGAGCTCTCGTGCAATCATATTCTAGAGTACTAGCAGCTACTCTACCTAGCTAATTATAAACATGTAGACCCCTCCCCCCTCCCCTCCCCTCCCCTCCCCTCCCCACCTCATCAATCAATGCTCCTCAAACCCCGCCTCTTCACCCCACTCCTCCGCTCAACAGTAACAGTAAGAACAAGAACAACCATCCCCAATATCCGCACAATGTCCGCTGCTGCTGCACCGCAGAAGATTGAGTGGCTCTGCATCATGCCTGACCAGCCGGATGCGCTGGCGAGGAGGGTGGAGGTTAGGCCGTAGGTGTCCCTGCTTCTTGTGTGTTTGTGGTGGTTGTGGGTGGTTGTGATTGTGAGTGTGGTGGTTGGTGTATGAGTGGGATTGGGATTGGGATTGGGATTGTATTTGGTGCTAATATATCTACAATACAGAAAACATTTCGCCGGCCTACAAGCACTAATCGACAGCGGGTTCATCAATTTTGGCGGTCTGCCTCCCCCATTCCTCCCCCTCCCCCTCCCCTCCCCCTCCCATCCCTCCCCCCTCCTCTCCCACCACAACTACTAACATACCGGACCCCAGGCGCATACCTCGACGAACCCGAGCAACCCAACACGCCACTCGCCTTCCGCGGCAGCGTACTCACCTGCCTGGCGGCCACGCGCGAGGAGGTCGAGGAGACGCTGCGGAAGGACCCGTACACGGTGGGCGAGGTGTGGGACTGGACAAAGGTGCAGATCTATCCGTTCAAGTGTGCGGTGAGGTTGCCGTTGGTGAAATAGGTGGCTGGCTACATGGCTATGGCATCGGTTGGGGGGGGGGGAGTGTGATGTGGTGTGGTGTGGTGTGGTATAGTGATGCGGATATATATATATTCCAATATAGCTGAGCTGAGCTGTGGTACTACTTACTACCTACGTATTTTACTACTGACGTTCCGTTCATTTGAATTTATGTGCCAGTGAGAAGGCTGCGACTATTGCCTGTTCAATTGTTTGCTCCAATACGTTGATGTCGATGCTGGTTAACTCCAGTCCCCTTCTTGGCCCCTCTCATGGGGGTCTACATTCATACGAGTGATCATCCATGATTCTACAAGTAATGGGTATAACTCGACTATTTTATGAAATAAGTACAGAACCATAACCATTCCCCTCGATCCATTCCCCCTTTTTCTTTTGTTTGCCGTCCCCCCTCCTTTCCTTTCCCTTTCCCTTTTCCTTTTTGCCATTCCCACCGTCCCCCCGCATCCGCCCAAACATAAAAAAGGACATTCACTACAGCACTCACTCACTCGCATTCACAATAGGATGTTTCCAGGGAGGAGGGGGTTCACCGCGCTCGCTCGCTACAAGAGGAAATAAAAAAAGAAATGACATGAAAATTTAAAACATGAATATTGAATATAAATAAAAAGAAGCCGAATCCCCCCCTCCACCCCACTCCCCACAATCCACTGTTGAAAGAGAAAAAAAGACCAGCATACCCTATCCATAGATACTAATACGAATAAATAATACCTCGCCGCGGCCAGTCAAACAACCCCCTATCATCATCATCGCTCAGCAACAGAAAGAAGAAAAAATAAGAAAACACTAAAGCAACAACAAATCTAGTTTGCGCATCCGTCATTAAAAAGAAAAAAAGAGTGAACATAAAAAACAGAGCCCATCGGATAACCCAGCTAAAGTGAGGATAAATATAAACCTACCCCCCTTCGCAATGCTTCTTCCCCCTTCCGCTACTAGGGTGTGAGGATGCTTCCGATACTCCGTCCAGTCCCACCCTTTCCCCCTATATATAGCCGTCCGACGTCCTTGCATACATATCTATATTATATTTTTACCCCAATCCCTCCTGCCTTTTTCCCCCCGTCCTTTTGCTTCAGCTCTGTGCTTATGCCGGTCGTCTGCCCAAGTTTCCGGGCTTCTCCTCCGTATCAATGTGCCAGACGACATAGTTTGGCAGACCAATCACTTGGTATCCGGCACGCTTGGCCATCTTTGCGAATCCTTCCGTCTCGGCTTGATTCTCAAAAGCGTAGGCAGGGAAATTGACTCCTGGGAACTTGTTAGCCTGAAGTTCATGGGGCAAGATTAAAAAGTGCTACTACGAACCCGAACGATGAACATCAGCCTTTACAACAATGTTGACACCACCAATACCATCGAGCTCTATCTCCTCATCCTTGTTGTTGCGCCAATCACCCATCTTGGCCATGTACTTGCGCCCAGTGTCGTATTGCTTGTAACCTATTAAACAAAGTTTGAGTCACGTGATTCCGGTATCATGGGGGTGCGCTCCGGATGCAAACCTTCGGCGAGGACGGTGTCCTTGGGTAACGAGGCAGCCAAAGCAAGGCCCTTCTCGGATTCTTGCCATGAGTTGTAATCGACTGCGCGTGAATTGGGATATTAGCTTAAATGTAACAAAGAAACTAAGGAAAGAAAGAAAAAGTGGGGTACGCACAGCGTCCTTCAATGTCACGGCCGTTCTCATATCTGTGGAACCAAACGTCTATAAATACCGTTCCGTTAGCGCTTCTCTCTTTTTTTTTTTTTTTTAATTTTGGGATGGAAGCTTGAACGCACTGGGCACCAAAATATCCTTATCGTGGGCGATAAAGTCCTGCAGGATTGTCTTTGGAGAGTCCTTGATGTCCACGTCCCTCCAGTACACCCAGCTGTGATCGGGCTTCAGGGAGGCTGAGAGCAAGTAGTTCCTTGCTTTACCCATTGCCTTTCTCCTGGGCCCTTGGAACTCAAAGCTGTGCCTCTGCTCGACGCTCTGTGCAACCACAACGCCGAAATCCTTCTCAACGATCATGACACTTCTGAACGGAATTGCCGCGTCCGGGTTGGTCTGGATCCGCTGGAGCTCCGAGCTCAGGATCGCTACGGTGTCATCAGTGGTATCGCTGACCAAGAACGCAAGGTCGATAAGGTCATGAGGGTACGTCAGTTGAGAGAGGAGGTCAAAGTGCCTAGTGATGTAGAATGAGGCGTCGCGAAGCGGGGTGAGAATCAACACTCGCTCTTTATTCTTGACGGCATCGCGAGTGGACTTGATTGGGTTCAAATCAATGTGACTGATGGTCGTAGCGTTAACTTCAAAGGGCTCGTGATGGTTAAACAACACCGGGGTCTGGTGGTGTGCGTGCCAGTTCGCATGCTCATTTTGGGAGATTTCCATAGGTGACCTAGCAGGACCAAAGCAGTAAAATCTATAGGGAGAGACATTTTTGTTAGTTTCAAGTTTGTTTTCCCATCTCCCCATCCCACTACCGCGATGCTGTTTCGTTTATCAATTCATCCATCAAGCCTCGTTGTCATCCTATCATTCCCCACGCAGGTAGTGTGACATTCATCCCACCCCATAGCAAATTGCTACCCCTTGATTCTTCCGAAGCTCTCTGGCACACGTTCGAGGAGATTCCTTACTTTTGCATATTCGCGGCGGAGGAGCTGAACCCCCGCCATAGTATTATAATGAACGCCGAAAGAAAGACGAAAAATAGGAATCGCGTTCTAAAGACCACCTGTCCGATTGCCCGCAGCGGTGGCAGTTTGTTCCGGATCGTCTTGACCGTCATCCCCTTGGGTATCATGGTTACCATCTTCGCTTCAAACGAAGCAAACGCAGGCTAAAACTTTTGTTGAAATCAAAAAAAAGGTCTCTCCGGATAAGGAAGAGAGAATGTCGTTTTTTCAAAGAGTGAGTTTTTTTTTCTTTCTTCTTTTCCGGAGGGCGAAAAGGAAAGAAGGAATTCACCAGAAACGAAGGACTGGGGGTGTGTGAATGGGCAGATAAGATATGGGGGGGGGGAAATAATGGTGCCAGATCAATGGGATTGGGATGGGAGGGACGGGGATGGGGGCGAGGATTGGGATGCGATTTCTCCCTCTGGTGTGTCGAAGTCGCTAGGGCCCGGCGAAGGAGCGAGGATGTAGGGAGTGGTGATGATGTCCTAACGTTACTGTGAAGGAGGACGACGCGGCAGAAAATTAAGGAATGGGGCAAAAAAAAAAAAAGGAGTGTCGTTGCAACGGAAGCTGGTCTCCCCACTGTTCAAAGCTATTTTTGGCGAAGTTCACAACTTGTCCACAGAAGAGTTATTAACAACCAACTCGACCCAACGAGGCATATGAGGGGAAGAATGAGGAAAGAGGACTGGGATCATGTTCTAGAAAGCCCTCTAGTGATTTGCATCTTTTTCATCCTTTTCATACCTTTCTGCATTTCCATCTCCTCGCATGCCCAGACACCGGACAGCTAAGCTACATGTCTACTGTGGTTTATCAAAATGCTAAGATCATAGTACTTCAAGTTCACCCCTGAGCGAGCCAACTCTACGGAACACAAACAATACCTGCTTTGTGAAAAAACCTACTTACTAGCTTCAATCAAACGTATGCCCTTTACCATCTTTACTAACCCAAACATTTCAATCTGACGATTTTCACAATCCCGAGACTCTCAATCGCAAAGATGTTATCGTCCTTATCCCTCCATCTTGAAACATGACGCGTCATCCGTGCTCTTCTGCACTTCCGTGGCTACCGTACGCACATACAGCACTTTGTGGACTTGTGTTACTTGCTTCAAAGCTCAAAGCATACATGTACCCAGCATAACTACAGGTATTAGCACCATCACTATCCCTTGGAGCAAAGTACATAATAGTACACATCCCATCCTGCGAACTCCGTGGAGTAAAAGCAAAAGGGAAAAAAGGAAACAAAAAAGAAATAAGAGAACCCTTCCCGCTCCTACCAACCCTAGATATGATGAAAATCCCGAAGAAAGAAAGAAAAAAATTGAAATTTGAAATTTGAAAAATCAAAAACGAAAACACCAAGTCCCGTACTCCCAGTCCAACTGAACTCATCTCTGTAGCGCCTCTCTAAGAGCAGTTTCGCTGTAGTTCCAGAGCTTCTCATGGTCTCCTCTTTTGAGCGCCCTGCTGATGTCGTACTCCGTGGAATAATGGTACCTCATAGACCAAGTCATGACAGGTACATAAAACTTTCCTCTTATGTCCTTTTCGACTACAGTCTTTGATGTTGACAGGTAGATCTGGGTCATGGCGCCCTCCAAGGGAGTGAAGCTGACAGTCCCAACGGCTTTATGGACCATTCCGTTGAACCATTGAGGAATTCCCAAAGCATCCTGTGATGTGGAAAATGTTAGCAATCTGACACTTCAGCGATGAAGTTTTTTTTCTGAGATGCCATGAAGAAAAAAAAAGTAAAATGTAAAAAAGTAAAAAAGCCACGACTTCATGAATGCCTGAATATAAAGAACATGAATACTGACATTTGCGCCTAATCCCGTATCCCCAACTGAACCTACACCCCAAAAGTCAGTAATCCAATTTCGGCATGCTCCAGATAAGATAAAGTCAATTTACCTGGATGACAAGTATTCACCCTTATCCCACTAATCCCTCTTGCTTCCAAGCGCTTGCTGAGTTCCTGGGTGAACAAAATATTGGCCATTTTACTCCTTCCGTACCTCCTACCCGCCGCTTTCATATCTAATATGCTCTTTCCTTCGCTTTTCACTCGAATAGAATCAAAGTCGATCCCATTATTCCCCGCAAATTGATAAGCCATGCTACTAGTCACGACAACCCTAACATCCCCACCATTGATCCCTGACGTTCTCTCGAGTAATGGTAGTAATGTAGTGATGAATGCAAAGTGCCCCAGATGGTTTGTCGCGAATGACCTATCATAACCGTCCACGGAAAGCTGATCGATCGACTCAAACGCGGTCCCAGCATTCGCGACCAATATGTCTAATCGGTCATGATCTCGGAGGAATCGATGCGCAGACTCATATACGCCTTTGAGATCGAGAAGATCAAGATGGTGATATATAATTTCGCCGACTCCTTGGGTGGCGGGAAATAGGCGCCGTTGAATATCGGCTATTGCCCTATCTGCCTTCTCAGGATTGCGTGCAGCGATATAGACGGTGCAGTTTCGACGGGCAAGGAGATAAGCTGTTTCAAGACCGATACCAGAGCTTGCACTACATCGAGCAGAGTGTAATGTTAGCTTTACTGTATTTGTTACTTGAAAAGGAAACATTAATACCCGGTCACGATGGCTACCTTTCCACTAAGGTCAGGAATATCGTTTAGTTTGAAGGCTCTGGCAGTCATCTTGTTTTTTTTAGGGTTTGCTTATCGATAGTCGGGAAACACAAGGGAAGGGATAAAGAGGGGAGAAAGAGAGAGAAGAAACTCGGTGCTGACAGCGATCTTAAGGGCGGGAAGGAAGGAGATATTACAAGGGTAATAGATAAAGTTACTATGAAGTTGGAATTTATACCTAGCAAGTAAGCTCTCAAGCTTCTTCTTCTACCCGGGGGTGTTTCAGGGTTTTGTTTTTTGTGGTTACAGATGGCTATCCTGTGGTGATAAATACAATGTCCTTCCGTCATGAGCGAGGCGCAGCGGCTGAAGCGTAGTGCAAAGACATCGATTCCTCATGATACTGCCGCTGCGGCTGATTATTTGAAATGGGGGAATGCTCTGAACTCGAACCCGTGGAGGCTCGGATCGGCAGAAGAAAACAAACGCGCTTTGATAGGCTAGTAATCGGCTTCTCTGCTTCTTTGCCTTTTCGTCATGGGCCGTTATTCTGCCCCTCCTTCACCCAGGTACAGAGTCCCTGTGATTGGGTACCGTTTCGATCTACGAGGCTGAGAACAAAACTCATGATCATATGTCAGAAGTACTTATCCCTCTCTAATCAGAAGATAAGGGGATGACATCGGGTGCTGATAAAAGGTTCTACGGCAGTAAATATTTCAGTCGTACCGAAGCTTAAACGGTCCAAGATATATATCAGACATCTAAGGACCACATTGCCTACCTAGATGACCGCTTTGGTCAAATGTCCCAGAGTTCAACCACCCATCCATCTCATCGTTGAACGAGGTCCAAAGGAAAAGGAAAAGGTGCTGTGCTACCATCACCATCACATCACCATCATCCCCATCAAATGTATCCAACTCGAAACACTTCTCCTCTTGCCTTGTCAAGATTAAGGCGTCTTCACGCTAAGACGTTGAGATAAACGTTTCGTATCAGACCAGCTCTGACTTCGACAGTGGAAATTACCTAGGGAATCGGACAAGCTTCTTCTAAAGTTAGCTCCGGGACTCGGAATCCGGCCTGTTCTAGACATACATACGACCCTCGAGGATGTCCGTGCGGGGAACTTTAGCGGCAGAAGAACACTGATATATTTCCCGAGAATGTTTCCGAATGATGAAGGTAGACGATCGATACAGCCCATCTTATGTTATAATCGCGTGCGTCACTGCAAAATAATCAACACTGCTACTACCAATATCACACCATATATACTTTCCCAACTCGGACCATAGACTCAACAACGCGATCTCGAATATATAAACACCTGTGACTCGTTGAACTTCAATTCAAATGCAGGCATAAATCTCTCATACCCCGAGATGACCTGTTACGAAATAACACCATGAGATATCATTCGGAACATTGTCTTAACGACATTTAGGTTTAATTAATTGATTCATTGAGTTGACAACATCTAAGCGCTCTCGCAATTGCTTAGAAATTTGAAACAGAAATGATTGATGAAAATTAAATTCGATTGAAGGGAAGTGAACTCGCTCATTGATGTGGAATAATGTGTTCTACCAAACCTAACAAAGAATGGATGTTTCATAAAACACTATGACATCTAACATTATAACTTCCGGCCTTATGCGAACCCACGCCTTCGGAGTGGCACACTGTAGGTCCAAACAGTCATCTACGGAAGGGTTTTTGCCACGGCCGCACCAAGTACCAGTACAGCACTTGTCTCAAAAAATTGTATCAGTAATAAAGCTTCCGTTTACTAGTCTTGACTTTCTTTAAGAACTCCTGGATTTAAAATCACGATTTAACAAACCCGGTACATTGGTCGATAAATCTCAATGAGTCATGATCACCGTCATCGACTTCGAGCTTCTTGCACTTGAAAGCTAGCTGGACAATTTGAAATTTTGCCTCGGAGCTTTGACCAAGCCAGTTTGGTTTAACCTGTATCACGGATTTGTCCTACAATGGCCAATCCACATTGGTGAACATAAAATATTCTAACCTCTAAGCTACAAATATGTAGCTATAATTCTATAATGATAACACAAAAATTAAAGGAAGACACCCTAACCGTATAAACTCTAAAGTAATAAATTCTCGACACGCATTCCAACCATATGGATCCAGTCATATCAAGTTCAAACCCTGCGACTGCCCCGAGGCAGGCATGCGGAAACACTTCTCCAGAACTCTTCCCACCCTTCTCCGTCTTTTCCCTCCCTATTCCCTCCCCTCAAATTCCCCATGTCGTTTATAGGCCTAAGCTCTATATCGACGTAAAATTCATCGTGGAGCTGGGGGTTTTGGGCATATGCCATAACATTGTTCGTGTATTCTGAGGACATGATAAGTCGAGATTTGGTAAATGAATTGCGGTGTGTTGAAGCAGCAGTATGACTTAGGTATTTATAACTTTATTGACGGACAGATCTTATGGTTTGCAAAAGGGCTATGCTGAGCGGGCGAAATGGCCTTTAAAGCTTTGTTATAACTATATCGAGTGATAACTTGAAAACAAATAGCTCGCCTCTCACTAGTATATAGTGCGTTTTATCTTGTCCATAAAGCCCCCAACCTCACCATTGCCGTATGAAACAAGGCCTGTTTTTTTCAATTATCACGTGGTTAATTGCGAGGCTGAAAAACTGAAACCGATCCACTTTGTGGTGTAAACAACAGATCCAGAAGCCATGCTTTTATTCGGTCTAGTTGGCTACTATTTGTCAAATTTACAGCTAAGCTTTCAATGCTGACCCCTCGTATGAGTGCTAAAGTCAACAAATCCCGATGAGTTATTAGCTATGTAAAGATCTATTCAAATCGAGTACCTTACTAGCACTGGCCGCAAACCTTATCTTATAAAGTGGTATCGACACATCTCAATAGTTGAAACAGGTGGGGTTATCACGGTGCAACTTATGTTCCCAGGAGTGATATGCGGTGATTCACTATTTCTAGACAGATTGGCCAACTCATTCATATGCAATTAACGCGGCTGGAAATAAGCAGTTAATTAGAATATATCAGCACCATACGCGAATAGACAAAACGACATATATCTATATAGAATACAGTAATAATTGCGATTTATCTTACTATATTGTGCAAGATCTATAGCTAGGCTATAGCTATAAGAGGGGGGACAACATCACTATAGCATGATCATGATCACTCATGAATTCAAAGTATTGGCTTAGAATCGGTAATAATTTATACGCCGTTAATATACATAAACTTTTATAACTTGAGGAAGAGTACATATATCTGCGAGATATTGATATCGTTTTCGATCATGAGTTTGAAGGAACCAACTTGGAGCCAAGGAGAATGTTAGGATATGAAATCCAACACTTGAAGTAGTACTAAAGGTGAATTATAGCTGGTAAAGCTACACATATACATGTAGTACATTTAAAAAAAAAACGTGTTTGGTAAGACCAGGCTAAGCACTACATGCGGTGAAATTGATGTACAGAAGTCTCAGCTCCAAGTCTCCGAATCAATCAAGCACACTTCTTTCTAGCAATCCATCTCGCAGCAGAGACAATACGTACAAGCGTTCGTACCGGTACCTCCGCCTCCAGAGTCCTTGTTATGACGATGAGAAGTACCGTCGCTCTCAAGCAAGCAGAAATACCATTTCATCAAAAATTCTGCGAACCCCCCTCCTTCGCCTCTCATATTCACCGGGTCAGACAGGACCACGTCTTCGAGAGCCGTACCTCCTGTACCAGGCTGATAGGATGTGTCTTGGGCATATAGCATAGATTGGTTCTCCGTGTATCCTTGACGAGCGGTGGTTGATGATGTCATGTGTGTAGCTTCTTTTGCTGTTGTTTGGCTTGTCGATCGGTCGTGAAAGGGAGCTGATTATCGCAGAGTTGTTTTATGGGTTATAGACTATATATATCTACCAGGAGGGGTCCTAGGCCTTTTATGTTGTGTCTAGACTAAGGAGCAGCGCAGAGAATGAACCTCAAAGGATGGCGCTTAATTCTATAGAAGGTGCGACTTTAACCAAGCTTTTTCAATGGTCACTCGGCCACGCATAATCGCAGATTCATGATAAATAATCATAATTAAGAGCGAAATACAACTTGAATGCAATCGTAGCACAATTGATTATGATTAAATGTCTAGGAATGGGTTCGAAATACATATGGTACCACAAACAGCATCCAAACATACGAGCCTTTAGATTTAGGGCTAGTATGTACAACAAGAATCATACTACGTATACGTACATGTAAGTAACGGTGTGAACGTGTGCCAGTATTATCGACACCTTCAAATCAACAAAGTTATAAAAAAAATACAAAGCTTAAGCTCCGAGGAGACCTAACAAATCAAAAAGAAACCAACGGTACAACTTATAGTTACAACTAACGTCGCTCCTTGATAACCCAGCATGCAGCTAATCTCCCTACGTTAAGTTTTTGAAGTTCTCTCAAGTCATGATTATGGGAGATGAGTAGCCTGTGCACGTGGCGAGATATAAGAAATACCAAAAGACCAATAAGGCAGCTTCAACGTCACTTCACGCATCCCAACGTAACCAACCCGAAACCTTACGGATCGTATACAGTCGTATGAACAAATACTACAACAGCCAAGACATGGATTCGATTTCCAGTACCGGAGTAACTTCAAGCATCCACTATTACATATCCCCTCGCTCTTTATGGACCCCGGATTCGGGATGCCCATGTCTTCAAAGGTTCTCGCCCTGTGTATGTGGCCATGGTAGCTAGTGTCTTCATGGGCATATTTCATGATGGGGTGAAGTGTGTATCCTGGAGGCTCCATAGTTGTTATTGGATATGAGTATGAGAGGTGTTGACTTGTTGGCAGTGGAGATATGCTATCATGAAACGATCAAGTTGTGGAGCAAATCTCCGGAGGTTGATAATTTATGCTCATTTATCTCTGAGAGTCATAGCTCGAGGGGAGAGAATGAGCACTACTTGTAAACAGAGCATGATGGTGTATTCTATGGAGACTATTGTAAAGAGAATATTTTATGGTTGAGAGGTCATTCATATTTGAAAATCGAAGGCAAATTGTATACTGATGAGAAATTCGAGATACTAACAAACATACGGCAGATCATTAACTAAATTCCACCCTTCTAATGCAAACAGCTCTACAAAAGATTGAGAGCTCGGAAAACACATCAAATCTAGACATCATTATCATCAAACAACCACTCACAGTCCTCTTTAGCTTTATCACGCTAACTCAATCAAAGAGTAACCACCTTGAACTTGAAATACCAGAGAAAAATGTTAATGACCAGACTCAGTAAAAAGCTTACCAGGAGATAATCTGTTATCACCTTCAGGATCTCATTTTTCTCCTGGTTTCTATCCTTGTTCGCATTGATCCCCCTACGCTTTGTCCGCTTTCTTCCCCGCCCCTCTCTCCTATTCCCCTCTCTCCGCACTCACCCCCGCTCCCATTCTCACTCTCACTCCCACTCTTCTCCCCATCCCTACCGCTGTATTCTTCATCACCACCGCCATTCTCATCCCCAAGTGGAACCTCTGAGGCTTCGTAGTATTCAATACCGGCAAATCCCGAGTACCTGAGCATGAGCCTAGTAGGGAGCTGGACTTCATTGTAGCTGTTGTTGAAGGACGCCAATTTTTTTCTGCTTTGGGGCACACATCTTATGGCGGTGAGCTTATTCTTTTCTGCGTTGGACCTTTGGTGTGGGATATCTAATGTGTTGAGATGCGATGGTAATACCAGCTGCAGTGCAGCGGGCTTTTATATATACAGCAGACGGTCAACGAAAGAGTCCAAAAGCGGGTTTTAGTCCTTATAGTTAGACATCTATACAATTTAGAACTCTATAGCTCGATATCTAACCATATGATCATGATAATTTCGGATCTCTCTAGAACTTCATTCTATGGTATACAAAAATTAAGAGCCCAACCATGGGAAAGAGGACGTTGATGTTGTGCAAGGGAGCTTAAGGTTACCTGCATGCCGATACAGAAGGCCACAAACTCTGGTTTCCTCTTAACTGGTCGGCCCTGGGAAACTCAGTTCCTGTTTATTCCTAACCGCCGAAACTAGCTTATATTATAGTTTCGGCATAATTGCATTCATGAGATATCACTCGGTAGAAATATACCGACATCCGCCTTTTTTTCTCTGTGGATGTCAGTTTGTGGAAGTTCATGGGCTGTCTACGGTGAGGGAACTCTTCGGTCAGAGTAGACTCACCAAACGTAATGTTAGGGCCCATCAATTCAATGATATCTCGTGGCTTGGTTTAGGTATAACTATTTGAGTTTCCACAAAGATTCATGGATCCAGCCGTAGCTACATAGGTGAAGACCCCGGGGAGCACACAAGGTTTATGAAGGGTATTGTGTAATTATGGAACTACCATTATATCGAAAAAAATCATTTCTTCTCTGGATAGTATCCCACATCTCAGCCAATTCTTAGAACATAATCTTGTCCACATTTCACCACTCGAGGCGACACATTGGATAAAATGTGCTACGGGCATATATAAAGCCAATCGATTACTCCATTCCCTTATGAAATAAAATACATCTAATCAGTGGTATACAAGACTACAAAGAAACACACCACTCCCTCTACTCCATCACCCTCGTCTTAGCCGCATTGATATCAGAGGTATCAGGCAACAGCTCATTCTGCTTCGCTCTTCTCCTCGCATCCACGTACATTACAAACTCACCATATGTCCTTGGCATGACCTTCAGATCACCCTCCACAAAGAAGGAGTAATTGAACACGCCCGTCTCGACAACACTTCCATGCTCCACATCTCTCACCTTACTTCCAACTCTGACCTGCACCCTACTCCCACCCTTGTACGGCTCGGTATAGGCAACCGTCGCGGTCAAGTACAAGATACTCCCCACGGGCACCGGCGCATCAAACGTGCTCGGGTCAAGACTCAAGAACATCGGCCGCGAGTGCGCAAACGCAGAGGTACAGCAGAACGCAAGCTCCATAGTGCTCTTCAGAAGATACCCACCAAAGATCATGAATGAGTGACGGTTGCGATACTGCGGCTGCATGATCGACGTGGACGCCATAGTGGTAGTAGACATGTAGCTTGTGTTCTCGGGCTTTGAGAGCTTAGACTGCGGGTCCTCGTACTGGAGCTGCTCCATCCACATCTGATGGATCAAGTCCGACTCCTCGTCATTCGGCGTCTGCTTGGCCAGCGACACATCTCGCAGCGCCTTCTTCGCCTTCTGGTACTCCTCTCCCTTGCTAAATATCGCCTTCTCTTCCGGCGTCTCAACGAGTAGTGGGGGTACTGGGGTTGCGCGCTTAGTCTGTGGGTTCAGCGCAACCATCGTGAAGGCGCATGTCAAGATGAGGCCCTCCTCCCCCTCGACGCCGTTGCGCCGGGCTTCCAGAGAGATCTCCATCGACGATTTGCCGACATATGAGACAAACCCGCTGAGCTCGAGGTCGCAGAACTCTTCGAGCGGGCGGATGATGGAGATACGGTCCACCGCCGCAGTGACCGTGGTTGGTCCGGGCCCGGTATGCTTGTATGCCACTACGCCCGCCAGGGCATCGAGGTCCTGGAATAGGGTTCCAAGACGCAGCTGGCCAGATGCGTTGACATATCCATCCACAAGCCACTTATCCTTTGCCAGTGGGAGGACCTATCAATCGGTTCAATTAGCCCCATCTCACATATAGCTTGCTAACTCCTGCTATTCTAGGATACTTACAAGCTTGTGGAAGCTATCCTTCATCCTCTTCGGCTCGAGCCCGCCAGCCGGGAGCGGGGGCGGAGCATTGATGATCCCAGCATTTCGTTCCGAGAGAGCTTGCAGCCATGGCTTTTGGAGCTTCATCGCCGAGAGCTCTTTGTACACCCCATCGTACCTAGCTGCACGCGAGACGGAGAATTTGCGGGGATGCTGCTGGGACGGGCCCTGCTGGCGGAGAGATCTTACGCAGGTCCGTAGAAAGTGGGCTGACAGCGGGCGCGACATTATATTAATTGCGGGAAAGATCTAGAGTGAAAGGGAGCGGAGTACTGGGAAATGATTGAAACGGAAGGGAAAGCTGCTGGGGGACGTTGGCCGGCGAAACGATTTTCCGTGTGGGTTAGGTGTGGTGCAGTGGCTAAGCGAGACGAATGCAGGATGCCAATGCGATGATCCGGGGGCTGTAAACGAGAAGACAGGCAATTGCAAGCTCGGTAGGTAGCGGAGATTTAATCAATTCGCTTTACAGTGCGATATCGTACGAGTGTTGACAGCTGATTGAGGGGACTGAATTGATTGAATTCGCTAATTGTTCTTCTTCCGTGAGATCGAGAAGGGGAAATATAACCAATCCTTGTAAAGTATTAGAAATGGGCCCTGAAGACCTTCATGAAGGAGCAATATCGCGTGCATTCGGGATGCGTGGGCTGTGTTCCGTGTGTTTCGGGTACAGTTCGGCCCGGGTTCGGTATTCTATTACCTAGACCGTCTTAATTGCTCTACATTCTCCGCAATATCCTATGGAGATACTCTAGACGAGGCGGCGCCCCCGAAACTGATCGAGACGGATATAGAAGGCAGTAAGTACTTATTATTACATGTATATATCTACACACTACCTAGTCAAGTCTAGTTGAACTTCCCCCTCCCCCCCTGCAGTGACTCTCCTCTCCACCTAGCTCAAGAATATTAATGTGACCTATACATATGTAGCAAGCAGTACGTAGACTCGTAAAGTGAATGCTCCAGATCTCACTCGATGCCTTGCTGCCGCAATGGCCACGGTGAGATCATGACTGCAGATATGCATCTCCTGTATCTTGTGGCTTTTTAAATTCTGTGTGTGAGTGTCTCTCCACCAAGGCCTTCTCCCTTCATGCAATCATTGACCACAGAACGGTCTTTGCAATTTGGTAGTGGTGGTGATGCTTATCCCGCCATCCCTTCTCGGGATCCCACTCTTGTAAGTATCCGTGACGACGGCCCTTGCCTTTTATACCTGGAGCCTTATATCGGGGACCATAGGGACCATAGGTGCCCATTCTTCAGACCACCGCCCCTCCGCCCCCCTCCTCCTCAGTTTATATACGTGTTCTGGCGGCGATGAAACATAAAAGTTGCACTTTGGAAGACACTGCATGGCGCGGATTTGTGCACTTCCAAAAGACCCGTGATTGAAATAGTTATGTATGACTAGTTCAGGCCGTAGAGAGGCAGAAGCAGAGTACATAATAGCCCACCTACGTACATACATAGATCTTATATGCTGTATCACCACCCCGCTTTCGCGGGCAGAAAATCTCTACCCATATGCCCTGCTCCTACCACCCAGTGAGTGGCCAGTGCACCAGTCGAACAGTGCACGACAAATATTGTGCATCGAACAGTTAATTCGAAGTGGGTGGTGGGTACGGCCGGTGGTGGGTAGGTATGCATAGAGGCGCGCAGTAAGCCAACCCTTCAGTTCGTCTTCCCCAGTTTTATGCTATGCTATGCTATGCAGTCGGCGGCGATCGATAAAATCATGATTTGAATAGATTTTCCAGTGATTTTTTTGAGGCGCCGAGGAGTTTGATCTTGCTTGCGACGACTGCTACGACGACGGCGTTGCAGTTCTCGTGCTGCAGCGCAGGAGAACACTCTGAGTTGCTGCTGCTTTCTTGTTATCTATCAGTTAGCTCTAATCTATGGCGGCGAGCTTGAATTCATGGCTGGAGTGGTTCGCCGGTATGTACGGCCGGTATCGGGTTTTCTTTCTTCCTCTGTGGGCTGTTCTGCAATTGTCAAATATCAGTTCGGAGGTGAGCTCGAGAAGGCTGGCAGAATGTGAGTGATAGCTCATGCAGCTGGATGCGTCAAATTATAATAATATATACGGTAGAGTACGTATTTAGCTGCATGTCATTACCGGCCCCGAAACAACAGCAGCATTTACCGGTATGTGTACGGTATATACTCGTACGGTACGGGCGACTTTTTAGTCTTCTGTGTCATATTGTAATACTTACCGCACCGATTAATAGTAGACGGAGTCAGTAGTAGACGTATCAGATTTTGGAAAAAAAATATTTACCGGGAGAGTCTAATGGAAGTTTCCACCTAGCCCTAACTCGATATTCCAACCCAACCCAAGCAAATCCCACACAACCACAATTGCAACCACAACGAACCACTACACCACAACGACGAACCATAATAGAACTCTTACGCCCGTCCGCCCCATCCATCCCTGAGATTCAGACTTGTCACATTTCTTCTCCATTTCGTTTCTGGCTGCATACGTGCATACTCTATATTTCTACTAGCTGGAACCGGGAGGGAGTTGTGTGATACATCTCTTACAATTTTTCCTTGAGCTTGTGACAGAAGCACTCGAATGGAACCAAGGCAAGGAACAGCACAAGGTGGTGAGACGCTGGTAAGTTGGAACTGATATATGGTATGGGAAGGGTAGGAAAAAGCAAGGTGGTGGTGAGGGATTTTAGGCAGCTGTGGGATTGGACGAAATAGAATAGACTGGTAAGCACCCTAACTGGGAGAAACTTTAAGGTGGATATTAACTGTTTAGCCTTTTGATCTATTTCTTTTCTTTGCGAACCAGGGTTGATGAATTATTAACGTACGGTGTCTAGAGTATGTGGAGTATGTGGAGTAGGTAAGTCTTTCATGGATTACATGCCTAGATTACAGCTATATTGTGAAATACTATTATATCCAGATCAATGTCAGCAAAGTGGTTAGATGATTAGAATGCCCTACATATATCATACATGGTCAAGTTCGAGAGGATAAAAAACTTTAAAATATATTATGGTTCCTGCAGGCCGTTTGAGATATTCTGATATTGGAGGTGGTGAGATTAATAGTTGCGTTTGCTATATAGATGAATATTGCGTTAACAGTAGTACTACACGGAGATTAAACGTCCGACTTGGACAGTGCGAAGTGCCTGTGCGTTTTTGCATTTTCGTTTGAAAAATGGTTCTGCGCATGAAAAAAGATGGTTCAAGGTCTGGTTGGAGAAGTTGGTTTTGTGGTTGAAACAAAACAGCACTCATAAACACTGAACACTGAACACTATTTTTTGAAACGTCGCCACTAGTAGCTCAGTCACGATCAGTATGTAAATGTACCTGTACGTATACCCGCGTGCTGTACCTACATGTAGTGACATGACTTCTTGCAACGTCATCAACGAAACATTCAGCCTTAAATTCGAACCTCATCTTTAGCTCCATGGATCCATTCAAAAGTCCTCACTGCAAACATGAAACGAGATGGGTTCATCTCTAACCTGAGGATGTTCATCCATTGTCGTGTTTTTTTCTTTCTTTCTCGGCCAGGTCACAAACAAAAACCTCAATGCAATTAAGGTCAGAAGCAGAAAGAGACATGTGAATGGTGTACCTGATTCGCTGCTAATTTCAGTTAGGATTATTGCACCAATTGAGTACAAACCAAATCTACAACCACAAAACAATGGTTCCCCCCGACCCCTGCAAGATGCGTTAAACAAGTCATCTTCATAATCAATTTGTCTCCCCAAAAGAAATAAACCATGCCATGCCACACACACACGCCATACGATACCATGTTTTCCTCTCAACATGCATGGCACTTTATAACCACGCGTTTTATACGGGCCGTGCTGCATTGAATAAATACAATATGCAGCAGCCAAAACCGCTGTTTCATGTGCTAACTCTTCGCTCGAAATATCCACTTTGGTCCATCATCCTCCGTGTGATATGTAACGTAATATATATCACTCGAAGAAGAAGGATATACTAACAGGGCCTGGGGTAATAATCCGGACATGCTGAAGAGAGGGAAGGTCCTTACTTTTTTTAGAACGGAAGATCTACAGATTATCCCCTAGTCCTCCGAAGTGGTCTGGGGGGTCTAGATGCTGCGCTGGGCTGAAGAGTATTGGAGCATGCATAGGGACACTTACTGGACTGACCAATGAACTCAAACCCACCTGCACGGAGATGTTGGAATCACCAACCAGAGGTCAGGCTTAAACTACTCACCAACAAACCAACCTGTTGACAGCAAGCAAAAGAAAACATACTGTGGGGCTTGAGCTTATTTTCCATATGCACGCACTCACGTCTTGCGGTCTTGTGGATTAAGCCACATAATTGCAACTCAGGAAAGGTACCACCGTACTGCCCCCTCAAGATCGACAATACGGCGGGAGTTTCCATACGGTAGCTACGCTATTTGTGGTTAAGGGCCATGTAGCGACATTTATGTGCGCACATCTCAAAAGGACTCAGTGAGGTACGAAATTTAAAGTTATCGAACGTAACGGGTTTGAAATTAAGATACAGCCGTACTTAGATCGTTGTCTGGACGACTCCGATGAACTATATCCAAAATGGAGCCTATTCTTGCAAGTCGATTAGAGGTACTGAATCCAGATCTTGAAGCTCGAGCCTCAATGGCTTTTAGCAATATACATAGCCGACATATATCAGATGATAATGATATGCATGGGTGACTTTTTCCCTTAATAGACTAAGGGAGCGAGCCCTGGGGAAATTGAATATTGATAGATATGATATCTACGCGTCCTTAGCCGACAATATGTTATTCGATTGGGGCTCTTCAGAACCCTAGCCCTATTCAGGCAACGCTCCATGTGCCAGTCATCATGTTGAATCACTCGGCTGTCCGGCCCGCGCACCGTCTGTGCACACCAGCGCGCAAAACAAACGTAAAAACATTGTCTAGCGAGATTAGGCGCCTGAGAGTCTGGACAGGAGGGGGGAAGAGGGTCCGGGGGGGAGGGGGAAAACGAAATTATTCGACGGATAACGCGCTTCACATTGCTGACAAGCTGGCCATGGCTCCCGTAGGAAGCCGAAGAATGTACTGTGCGGGTGCTGAGGCGGCATTCCGAGACACGGTCCGCACGGACATGATCTGATCTTGTTTTGTTTTGTTTTGTTTTGTTTTGTGTCTGGCCCTCAGCCCTTTCGGCTCGGAAACAAAACGAATACATACGCGCCTGGTTCATAGCTGCTCAAGACGAATCTATTAGATGCGGATGTGGTTGCGCAGAGGCCTCGAAATAGCTGCTCTATGGCCCTTGTTCTGTCCGAATACACGTGATTCAATAGCTCCGAGTGATATATTATGATTACTTGGTATTGATGCTATTCTAACCGGCGGAATGGTGGATCCCGCTTTGGACAGCCGTTACAAACCGGTGTTGAAGACAGAAAGGATGAATAATACAATAAGTACTGTATCATTTCCACTACAAACCAGGTAACCGCCGTTTCAATTTGGACTGGCTCTCGTAACGTGATCCTCTCCGTTTGCGGGGGAAGATGGAGATCCACTCTGAACGGACATACGCAGGAGATCCTACCACACAGACCTGCTCCCTCATACTCAATCTACTTAAGTTATGCGGTCTCGACCTATCTTGAAAGACTGTGCGTCCACCTACCTAGATTACATTGGCACAGAGCTAGGGTAAGGTACAAGTACCCACCATGGAAATTGAAATTAAAGGCATATTTATGGAGAAAACACGAAAAATGTCCAATCAAATATAGACAAGATTATCGGACTTCCACGATGAGCTCTATTAACGGATAGTGCAGAGAATCTCCCAGCCCTAAACATCATCCGCAATAAAATAAGATAATATAATCTTGGATCGAAGCATTTAAGGATGATTATGACTTCCCACGTGTTGTCTCACTATTAATTCACCTATTGTGGTCATTACCGACTAATCAGGCTTTGCAGAACTCTGGACCTCCCATCTTCAAGATCGGATGAAAGAGAGTCTGATCGCTCAAAGTTTCCCTCTGCTTTGAGCAGAGCATATGGATCGTCATTGACGTATGCATCATAAATGACGCATTCAATATACCTCAAACCTCAAGATCGATGGTAACGATGTAGAGTAGGTCTGAACTTCATGTAGGCAGAGCACATGTAGGTGTAATCTCTACCTATATTATGGGGCTATATAGGTAGGGCTTCAGATAGGATAGGATAGGTAGGTATGGAATGCGGGTCAAAGATAGAGGTACTCTATGTAGGTACTCTACCTAGGTATAGGTAATCTAACGATCTTGGTTTCTGACAGCTGCTGCACATAATGAATCGCGGTCTCACAGATCTATAATTATCCGACTGCTCTGAGTAGCGCGGTACGTACCGATATGCAGGTGCTTACTGAGTGTAGAGTAGATACAGAGGAACAAATCTACCCCTAAGTTTCCCGTTTCCCCAACTGGCATATTCTAGATACATACGGTACCGTAGCATCGGCGTATCTTCGGTGAGAGGTTCAAGTCCTGTCGCACAACAGCATGGAAGTCGGTTTTGAAAAGCTTGGTTCTCGGGAGAACGGGTGGTTCGTCCAATAATCGCGGCGTTGGTTGATACTCCACATATGTGACCCTACCCTGCTTTCCACGAACCCTGTGCTGTTCAAGGGTTCAAGGCAGAGAGGATACATACTTGTCCGTATGTAACAGGAACCGACTCACATCGATTCTTCACTTCGCAGTGGGAGTGAGATCCCGCAAGGTTCAAGGTAGCTAGCAGGAGAAATAATTCCCTTTCTCAGAGCTCTACATATTTGACCTTTGTTCCATGCAAATTTCCAGGGGGGGTGCGAACAAACAGAAATTCCTCGCTAATTATCTCGCTATTGAGCCCGGCTGTCCAGGCCATTACAAGGGCTCACCACTCTGATTTCCCACTCACCGCCGTTTCAAAACGACAGAAACTTGACCGTGGGGGGAGAAGTTGCCAGCGTGGAGGTTTTACCTTACTACAACCTGGCTTGAGAAACGAACAAACCCGGTCGGTAGGAAGGGGGGAAGGGGAGGGAGGTTTCTGCAGGTGGGGCTGGAAGTGCATAAGCTTCCAACGTGTGCAGATAAGGTATCGTGCTGCCCAGCGGGTCGAAAGGAAGTTTCTCAACTGCAGAGTACTAGTAGGTAAAGGCTAGCTATCGATAGCTTGGAGGAGTAGGACGAGGAGGAGGAGGAGGAGGAGGAGGAGGAGATTGTGGTGGCCCCCGCGGGTTGGCTGCGTCATTCGTAAGTTGACGAAGCTAGAGTTGGAGGCACCATGAATATGACGAAGTATCCCGTCCGGGTGTAAATATTTTTTTTTTTTGGGGGGGGCGTCTGGCTAAAGGAAATGACAACTGCGATTTCTCATGATGGTTCAGCCATGGTGGTTTATGGTGGTTTGGTTTTCTTGCCCAGAGAAAAGTGAAGGGAAAAAATAAATTGTTTTTTTTCACCACCTCTCACTCCTCACGTCTCACGTCGCACGATACGATCCGTACGTACCCCGCAAAGGAAGGAGTGAAAAAAAATGTGGTTCCCCTACTGGTGCTGGGTAGGGGAGATTATTACTGTCTTTACCCAATCGCGCAGGCTGCAGCCAATCAGAGGCGGATGATCCTTATCTTTGGCTCGCGTCGGTAGGGTAGCGAAGAGGGAGGGAGTGACCGAATGTTTGCCATGTCCCATGGCGAGCATGGCGAGGGATCAGCGGTGGACCCTAGCATCGAGAGCTAAACGTGGTTGCAACGAACAGAGTTGAGAAGGCAAACAGGAACTGGGTTGATCTACCGCAGAACTCGTGCTCTAGAGTAGAGATGCCATCTGGCTCGGGTGTGTGCATTACATAGGGTTTTAACTTTTTGAGGCGATAATTTTTTCGAGTTTCGATTTCGGTTTTTGGTGGGGTAGTTAGATATCGTGGCGGGGTTGGGCACGATGTTTCTGAAACAAAAAAGCGGCCGAGTTTTTCGATTGATCGCGATTTTTTTCCCTTTCCCCACGATGCAGTGCGCAGCTAGCTGGGCCGGCCGCGGATAGGGGTTGTCTACCTGGGATTTGGACGGACTCGACACGATGAAATGTGTACAAGTTTGAACAATCGTGGAATAATTCGATTTTTTGGTGTTTGTCAAGGTTTTTTTTTTTTTCTTTCTCTTTTTCGATTGGGCTTGGCACTAGGTAAGCACCATCTTCCCCGGGCCCGTTATCTTTCACAATGTTCTTTTTTTGGTTAGGCGGGTGGCATTTGTACAAATTTGACGGTTGAAGGTTGAGTCGTTCCACCACTGAGAAGACTCACCACTGGGTAGAATACTGGCACCACCACCACCACCATCCATCCCACTGATTCCCACATGCAAGAGTAGAGTAACTGCCTACAGCGTACCTACAGCACAAGCTACCCGGGTTCCTCCGTTACAAGAGTAAAAGAAAGTACCTCGTCACCCAGGAATTATTAGCAAACTTTGTTTACGATTTCCAATCCAGTCCCAGCGTTCTACTACTATTCCTAAATACATCTCTCCCACTCTACCCCCGATATCTACTTACTTCTAGAGTACGATTGCAAATCACCCCACCCCCATACATACGTCTTCCCCGCCTTGATTCGCGCCATTAACTCTTGCCCCGGTTCCGTTCCGAACACTTAGGTTCTTTCACGAGCTTTAAAAAGGATACCGAGTTCCTCTCCCCTCGAGTTCCCCAAGTCTCCCAACTCATAACACTCACTACACACCTCAAAAGCCTACACTCACCACCGATCACTCATCCCCCCCCCACCAAACCACAAAAATGAACGCAACCCGTCTTCTCCGTGCCAGCCCCGTCGGCCGCACTCCCATGATTCAGTTCCTCGGAAAGCGCACCACCCCCCGTATGTTTCCCTCCTCCAACTACCAAACAAAATAAGCAAAGAAAAAAATTTAATACTAACTTTGGCAATATAGAAAGCATTGACCACACCCCGCGCCCGCATCCGCAAGCACCAACCAACAAGCTCCCCACCTCCTTCGCCGAGTACCGCCAGAAGGCTCAGCAGCACGGGCCATTGGCCTACAAGACCAACACTGCTGCTCGCTCGTCCGTCCAGCCCTCCGAGGGCCAGGCATTCGACCGCAGCGACCTGCCAGAGCGCTTCTGGAGACTGGCGCTGAGCAAGGAGGAGATGGATGTAATTGAGAGCGGGGGTGCATTTGCTTAGATGCACTCTCTCGAACTCTCTTTCTCTTATGTGAAAATGGGAACGGAATCAAAAATCGGAATCGGTGTCGGCGCGCGCGGGGAATTAAAAAAATGTATAATACGACCTTCCTGCGCGTAGCCGGTCGGTCGGTCGGTCGGTCGGTTGGTCGGCCGGCGGATCAAAAAGTTTCTTTACGGTGCCGGGGTTACAAAAATTTTCCTTTTCTCTTTTTTACGACCGGGGGTTATGCACGACACAACGGTTCTGCAGGGATTCATACATAATCAACCCTCTTCTTTTTTTTTTTTTGTCCCTACACACCCTTTTTCCATCTGTCAACCAAAAAAACACAACCTCGGGTTTCGGGTTCGGGTTCGGTTCTCTATCTGGCGCGTGTCATCATTTACGGATTTACGGATCTATCGATCATTACCACTATTACTTACTACTACTACTATTTTTCTCCCTTTACCTGTTTCACCGGTGTTAGCGTTTTGTTCTCTTTTTCTTTTTTTTGCTTATCGGCGGGTTCATTGGAAATCGGGGGTCGGCGGGTTCTTTTCTAAAAACTGGAACTGGAAATACTGAAAATGGGTCATGGGCTGGTCTGACCTGATCTGATGGATATGGGGGGATACGGTTCTATTCGTGTAACTACATTGTATCTATCTATCTATCTATCTATCTATCTATCTGCTGTCTATCTCTCTGTCCGAGTTTCGGTCTGTGCTCTGTTTGGCTGTCCAACTGACTAGCTATATAGCTAGCTACTCTTTAATATTTCTATATGTGGATGTGGGGGAAGCTGCCTACTCTACCTGGTAGTTGAAACCAGGCAATTACTAGACAAATCAATTAACCCACCTATTGCAAACCAAACCCGCAGCCTTGCGTAGGCCCCCGTGCAGCGCTTCCTTATCTCTCCCTCCGTGTCGTCTCTTTCTTTCCACGAGGCCCGCAGCTATCTCTAGCTCTATCTCTCGCTAGTTACATAGCTCGCTGCTAGCTAGCTATCAACTCAATTCTGCTCTAGCTAGCTTAGCTATCGGCCTGCCTGGGCCGGCCATGGGGCTTATCATTGCCTCATTCTTTCTTTCTTTGTTAGATAGATATGTGGTGGACTGACGTCTTTGCGCGTTCGCTCTCGCGCAATTGCAAAGCAAGCCTTCTGCACATGTGTTTGGCATGTGCGAGGCGATGATGATGAAGGGTTCGCTGGTCCGTGCACTGCAGTGCAGATGGAGATAGAGATACACAAAACGACGGTGAGACAGAGAGAGAGGCAGAAGAGAGGCAGCCAAACAGAGACACGCGCAGACGCAGGTAGCTGGATTGATTGGGGTGATCGAATGAGCAGACAAGCAAGGAACCGGCTAAACCGACGGAGGGAAACAACACGTTGATTTGCTGCAGCTGCACATCCATCCACACACACACACACACACTCACTCACCCACCATCCAGCCAGACAGTCAACCCTCCACCACACAGCTACATACTCAATCTACTAGAGGTATTCAGACTCTTCCCAACGTCACTGCTACCTTGAAACCTTGTCTACATATTCATCCTCAACCTGTTTACACAGCCACCACGCGATTGACCATGGACGTCCTTGCACCACCACCAGCCACCACCACGCCCATGGGCTTAGAGCTCACAGAGCGCGACGAGGCCGGAAATATCACTGCGGTCTTCACCGAGCTTGCTGCCAGGGGGCCTTTCTCTGTCGTCGTAAGTACATAGCTAGCTGGCTAGTAGCTTAGTTGTAGTAAACTTTCCCTCCCTCCCTCCCTCCTCGCGCCCAGCCTCCTGTGTTTTCAATTCCCGTCCGTTCGTGCGCGCGTGCGAGAGAGACCGGAGCTAGGCATTCATTCATTCCTACTGTTTGTCTGGCGCAATTGGGTGGAGGGGGCGGGGGGATCGTGGTGTAGTGTAGTGAGTGAGTGAGTGGGTGGCTATGACTTTCTGAGTCTGAGTTCTACAAACCATTCTACATACTAGCTAGCTAGCTCTGGTAGGCAGCTACATGTAGCTATGGGCCTTGCTGATTCAAGGAATTGGGGGGGGAATGACAGATACCGGAGGATACGGTGTCATACGCCCAGCGACTCCTCAACGTTTTCCTACCGGCCGGGTTTCCCGCAAGCGTGTCGAGCGACTATGTTGGGTATGTGATTCTGTGTCTGTTCCTTTTTTATTATTATTATTGTTGTTGTTGGGTGTTTTGTGGTGTGTTCTCCTTTCGTGCGTTCTCTGCGTACTCCGGGGAGAGGGGGGCGAACAGTCATATACGCAATTGCGTTCCTGTTCCTGTTCCATTCCTTCTGGAAGCTTTTTCTAGAGAAAGGAGGGAAGCTCCTTGCTACCGCCATGGGCGCAGTTCCGTATTCATGTCTTTTAAGCCCCCAACGCCCCCGCAGCACTAAGCCAAGCCAAGCGCTTTCGAGAAGAAGACCTTTGATAACCAAGACACATTCTTCATTCCTGGTGACGACATTTGAATTTGATATTGTGCGGCGGGCGGACCCTTGTACATATTCGAGCACGTTTTTTCTCTGTTCTGGAGGGAAAAACCAAACTCGTATTGGATTGTTCATAGCTGACTTATCATGTGTATGTTTTGGTTTAGATATCAAATCTATGTGAGACATCTACTACCTACATGCCTACTGGGGGTGGAGGATAGCTCTTTGGACCTCCCCGCCTCCCCTTGGAGCTTCCCCCTTCCCCGGCCCTCCTCCCCAGGTCAGGGAAAGTTGAAAGTCTGACCGAAGGGTTTGATATCGCGTTTACCGCCCTCTAGGACTCGCTGCAAGCATTTTCCTCGTCCATTGCCGGCCTCCTGACATCTCGGGCGGTTCTTCAGGGTTCGAAACGAATTCCCAGTGTTTTAGGAAATCGTCTGGAACAGTAGTGATATTGACCTTTGAGTTCTCTTTTAGGATTCGGCGTCGGGTAGTTATCCAATCTCTATCCATATACCTATCCCCAACCCCACGCGCGCTATGATTTTTTATATGAATGCCTTTTATTATTATTATTAGTAGCTGCTGCATGCTTTCAAAGCTAGCTCAAAACCCACAGGGCTACAAGGCTTATTTTTTCCTGTCTTATTACTGTTATTACTGAGATTTAAAAGGGTTTGTAACTGATTTGATATCGCCCCTTCTGTGCCTCAAAATAGTGATGCAAATGCTTCCGCAACAGGCGCCTTGCTGCTCACTATTGTCCAAGGTAAGATTCGTATTTTTGCTTTGTTTGCTTTTTGATTCGTTTCTGGGTCAATCATCAGATAGACACGAGTTTTTTCTCTCCCTGGTTTACTCTTTACCGGGTGATCATATATGGGCGGTTGGGGGACTATGACTGACTGACGACGACGACTACCCGGCTATGGGGGAGGTTTTTTGGTAAATCCAAATAGACAGTGTAAGCCGCCTCGCTACTATCTTATTCGCGTACCGATTCGGCGTTGCCTTGGAGGCGGAATGTAAGAAGTACCGCCTGGCAGCAGACGTATTCAACGACTCAGCCATGATCTTGGACTGTTTGTCACCCGTGTTTCCAGGGCCTGTCAAGATCGTATTGCTGTGCCTGTCGGGGTCCCTGCGTGCGGCGTGTGGTGTGGCGGGAGGCGGCTCCAAGGCGAGCTTATCAGTTCACTTTGCCAGGGCGGGAAACGTTGGGGAGTTGAACGCAAAGGCAAGTCCTTGCGAACCAAGCTGGGGAGGGGAGAGAGAGAGGGGATGGAGTATGTACAGGCGTTCGTAATTTGAGGAAAGTGCTGAGGGTTGAATTTTGTTTCCCGTTTAGGACTCGAGTCAGGAAACCGTGATTGGGTTGATGGGCATGTTGGTGAGTCGGCTCGTTTCAGCTTGAAATTTTTTTATTTTTTATTTTTTTGTCACTTCCCTTCTGTGTTCCCTTTCGCCTTTCGCCGTCCCTCCGTCCCTCCGTCCCCCTTGGTTTGGTGCCCTGAGGTTTTCGCCCTTGTCCGGCGCCATATGAGTGGTCCACAGGAAGGTTATTCCCAGAACCGAGCAGGGATAGGATGGGATGGGATGAGATGGGGAGAGGGGGGGGGGGGGGGGGTGGGGGTGGGGTGAGATTTCGTGAACCAAGATCCGCAATCTGTCAATGTGAGACGTGATCGAGAATGTATGGCTGATTTCCTTTCCTTCGCGCGGCTCTGCAGGCAGGAAGTTTCGTGGTCAGGCACATCACCTCGACATGGGCGACATGGGTGTCGCTAACGCTCCTTCTGGCGCTACACCTGGGGACGAATTACATGGCGGTCACCTCGGTAGCGCTGCGCACCCTGAATCGTCAACGGGCCAATATCGTCTTCTCCAGGCTTAGCGACATCAATTCCACCACCACCACCACCACCACCACCGGAGGAGTCATGGTGACGCCTGGCCGGGCGGCCAGACTCGAGCGGATATTTGAGCGAGATGGCGTGTTGAGATGGGGGGAGTCGGAAGTGCTCGGGTTTGCTAGAATCGGAGCAACGTTCTCCGAGTTGGCCGCCTCTTTTCACGGCGCTATTGCGTCCGGTGGAGATGGTGCTCGTGGTGGTGGCTTCCCAACAGTGGGAGGAGGCGGACATTCTAGAGGCGGGCTTTTTCCATCCTCTCGACCGACAATCACCATCCACGATATCGCCAAAGTGTTCCGAAATGAGAAGCATCTATTGTGGTATGATGCGCGGAAGCGAGAAGTCACAATTTGTCTTAAAAATGACATTACGTCGGAAGAGCAGCTAAAGGCCTGGGTGCACGCCCTCTTTGTGGCTAAAAAGATTCGCCACCACAACGACAACAATAGCGAGAAGAAATTGTCGCTGTCGTCGCCGCTCACCAACGAGGAGATTCTCGGTGTGATTGAAACCACATTATTCGATTTGGGCATGTCGTTTGCGACGACTGTTGGGCAGCTGAGGGCGGTGGGATGGGACCTGGGTACGGCAGCTCTCGAAACAAAGCCCGGATATCGGGTTGGCATATGCTCCATAGACGCAGGGAAGGACAAGGATGAGATCAGATCTGGGAGGGACGAGGCAAAGAAGGATATATGATGAGCACGAGTTAGCCGCTTGAGAGGTACCGTTTTTGATATTTTTTATGGTAGTGCTTACTCTGGAGGGGTAAATTGAAGTTAAATTGGGATGAGGCACAGAAAAAAAAAATCTCTTTTTGGTTTTATTATCATTATTATTATTATTCATTTTCTGAACCCTAGAATTTCTAAAAGTGTGATTTGATTTGTCTGTGTTACGGGAAGTGAGGTGAGAGGGGCAAGAAAACGTGTTTGTTTACCCTTTTTTTTTCTTCCCCTTCTGCCCCTGCCACGCGACCACAGCTGGATGTTTATTTAGTGTTTAGTGTTTCCGTGCTGAACAAAGAAATGACGATATTGGACTTTCCAGAAAGTTTCACGATGCACGTGTGGTGATTGGTGGGCTGTTTATTATGGTGTTGATGTACAGGTATGACGAACTTCCTAATCAAACCGAGGACGGACAGACAGGAGGACAAGACGGGTCCAGACATAGCCAAGCGGGGAAAGGCTACCTTACCTACTCTAGTCCAGTCAGTTGGGGGCGAAATTCGAATAACTAGTTTTTTTTAGTACCTGCCAAGCTTTTGTAGACAATCATCGCGCGCCCGCCCCGGACAGGGAGGTTGCAACTGGACGAATGATCGACGGCTTCTGGAAGGATTCATGGAAGCATGAGGGCAGAAAGACGACTGACCAGTTGCGTAATTTGTGGAATCATCCCTAACGTCGATTGGAAGTTTCACCCGAACACGGCAAGGTGCCAAAAGTGACACTGCACCCCGAGCCTATCAGGGACTGGCTCAGGGACTGGGGGGTGGGAACGACTTCTCGAACCGGAGGGTTCACCGAGGCGATGATTCGCTACAGGAACAGGAGCTTCCATACCGGCATCATCCATCATCATGGATATCTACTTCTTTTCTACGGGGATAGATACCTAAAGATTCTCAAGATAGAGCGTGAAAGAAAGGGTCCAGAGGGGGAGAATGTGGAACCAACAACCAACTAAACTGACGTCGTCCGCGTTTTGAGTGGTCGCCCGATGGCAATTAAAGACTTGGCGCAGTCAGCTCACACGTTGTTTGGTCCCCTGTCAGCGTTTTTCCTGCGGGTGCAACGAAAGAAAGTCCTGACTGATGCTGAGTGGTAGTCCTGTCCTGCTGCTAAGTCTCTCTCTGTTGACTGATCCTCTGTAAATTGTCGTGAGCGGTTAGGTCAATGCCTGAAAGAGATTTTAGCCTTTCATGGGGTTCCTATCAGAGCGTCCTTCCATGCCGGCTTCTCACATCTTCTTCAGTTTTAGGTTCAAATATCATATTTCAATATCACATCACATTTTCCCTTCCCTCTTTTATTTTCGTCTCTTGTTGCGGCAGCACAGAATTACAGGGGAGACGATGGCCTTGCGACACGTGCATGGTGGACACTGTGGTGAGACCCCTACAAGCACCTCATCCATAGAGTAATCATGGCTCGCAGCAAAGTAGCAGCAACCAAAAATGTTGTTCCTTGGCCTGGCCAGCAACCTGTCTAGAAGGAAGGAAGAGGAGGAGGCTCACCAGCCACTATGTGAAACCATGGTAAGACGCTGACCACTCTCGTGATGATCTTCTCACCGGAGTTGGATTTCCTGGACTTCGCTGAGTGTTCTTTCGCAGCAGCTCCGCGTGTATTGTTTTTTTCTTATTTTGCTTATTGTTAGAACGTCGTTACTGCCCTTTCCCCCCTCCCTTCTCCAGGCCGAAAGGGAAGCGGGTTCTCCCATCGAACTCTCATTCAGGAAGTTGCCGTAGAAGAGGATTCGGGCTGGCCCGATTTGTGTCTCGGACTTGGGGTCTTCCGGGACCTTGTCAGCAAAACCAAGCAAAAAGCGGGCAGGCATGCCAAAGTGCATTCATCCTACCTACTCCACAACGACCTAGAGTGGTAACTGTCTCCACTCTACTGCTTCTGCTTGATGATGGGATCCACTCTTTTTCTCCCCTTGTGTCTTGAGAATTTACTTTACGGGGCTATTATTCATCTCACAGGACCTCACTCATTTTTCTTATTTTTCCTCTCTATTTTTTATTTTTTCCTGCGCCCATCCCTTTACTTCCCAGTCGGTCTTCTCTCCTTTGCAGTGGTATACACGTATGTAGGCGTATGGGCGGTCCCAAGAAAACTACTTTTGATGCAGGTATCCTTCAAGAGTCGTGACTTGGGGTATTGGATCATGGACCTCAGTTCTCACTTTTTCTCTCTTTTCGACCAGGAATGTTTTCCCTCTACCCCTCCCCATTTATCAGTATGTAGATATGTAAACGAATTTTCCATGATCCCTTGCAGAGAAAGAAAAAAAAACGGGTATTTTCCCGGCGTGATTTGATTTCTTCCATCCAAGGCACACCACAGTCTCGCGATTCTCAACAGCAGCTTCTGTCGAGAGATCAGACAACTTTGTGGAACGGCGCTTGTATGCTGTTTTGGATTAGAGCCAATTGACGGGCAACGGCCAGCCCCCAGCAACTCCCCCTCCTCGAACCCCAGCCCTTACCCAAACCCAAAACAATCAGGTCAATCCAGGTTTACTACCAATTATCTCACCGCGACAGCCTTTCTTTTCTGCCTTCACCGTAGGGTACCGTAACTAGCGGCGTGAGTTACCGTACCTAAGCAATTCATCACCCAGTCCCTTGCCTCGAATCACGGACAAGGGTTTGTGGGAGTGGAGGTCCGTGTCGCATTCTGTACCAAGATCATTTACATGCGTCCAGACCCCCCCTCCCCAATCTGCACATTTACAGACAGACAAGCAACCCCTCCTGGACTGCTGCTGCTGGTGCTGCTGTGAACCATGGCCCACTCGACTCAGCCAGTCATAGTAAACAAGCAACACCATACCATACCAGACGGGTCTCACACATCCCCCATACCCATACCAATCCATACCTCCTCTCACACACACCTCTCAAATTGCCTAGTAGTTTCTGTAACCCATTTTTCTGTTCGCCTGCTCTTCTCTATTCTATCTTCGCATTGCCACCGTCCAGTTCGTTCCTCGGGAAAACTGCATAGGGCAACTTGAAGCCCACCAGCCAATTTGTTTTTTTACTATGTACTACTCCCCTTAATTCTTTAGAAGAAGACTTGGAAGCCTTTTTGTATTTTTTATCGTATCAGTTACTGCCCAATTATCCTTTATTTAACGCTTGTTTCCGAAGAGAGAGATTTTTTTCTTTGCAGCCTGCCGAAAAATTAGTTGCAGCAAGCAAGCATTCTAGAGTAGGAGTCTAGGACCTCTTTTTTATTTTTATCAACTCAGTGATTAAGTCACCGTCACCATCCATCATCATCGGGGGCAGGGGCGGGAGCTAAAGTAGTTTTTTCGAGAAGAAGATAAGACCAGATCTAAGGGAAGAAGGCAGACCACAAAAAACCATTTTTTTGTTAGACCCCGGAAGATTATCGGACTGGCTCGTCAACTGCAGAGATTATTGTTTTTGCCTACCTGGAACAGGTAACGCGAAGGGGGGGTGGGAGAGGAAGCGTAGTCTGAAGGAAACAGGCGCTTCAACTTGCTGGGTAGTTGAATTATTATTCATTAGAACCTCCCAGTCAGTGTCGGTTGTCGGCCGGTGGAGTGAGTGTCTGTAGAGTAGACCGACGTACATGGGCTACAGCTAGGAACCCACGGACTCTCTACTCTCACACACACCCACCACACACACACCTCCCTCTTCCTTCTTAACCCTTCACCCACCCCAGTCACTACGGTCCCTACCCTCCCTCGTACATAACATCCTGCCCACCCCCCCTTTATCTATTCAACAACGCCCGCAGTACAAGGTGGGCTTCCGAATGATATACAAACTCACAGCCCAATGCCATTCTCTAACACTGTTATTTAGCGCTCTCCCCACGCTTCTAAACTGTCTTCCATTCAGTCTACCCACGCCTTGACTCGATCCGTCAAACACATACATCATACACATACATCATAACAGCCACTCATCCACACCTACTTCAATAACCTCCCCCCCCCCCCCCCATCAACAGTTCTCGTTACAACTCGGTGGTGGATTTCTAAATAGTTTCATTCTTTTTTTTTTTTATAAAAAAAATATCAAATATGTCTGGTCGCAGATCACGCCGTCCGCCTTCATTGAACCTTTCCCTTTCGTCCCGCGAAACTTCACCTGCAAACCGAACAACCCCTTCACCTGAACCAGACACAGACGACGAGAGAATGTCAAGTAGCTGTAGCAGCCGGCCCTTGAGCTCGGGATATTCATCGGGACCTTACTGCGTAAAGAGACCTTCATTATCGGAGGTGTTAAATGGAAATGCACCAGCTCCTTACACATTGAGTGCCTTTACAGCGTACCTTTCACAGAATCACTGCTTGGAGACTTTGGAGTTTACAATGGATGCTGGACGCTACAAGGACCACTGGAAAGCGATCACTGGCGACGACACTCTACCAACACCCGAGAGCAAAGGATGTGAATACGTGCGGATGCTTTGGCAGAGATTGATGGCTACTTACATTGTGCCCAATGGGCCAAAGGAGGTGAACTTGCCGTGCACAGTCAGGAACCACATCTTGTCGATCCCAACAAACCAGATTCCCCCTCCACCAGAATCACTCGACTCAGCAGTTCACATTGTCTACGAGCTTATGCAGGAGAGCGTATTGATGCCATTCATCAGCGATTGCCAGCAGCAGGCGAGTTGTGGGAGCTCGTGCGGTTGGGGTGCTCAGGGCTCGGATGAGAACTTGTACATGCGCGGGAGCCTCGACGAGAGAATGTTGCAGAGGAAAAGGAACTCGAACTCGCCTCCACCAATGTTGGGATTCGTGTCTAACTCGTATCCTACTGGGTCTGGGTCATCGCGTCACAACAGCCAGAGAGCAGCTTCACCCTTCAGTGTGAGCTTGGGATGGCATAGACACTCGTCACCCATGGGACCGGGTTCGTGGTCTACCAGTGGTGACAGCTTTGAGGAGTCATACACTTCTTCACCAACACTTTCATCGTGCCCCATGACTCCTCCCACTACTCCCCCGACATCTGAGGCCATGCTTCATGGATCAATCACTAGCTCGCCAAAGCACAGCAAGACCGTTGACAAGGCTGAGAAGAGCTGGAAGAAGATGACTGGGAACTTTGGGAAGCAGTTTGGATTCGGAAAGAAGAAGACTCCTCAGTTCTGGGGAGAGCACGTTTCATATTGACTCCATCACCACTGAACATTCCTCGACATGCCGTTGATGTGACCACGAATTCCTTATACCACTCATGCACTTAAACTCAACGTTGCTTCTTACCGTTCATACGACACGAGAATTACGCAGCTTGCCATCATCATCATCCAACATAATCATTCACACATCCTCCTCATCCTCATCCTCATCCTCCTCTTCATCCTCCTCATACCTTACTCTCGCGAAGCCTCTTCGCATGTTAATAGACCTCTAAGAGAACGGAAATAGTATCTCTTGTACTTTTACAAAAAGCGGATTGGGTTTTCTTTTTTTCCATTTCTTTTTTACACTTGCATCACTATTACGGGGATTTCTTTTTGTTTATTCATTGCATTGTACTTTGGCGCATGCGGGGTGTGCTTTGTTTTTTTATGGGAGACTAGGGCGAACAGTGAGATGGAAACATTTGGGATTTGTCAGACGAAGAAGGGGCGGAAGGGATGGTATGGGATTGGGAGTACTTTTTGGAGCTTTTTTGGGTTGGCGGTTACGGATTGGAAACTATCCGATTGACGCCGCGATACTACTGCCCTCCTGGCGCTTTGGGATAAGTAATGGGTTGATGGGGACTTGGGGGAGGAGGATTTGTTTTCTTTTCCCACCAAGCTCTAGCTTACTATATAGGTCTATATTTGAAAAAAGACCTTTGTATTACTTACACTTCCTTTTGTCTGGTTTTCTTTTATTCGATTCTTTTTCTTATGTTCATTTTGGTATCCGGTTTTTGTTTCGTTTGTTTGAGACTCTTCATCACCATTTGCATGTAGCGGCGTCTGGATTTGGAGCTGGCGTTCGTGCGGTCTTTTTGTTTCTGTTTATTATTCTACTTCTTCGGTTGGGGCTTTTTAAAAAAAATATTTCATCTCTACCATACCACTGCAAAAAAAAGAATCAAAAAGGATCATACTATGAACTCACTACTATATTTGTGAGCAATCAAAAAAAAAAAGCATGGGCACTTCATTTTCATCATTTTCATTTATTTATTTCCCACATCCGTGATCACCAATTCATCCATGCGAAGGGCCAGAATGATCATACCCTCTCTAGCTCTACTGCCTACTGCCTACTGCCCTACCCTACTACCCTACTACATGTACAAAACCTACTGTATGTATCCATGTAGTCATGCAGCACTGAGTTTTGACCTGTTCGCCTAGCTAACCAGCTACCCTCTAAAGTGCATTTTTTTTTCTCTCTCCCTCTTTCCCATACCATGCTCTCGATGATTACTGATAGTGTAGCTACGTTAGCTACGTTGCCCACATTCCAACCAACCCCCATCCCTCCTCTCCTCCCTCCGCCCCCCCCATCTTCGCGTGCGGGGGGCCGGTGGGGGGGGGGGGGGGGGAGCTAGGTGGTTTGTGGTTTGTTCTCTGGGGCTTCTGGATCTGCTGGCAGGGCGCGCGCGGGGGAAGGTTTCTAACTGGGATTTTCCAATTTTGGGCGTTGGTGATGGTAGGAGGAGAGGGAGAGGAAGGTTTGGGGATCTGCGGGAGGGAGCACGGGTGTGGACGTCATGAGTGGAGGGATCGGGGGGTGGGTCGCTTTGATGCGGATGCTGATGCGGATGGGGAGAGAGGTAGAGGCAGGTATGTAGGGGCGGGGTTTGCCGGGGGGGTGGTGATTGGGTGGCAGTGGATGTAGAGGCTGTAGGAGGAGGAGTAGAGGCTTCGGAGATGGACGACGTCGACTGAAACTAATTGTAATAAACAGTGTTCTGATCGGGGTTAGTGGGCTGGCAGAGTGGAGAGAGTAGAGTAGAATGAAGAGTTACTCTGCTAGACTGACTGAATCAGGAGCAGTAATTAATCACAACTAACTGAACTGAACTCATGAACTGATCCGTTTAGGCTAGCTAGGAGGATTAGTTAGATGGCCTGGGGAATTACAAGTCAAAAGAAGCCAAACTAGCCAACCAACCAACCAACCATTCGATTCGATTCACACTACTAGCCCAATATCAATATCAACTTCCCCCCTCACTCAATTAATCACCACCAGCTACTTCCAACCAACTACATACATGTACCAAGTTTCACTCTGCCTAAGTAAACAATCACATCTGTAGAGTACCTACCTACTCCACTCAAATCTCCGAAATCACAAACACCCCCCCCCCCCACCCACATAGCCAACCCGTCCTGCTGCCCTGTCTTCCTGTCTTGTGCCACAGAACATTCCATAACGGCGCAGATAACCGATCTCAACTTACCGGTCCACAGCACAGCTGAAGATTCGCATAAAAAAGCTGGTAGAGCCGTGTCGTGGAGTTAGGGTTAATTAATCAAACTTACCGGCCGCGGGCCCGCCCATTAAGGATAGGTAATAAGAGGGGGGGAGGGGTGGCGGTTGCGTGTATACTGTCATGTATACGTATACTCTATCTCTATTGCCCTTAATGCTGTGAGGCTTTTTGAGGAGTTTCGTTTGCACTGCCGTCTGCACTGGCTGGGTTGTGCTGGGTTGGGTTGATACTGCCTACTTTACCTAGGTACATACATGTACCTACCGTACCTGCTCTAATCTACGCTACTATTCCGGCCGCCGCGGCGTCGTTTCGTTTGCTTGCACTTGCACTTTCACGTTTGCCACTGGCATGAGATGAATGCTGCAAAGAAAGAAAGAAAAAGAAAAAAAATCTCTTCTCCTCCAATTCCCCCTGAGAGCAGGCAGATAGGCAGGAGGCAATTTTCACTTCTCGCTTCTTTTTCCACTCGTTTTTTTTAATCTCCTTCCTGGAGAGTGCAGTGTGCGTCGACGCCGGGGCGCTTAGAGGTCCATGGGCCGGAAATATCGATATCCTCCGAGTTAAGGCATATATACAGGATAGCAATTAACGAACCGATGAACGGCAAGTAGGGTAATGGGGTCGGAATCGAAATGCCATGTTTTTTTATCTCACTCTCTTTTGATGTTTAATTATATCGTAGCTAATGGAAGGGAAGAGGTGCCGGTCCGCCACCGCCGGCTGTATGTAGTAAAGTGGCAGAGAGGATGGGGAAGTTGGGAATGTCCATGGGGAAGAGCAGCTGAGCAGCGTATCCTGGTATCGGGATTTGGGAGATTCATCATGCTACTCTCTGCTGTGCTGGCTATCTAAAACCAGAGTAATTATTAGATAGATGCTAACAATTACTACTATACCACCGCCACTGCTATTATACTACCCGTGTTACTACTAAGTTCTACTCTACTACGCCGCTACTATTAGTATTACTCCATGTATCAACCTTGATGGATACTCTAGAGATAGAAAGTCCGTGGATGATGTGAGAACGCTGATTGGGGGGGGAGGCACGCGTCCATGCAATTACGACAGCAAGATCTGTGTATCGGGAAGGCGTAACTTTGTTTAAGCGATCCCCCTCAATAACTTTTGCTCTCCATCACAGACAGCTACCGGAAGGGAGCTGCATCGCTTTTTTGTTACTATTTTTTTTTGCATCATAGATACAGCATCCCATCCCTCACCTCATCGATCAACCCATCTTTATCCCTAATCCCTATCCCCTCCGGCCATTCCCACGTTTTTTCCTCTTTTTTTCTTTTTCCCCCCCCGTTTTTTCCCTGAACGATAATGATGAGCGGTTGACTGATCGTCGTCGGTGGAAGGAGGAGGAGGGGTGGGTGGGTTTGGTGTGGTGTGGTGTGACAAAACAGGAAAGTTTCCAGAACGCATCATGGGGATTCAGGGTTTGGGTCCCTTCTTTCTTGATCGCTGCTGATCAGCGAGGAACAGGCGGGGCAAGCAAAGAGAGCAAAGGGGGGTTGAGACATGGGACGTCACTCGCGTTGTTTCGAAACGTCACGTCACGTGAAGGACTGACTGACGCGCGTGCGTTCGGGCAGTGTAAGGAAGGTAACTCATTAATGGAAATGGATCATGTCCCAGCTGCCCAGCTACCTACCTTACGTCCCACGGTCCAGAGTAGGTAGAGGACCTGCTCTACCGGGGCAGTTCATCCCCCTAGAGAGAGAAGAGTGCGCTGCCCGGTTTCAAACAATGGGCCTTGGCGGCTTGAGGGTGGTTTATGCCTTAAGCTACATCCATGCATGCGCCAACCAACCACCCAATCAAACGTCCTGGTGGGCCAGTGTTTGTATCTGGCTCTCTCTCTACCAGCTACTTACTCCAAGTACTCTACCACCGGCCTGGGTTGATTAGGTTTTGGCCAAAGCAATCGCAGCAGCGAAACGAGTGAAACCAACCACGAATAAAGCTAACGACCAGATTCGGAATCTCTAGCCCCAGCGTCAGCCTGATTGCTACACTGGAACCATGCCTCACTCACTCCTTTTGCCTGTCTGTGTCGTATGTTGGAACGAGTGATAAACAACGACTAAGTTCCAAACGAATTCCCAGGGGGCCAAAATAGAGTACCGGAGGTACTTTCGAGAAATCTTTTTAGGTTTGGCTATCTCCGGCCAGGGATTATCGCTCGAGTGATTGGTTGAATGGCATCGATCTGCATCAGAAGTTTCCCATACAAGTAATTTTGATCTCTGGAAGCTAGCCAATTTTTCGAGATATGGCGGTACTTTGTTTTTCCACTACAGCGGGTAACGTACCCGTGGTGTGGTGGGGTGAAAAGGGGTGGGACAAGACAGAACAAAACAGAACTGGACAGGACCGGGTGAGCGAGTGAGGTATTTTGTTTGGTTTTTTTTATTTTTTTATTTTTTTCTTTTTGGTCAGTCAGTGATGGATGGGATGGGACAGATACATTGTTCAGTTAGTTAGAATTAGTTACATAGCTAGTTTGGTTTTTAGACAGATCGTGATCATATCACGTTTTTTTTGCGGAGAAGTTTCTTTTTTGTGATGGAATCGTACTCGTGCTAACTAGACATAGATGCGTTCCCATGGCCATCATGATCACGGAGCGAAGAAGAAAAAGAAAAGAAAGAGAAAATCGTGAATCGGGCCTTTTACACATACATTGACAGCTGCTACTTTACCTACCATACCTATACGGTTTCCAATATATCCATCGGGACAACTAACTAGGTAGCTAGAGTAAAGCAGATGGAGGGCTAGGCAGGTATGCTAAGTTAAACTAGGGCATCGATATCGCCCGACTGGCACAGCAGTAGCGTGAGGTTTATGAAATGGTCAACTTAACCTTGTTCTCGTGCTACACCGTCATGTGAAGAAATTAATTTACAACCCCAAATTGCAATTGGCCGGGAAATTGGGCTAGCTAGAGTAGCTAGTGCTCTAGCTAGCCATCTACTTTATCTACATCTGGCACCGTACCGGTGCACTGCCATATGGGTGAATGCACTTTAGGTATGAGGTGCTTTGCTATTCACCCACCAAAGGTATCTACAGACTACATACCACCAAAGCAAACCTCTGTACCTACGTATGTATCAGCATCACGAGAAGCACCACAAGGCAAAGCAAAAAAGAACAATAAAACCCTCATCTCCACATGCGTCCCCGCCAACAACAACAAGCCTTCCAATTGCTTTACCCCCGCTCCCCAAAACCATAAACCATAAACCCGGATCTTTCTAAAATCCCGAGGGGTCCGTGGGTTTGACTTCCCGACGGTTGCGGATGCGGGGTGGGCGGAAGGACGGAAGGATGGGTACTTGGTTGGTTGGTGGAGGGTACTGTGGTATGTTGGGTTTGTCTCACGGGGTCTGGTGGCTGTGCTGTGGTGGTTGTGGTTGTGGTACGGGTATCCTAAGGGAGAGAGAAATGATCGGTATGACAGGTATGTCTAACTAACCCTAAAAGTCTTAAAGACAGCCAACAACAAAACGTGGGAGAGTTAAGCACAAAGACAACTTTTAGAATAAGATTTATTTTACAATAAAAACCGGAAAAAACGGTTGATGATAGCCTTACTCAAAAACTGATGTTCCGGAATCCCGCTCTTTTTTTTTTCTCCCTCCAAACCCAACCCCCACAAAGTTACCGCAGCTGAAAGACACAGAGAAAAAGAGAAAAAGTAGTAGTAAAAGAAGAAGGAGATGAAGAAAAGGTAGTAGGAGAAAAGGGAAACGGGGAAGTAGTAGTAGTAGAGGTAAGAAACAAACTATTTAGGTACTTAATTGGGAACCGAAAAACGAAAAACGCCCCAACTCTAAGCATCTGAAATCGTTGCAGCTTCTACCAACTTGACGGCCTCATCGTAAGCCTCCCTGAAACCGTCATCGGTCTCTTCCTCAACAATATCCATCTTGTCGCCATCCTTGCTCTTCTTGCTCTTCTTCTTCTTATCCTTACTTCCGCCAATACCGGGCACGATCATGACAACGCTGGTAGGCCTCTTGGTAGAGCTTGCAGCACCGAGCTCGGCCCTGGAGGTGACAAAGATGTACGGAATGTTGTGGTCCTCGCACAGAACAGGGATGTGTGAGATGACATCCATGGGGGAGATGTCAGCGGCGAGGACAACGAGCCCGGTCGAGGCGGCCGCATTGGTGCCGGTGGGTGCTTTTCGGAGCGCCTTCACGACCTCTTTAACTCCGCGCTTGAGAGACTTGTTCTTGGATGCTGCATGTCTCAATTAGCACTTCTGCATTGACCAGGAAGGAAGGAAAGGAAGAATATGGAAGAAGCGGGGTGGAGAAAAATTGCAATTGGATTATAGCGGGGTAGGAGAACGAACCCTTCTTGACGGTCTTCAACACCTTCTTACTCAGCTTCTCATCCGCGAGTGGCTTCGCGAATGGTACCAGCAGGTCGCTCAATGGTCCCTGGGCCTTTGTAACCTCAGAGATGATAGCGCTTGCGACGGTGCCGCGGCTGGTACCCTCACCCGACTTTGTCTCCTCTCCGTTCTTGACCAATGCCTCGAGGAGAGCCCCAGCGGCATCGCCCTCAGTTTTTGGGGCCTTCTTGTCCTTTTTTTCCTTCTTTGAGGATTTTGAGACTTTAGTTGTGTCGTCCTCGACCGGGGAGATTATGTCTTTGGACTTCTTCTCTTTCTTGTCCTTTTTGTCCTTCTTCTCCTTCTTGTCCTTGGACACAGATCTGTCTTTGGCCATTGCGAATTGAGATGGGATTGGACGGGTGGGGAGAACGTTGCTGGTTGGGTTGGGTTGTTGGTTGTGGCTATCGAGGGCGCGGTGAGGTTGGTTGTTGGAGGTTGAAGAAAAAAGTTCAACCATGCCCGTGCTAAACGAATTGGGATAAGATGGGAAGAGCCGCAACTAGTAACCCTAGCCCATAATTTTAAAGCCTAACCCTTGAAATTGTAACTTCAACTTCCAACTTCACATGTGCACTACTCATGATCATGAGATTTGGAGTGTGGTTTCGAGTTGAGGTATGAAAATTTTTTACAGCTCCAGTCAGGCTTTGTTTATGCCACGCTAAGAGCCGCCTGGTTCTGTTCTCACTTTTTTTTCAAGAGCATGATACTCAGGGTGAAACGGACTGAATGGCTACGCTGCATGCGCATTGGGGAGCTGGTAGGCGCACAGAGGGCCACCAGGCATTCGTAGATTTGATATCCAGACCCCAAATCTTCGCTTCTGGGAAGGAGTGCATAGAACAACCGTTTCATGGAAGTGAAATTTGGTAAGTTGATGAGCATCGCGTTCGCATCTCCTTGAGTTCCAACTAAGACAATTTACTTTCAGAAGATCTATCTACCGACAAGACAACGATTACTTCCTTCCTGTGGATTTCTGCACTCAGCACTGCAGATAGCCTATCTTCAGCTATTCTGGGGCACTGCTAGCCGACAACATCCGACCTTTGACTCTCTTTGGAGAGGTTACCTATGTACCTCTCTCTGTATGTACAGGTCCAGTTCGTGAGAAGGTTTGTGTGTCGCGGCACCACGAATATTGTTGTCCAGATCATACATACCATGCATATGTCGTCGAGTCCTCGTGATGGTCAACAACTCTCACTGCGTTGTCCATTTGCTTAGCTCCCTTCCCTTTTAAACCCTGGTTCCCCTTGTTGCCTGCAGGGCCCAAGTTGGGAGTAACTATTTACTGTATCTCCGAAACCCTTCCAATACACTCCTACAATATTCCCGAGTATCCCTCCTCAACAACAGCATAAGCATTCTGAACCCAACGGCCCGCATGACTCGGAGTCGGATTATGTGGTTAACCTCCCTCCCTCCTGTGCCCACGGCTCGCTTGTTGCCTTCTCTATCTCCGAAAGAAGTCGTATCTAGGTGAAATATGTGGATGTCCATGTCAATAGTGTTCCATCCAACGCATAGGCTCACGCGATGGCTATCCTCTCCGCCAATTATTTCAGCACGACATGTGTGGCCGTATTAGAGCCAGTTCCTGACAGCATGGTGGAATTGCGCACGTTACTACGTCTTTGCGGCTTGCATTGATAAGCAAAGTCAGCCGAAATTCGCACTTCAGGCGTTGGATCCGGATCCGACCATGGGTCAAATTAGAGTGCTTTTGCCAACATGTTAACAGCCACTAATCTATGGGGGGCAAGAGTTCTTTTTTGGAGGCTCTATAAAGTTGGTTTGCTGACGTTGCCAGTGTTATATCTTTGTTATGTATGTAAATAGTACGGGCTTAGTCCTGGGTTCCGCTGGGCGTTGATGTGTTCAGATGAGGTGAGACGTGGTAGGCAAATAGGGGATGAATTCGAGGTAGGTACTCTATGCACAATATGCGGGTATTGATGATTGAGCCCTAACCCTGGGACACTGCATGGAGCCCCAAGAAACCCTCTCTCGGAATCTGGGAAACCTCCCGATGTTCCAAAGAATCTTCCAGTACGGAGCTTTGGCCAGTAGAAATGCGGTATATTTACGATGACGGCTTCTAGCCTCGTTGGGGATTTATTGACACCATTTCAGGTGAGGCTGCCCCAGCGGGGTTGGGCGGTTTTCCCAGGCCAGCGATCTCGATATCTTTTCGATAACTTGCATCAACAAGGATGTATTCTGGTTGTTGATATCGAGAAAAAAACGCTCAAATGCTAGCTGGCTCGTACCTGCACACATCCCCCGTTCCGTACTAGACTTTTTCGTGATGTGTCAATTTCTTACCCCACAAAAAATATATCACGTAGGGTTAAGGTTCCAACAGCTGTGCCCTAACTGAACACGCTTCTCCTCCTACATGCCTATTACATGCTCTGCTACTCCTCTAAGGCAAGTGTTGGTAACGGACCGGCAGGTGTGGAAATCTCCGTGCGATAGAGAAGTTTCCAGGTCGGCGATGATGCGTGCACGCGGTCCGCATCAGCATCATACCTACTTTACGCTCACAATACTTTACCTACACTACTCAGGTGCGTGGCTTAATTAAACCTGTCAATGTGAGGAAAAAAGAAATGTGGTTCTCTTTTTCTCAGATCTTGATGATGCTGTGCGTGTTTCTCCCAACGCTGTTCGGTTTGTGGTTTTAAATCGTGAAACGTGATATCATTTTGTGTTGTGATCGTCTCCGTTATCGTGGAATTTCTGGGGGCATGGGGCTGGGTTATAAGTTGGTTGTGGGAATGAATGTTCTCTATCTTTCGGGAGGTATCGTCTAGAGTCTTGACCTACTGAACTTGCTGTGGGCTGGTTGAGAATCTGTAGGTCCTCTGGGTCAGACAGACGGAGAGATATTCTAAAGTACCTACACGCGTACATACATGGCTCAGAAGTCTCGCTCCAGCCTTATCAAACCTATAAATAATCCAATCAAGGGTACTTTATCTTGCATCCGCTTCAAGCTGGAGAGATGATCGTCATTTGTTGTAGATTTGCATCATCACCGCGCGTGATAACGGGAATCAAGGGAAATGAACTGATTTCAAACATATGCGAGTGAATAAAGCTTTGACTGCGATTCCTGCGGTACGATGGTACAGGACATGTCGCGAAAGATGGTTATGCATTTGAGGATACTTTCCAGGTTGTGTGCGGTGGCGGCGATTTCAATTGCGCCACCTGTTCATATCGAGTGACACGCCATGAACTTAAAACTTAAAGTACAACGTTCTCATGACATCAACATTCTTCTCAGCATATCTAATTCCCCAATACTCTCAACGATTGAATATCATCTAACCTTTGGGGTTTTAGTCTAAGAAGATCAAAATGTCAGGTTTGTTGAATTATGAAGCTTCATTGTATTGACAAAATTGAAAGCTGAAAACAAGGCAAGACTACACAGACAGATACATCACTGTATTCTCGCCCGAGGGAAGGCTTTTTCAAGTTGGTAAGTTCAATATTTCCATTGCTGTCGAGTTTGCTGATGATCCCTCAGAGTATGCATCGAAGGCAATTACAGGATCAAACACATATGTCAATTCCATTGGTATTCGCAGTAAAGATTATGCAATTGTTATCGCATATAAACGTTTACCAGTGAGTATAACATTCTAGCCTCATTTGTGTAAAAGGAATACTAACGCCAATCATTGCATCCCAGGAAAAACTCGTTGATCCCATCTCTATCACCCACATATTCCAGATCTCTCCCTCAATTGGGTGTGTGATGGCAGGCAGCGTGCCCGATGCTCGTGCCCTTGTAACCCGAGCTCGAAGCGAAGCTGCAGAGTTTCATAAAACAAACGGCTATGAGATACCGTGTAATGCTCTCTCCCAGAGGCTGGCCAACATCAATCAAGTTTATACCCAACGTGTAAGGGTTTTCCCCCTAAACCTGACCAGCCGAGATATTGCTAAAGTAAAGCCAAGGCTCATATGCGCCCACTTGGGGTGGCAATGACACTCATATCTGTAGACGACGAGTTTGGTCCGCGGATCTTCAAAGTCAACCCAGCTGCCGAATGCATCGAATATAATGCTGTTGCTTCAGGTCCTAAAGAGCATCAGCTACTTACGTATCTTGAAAGAAAGCTTGGAGACCGGAGATATGCCTTCGGTAACTGGCGGCGACTTGCCAATATGGGAGTGAAAGCCTTGAATGCGGCTTTGGCCACGACATTGGAGAGTGATGAGGTCGAGGTTGGGGTTGTAGGCATAAACGGATTTAGGAAATTGACTCTTAGAGAAGTCAAGAATGTCCTTAGAGACGTCAAGTGGGATATTTTGATAGAGAGAGAATCTCGCCCTTGTGTAGTCTGATAGGGACTGTTAATGTAAAAGGGGATTGGTGTTGCCCTTGATTCGGGGGACCACAGGAATCACGCATGGTTCTAGAAGGTTGGGAGATCTTTGAAACTGGTTGGAATCTTGTGTTTCATAGACACAGTAAAAAGAGGGAGGGGTATGCAATTCGTCTCGTGGTTTTGTGTCACTGCATAAAAACGCCGAATGAGACACGAATAATATCTTACCGTATAGCGAAGTTTGATGGTATGCTAAAATTATTGACTTTCAAAATACAGCTTTGCCTTACCAAAATAGCATCCCTCGGCACTCAATATTCAGCATTGTTCCCTAGTTCATAAACCAAACCACATTTTCCACAACTTTGAATGATTATCCCACCTGGCTACAGGGTGTATTTCCCCTTCTACATATCCCAGTGGGATTTCTTTCTCCTTCAGAAAGGCATCTATATCCTCACCATTAAGGGTTGTCAGTTTGTAATTCCAAAGTGTTGTTCTTAATTTGATTATCAATTACGAGACTTAGGGCTAAAATTAAAGGTACCTATCTATATATATTGTGAGCAGGAGACATTATAAATTGACGGTCAAAGAATCATTACCGCGCCTCCGGAGAGTCGACCAAATATCCTAATGTTTTGGGCCATTCACATATATTTAATGGATTTATAGCATGGTATAGAAATGAGTACCTCTAGCCAACTAGTCTCAAAGGCGTTTATGGAGACTGGCCAGCTGGTTACCTCGTGTTTCAATTTTCTGATATCTCGAAAGAGAAGGAATTAGTAGAAAATGTAACACTACGTTCTCGGAAAGTCACTGCTGAGAGATAATAACGATGTTTCAATCATTGACCTCAAACCCAACTGGTTCTAGTATGATGGGAATGCCGTTGTAGTATATTCATAAAAGATTTGTATCTATGATCAACCCTAATTCTATAACACTTACAACTTGCTCAAGCTAAAATTAAGTTCTCCGAGGTCAAAAAGAGTTTAATTATTGGAGACTGTTTGATGAGATGATGTGTAGTTCATATGGGAAGCTCGATCATCCTGGAAATTCGGGAAGGGGTATCTTGTTTATCAAGAATGATACTGAACACACAATAATCTACCTCAGCTGAATCGACAGGTAGATGTTTACTTGGATTTTACGGTAGGATTGTGCGATGAAATTCTCTGTTCCAGTATATCAAGTACTTCAGTCGTGGCGCGATATCTACATTCTTCTCTGGCTCGTCGTAGCTGAATGATTTCAAATGGCCACTCTTTAAAGAAATTTTAAAGAATAGGAAAATATTCTCGTCGAATTGGGCTCGTTGTGCTGCATTCATCCAAATTTCTGGGCAAGGAGAGGTAAATATATAAGATCCATACATCATCAATCTAACATGGACTAGAGGGCTATTAAGTTATAAGTTGGACTAGTCAAGTTTATCAAGACCTGGGGCAAGCCCGGTCTACTTATAGATCTGGCCTGGTTCAGACAGCTCCCTGTATCCGCTGGTCTATCAAAATCTCTGTTGACAATATATTAATACAGAACGAGCTCAGAGATAAAATTTTCTCGTCGAACAGCGACCTAGTTACGGACTTTTAATTTAAATTGGAGAATGTCTTGACTAGTACGCAAACGCATATTAATGAATTAAACAAAAAACAAAAAAAACGCAAACGCATAGGCAGGAATTTGAAGAAAGTATCTGTAATTGTTCGGGGGTCCGAAAGAGTGACGATATCTTAGAATGTCTATTCGTCATTACATTGACCCAAAAATTACACATGTTGACTGAGATCATGTGTAATGGGATTAAGGCATGTTAAATATCAATACCTGAGCTCACATATCGACTTTCTTTGATTCTAACAGCTGAGAGAAATACTACTACTCACACTCACAGAATCAACCGTGGTTCAGCTGGCGCTCCCTTTGACTTCCTTGCTGTACTACTAAATGATTGATTGATTGGTTAGTTGATTGATAGTTCATTTGTGTATTTATATACTACTAGTGTTTAATAGGCAAAATAATTATTTGACTGGCTTTTTATAACACTCGTTAATTTAGAAAGGGCCTGGTACATTCATAAAACTTCTCAACCGGTTCTTGTTTAGCATAAGACTTCACAGGCAGGGCAGGCAGGGCAGAGACACAAATGGCGGCGCAGATTGTCATTACAGTTTTTGCCATAAAGTGTCCTATATATCGCTGCAGAGGTGGTAAATATGTATGTAGTGATAACCAAATATAATACATTTATGACTCCGGGGCTCGGAAGTCTATTTCAACACTATGAATGCAATTAATGAATTAAACAAAAAACAAAAAACTATTTCAACACTATTAGTATCGGCGAGTGATATTTCATGAATATGAATTCATTATATCGCAAAAGTACATACATCACAATGAGCTAATGACGACCCCAAGTCACCTTCTCGCACAATATAGATGAGATGTATTAAGATAATTAGTCAAACCAAGTTCTACCTAGTAAAATACTTTTTACTGGTAAGTATCTTCTGCAGAAGATGATATCTCATATCAAATTTCACTTTGGATACATACACTCGTACGTACATGTACTTGCCTCTAATTTAAGTACCTTGAGCGTGTGGTCTAATGAATTAAGTAATATTAGTGTTCGCCGTTAGCTCATTACGTACGAAGTATTGTCTTGAGACGAGAGGTGTTTTCTGTTCCAGAAATTCAGCGTTATATACGTTGACTTACAGTCATGACCGTGTATTAACATACCAAGGATTCAATATAATAATCATAACCCAAACATCCAATTATAAAAAGAGACTGTGGGCCCTAACTAAAGACATTACAAAAGAAATCGTTTTAAACGCCCATTTTATCCGGCATCCCATATCCCGCATCCCATATCCCATATCCAATTCATTTACCATTGATCCCATTAACGCCCTCCTCGATATTATTACACATAATTCCAGTCTATGTGCCGAAATAACGCAAAAGTGATAGATTAGGTCTAACTAGGACCTCCTTGCATTTCCAGCGGCGATTGCTTCCCTAAATAATGTATCCGCCCAAGTAGGTTGCTCAATATCTTCCTCTTTTACCACAGCAGTACTGGGTCCCATTGCGCGCATCTCAATATTACCCTCTCCCTTGGCTTCATCGTGCTCAACAGAGACTGATTGAGAAACCATAATTCCCCCATTAAGAAAAGGATTTCCTGTTGGGTACTCAAGAACCAAATTCTTCTCTGAAGATGAAGATGCACGGCTCGAAAGGGTAGTCGCTGTAATAGTCGGCCCCTTTTGCCACGGAGTCAACGTGTTGGCAAACTTTGCGCGCATTGGCTGGGAAATTTTGGGAACATGGGCGATCCTTGCTGAGAATTCTCTATGTGTCCGTCTTGCGTGGATTGCATGATCCGGAGAGAAGGGGTAACACCGTTGCTGCAAGGAGAAAAAGGGCAATGATACAAACTCAAATGCAGTGTTGTTGGTGATTGTTCGAGAGTGGATAGGCACCATAGTCTTAAAAGTTATTATATGAGCAGTGCCTGTTTCATTTTTATTGAGATCCAAGTACGGTATGGGGATGGGAGTAAGAACAAGTGTAGCATCGGCAAAGAATGGATCTTGGATCTCGTTAATGAGTTCTCGGAGAGCATCATGGAACATGATGACAAATGGGGAGACATCAAGTGTTCCACCTGACTCAGGGCGTCGTAACGCTTGTGAACCGCTAATGATTTGCATAGCTGTTTTGTTTTCTTGTTCTTGTAAGTAGTGGAGTTGGGTCTGTTCAAGTGTGGTTATTGGAAGCTTTACGGTGGGTAGCTGGTTACGGGCATTTGCACGAACTAGAACGTCAAAACTACCTTTTACGTTCGCTCGAACCGCAAAGCAACCGATATAGACGCCTGGATGAAGCTCATACTCTGCGGAAGCACAGTGTTTCATTGTGTTCATGTGTGTTGTAATGGTTTCCTTAGTGACTTGCATAGATCTGGCGATGTTTTCCGCTACATTACTGGGGCTGGTGAACCTGAAACCATGTGCGGCTAGACGTACAGCATCCGATTTGGTGACTTCGTTCACGAGGAAAAGAAACTTTCCCTTCCCATGACTGGCTTCGAGATCGGTATGCTTTTTGGCAAGGGATGTTCCTCCAGTGACGATTATCTCGTCATAGAGGAACCCCATCTTGTCTAGTGACCGATGAGTACCATCGGCCAGATCTTGGGCAGCAACACAGAATTGTTCCCGAAAGATAAAGCCGTAGTCTTCGACATAATCCGTCGAATGGGTTTGAGAATTATACTGTTGGACATGTGCTTTCATCCCCTCGAGAAGGCCGTTTAAGGAGTTCCAATGCCTTGTTGTTCGATAGATCCATTGAAATATAGCGTGCGATTTATCGAAACCTTCTTCAAGTGACTGAAGTACGTCAACAATTAGTTAATTTCTGGTTGGATAGAATGCCATGTCTGTACAGTGAACTTACCTTCTCACGGAAAGCATCGGTAATCTCCTTGGTTGGAAGTATCCCATCTGGTAGTACCATCAGCCGACCCAGAGGGTCAAAGGTTGCCGATGCAAGAACAATTTTTTGAGCACGATTGTATTTTTGTGCTCTTGCCCTTTTGACCCCAATGGCAAAGAATAGCATGAGAAAACACGAGACTACAGACTTCATTGGTCGTTAGAAAATCAGTACGATAAAGGTTCATCCCAGTAACTTACCATCACAATTGTAATAACCACGGTCATATGCCGAGTGTCATGCCCAAACCTATTGCCGGCTTCTGTATTTACTTGATATACGGTCCCAAGGGCCGCAGTCCAATGCATCCCACTCACTGCTCCGCTGAGAATAATCGCACATAAGACCCTTTTATACCAAGAATTGGTGAAATTCTTCCGCAATATAAAGAAGAGAGTTAAGGCGATCGTGGTGGCCACAACTGCAATCACAACAGATCCAACCACATGCCCTGGGACGTAAGTAGGCTTGTAGTTGTAAATACCGGCTTGTCCCTTCAGATAGTTAGTAGTAGTTCCTACAATAAAACTCCGACTGGATGACATACAAGGTAATGCATGCCGCAGATGCTCAGTCCCGCAAACATCCCCCTGTGCCCAGTCGAATCCACGACACGGACTCACTTGCGCCCATCAACAGATATGAGAAAAAAATAAAAACAACTGGTAAAAAGAAGGACACAGTAGTGTATCCAGGACTGTAGATGAGCTGTAGTTTATTCTGCTCATCAAAACCGGGATAGAGTATAATAGCACAATTTCCTATATAGTGCATTGCCCAGATAGCCACGCCCCCCATGGTCAATGATGAACCTGCCAGGAGATACCTTTATCATTGCGCTACGTTAGCAAAATAGCTGGAGTTTACTTGTTGATAGCTCTAAAGAAGAAGAAGAAGAAGTAGGAATAAGAATTCCATACCAATTGTACATTCCCCTCCTCGAAGTTCGTCTTTGCAGTAATTCAACTGTAGATAGTGATCCAATGAAAGAAATGATGTATGATAGGGCAATATAACCAGCCGAAAATGCCTGTGGGGCATACTCTATAGCCATGGTGGTGATGATGGTGAGGTCCAAGGATCGGGTTGGTTTTGATAAAATCTAGATGATCTAGGTCGAGCGACGTCCGGACCGGAAGAATGGATTGACGTCTGCGAGCCCCGTCCGTGGCTACTCGCTCAATAGTAAGCTGACTGTTCAGTGCCAGCAAACGACGAATAAGAGTTGTCGGACACGTAGGGTAGCCAGTGATTCGTGAAAGACTCAAAATCAAGTATTAAGGGCGAACCTTATGCTTTTGAAGTAGCCCTAGTTGGGGTCGTACGGCCATCGGGTTCTATTAACGATGCAGCACCGGGTCTATCCATTCAACTTGACCCTGATTGGTGTTAAGCGATTACATTCCTACCATCGTTGAAAGTGAGGAAAAAGCAATTGCTTGAAAAAAGAAAGAAAAAGAAACACCGGCAGTGGGAAAGCGGAGCCATTCCCGGGTGCATGTCGCCGAACGTAGTACCCTTGGTTCTGTTATGTATTTCTCCAAGGGTGAGGTTTTCAGCTGTATTTTGGGGATCCATTAGCAGGGATTCATGAAGATTTTGGCCGTGGTTTGGGATCTTGGGCCGTCCGCCTGCCTTTGCATCCGCCTCTTGCCTCTACCTATAGAGGGATACAGCTGATTCTCATCGATGGTTAAAATGAACCACTGAGGTGCTGATATTGTGATAGCTGAGATTGTTCTTGTGCATCACCATTGCGCCGGAGGGGGTGGGGGTGGGCAAATCATCCATCCTGTTCCCGGGGAAAAAAATGCTTATGATCTACGTTTTGATAGTGATGTTGGCCAATCAATAAACGTGGTGGGGGATGTTACGCAGGAACGCTAGTGGCACCCTTGATGCCTGTTTCTCTGCATTCCCACCCCGATACAGGGTCAAAATAGTACGGTACTGTAGTATGCTACATTTTTAGAATGATTGTTCTCTCCAGTGCTAGCAACAAACTTCTCAAAAGAACATTTACAACAATCGGAATGGCTACATAAACGCGAATTTTTCAGCCTGGGACGAGTGCTCGAACGTACGTTTTGCCTCCTTTTGTTCTTCATAAGGTACCCTGATATATATCTGCTGGAAGTCACTACATGATGGTCAACAAATCATAGAATAAAACAGCTCTCTATAGAGGTTATGATGGCATGCTGCTAGCTCTTTGTGATCTAGACACTTCGTTTCTAGCTGTGTTCTTTCTCTGTTCGATGTTCGATATTTCGAACGCACGGCCCAAATGTTGCAGTAAAGCTAATTGTTTGGTGCGTTTAAATCTCCTTGCTAAATTCATATCTACTCTAGTCATCTGAATCAAACTGCAAAATATAGCTATTGATCCCATATATACAAAAGGGACCCTTCGAATTCGGCGATTCTCAACACCCTATGACAAAGGCCCCACACTACTCGGACGCAATCCAATCACAATTTACGTCCTGAGACAGCCGAGTATATATAGTGGTATGCGGTGCATGCATACATGTGTAGAACACACCGTCACTTTCTGTACGACATTAGGGGTTCTCCAGTGTAAGTGCATCAAAACTCGACTAAGTGCACAGTAGCCTAATTAAATTCCAACGCGAGATAGGCACTTCGGGAATCGATTTACTCTTCAGGAGACTTGCTAGATTGGATAAAGGCACTTGTTTCGTATTCGGCCCGCCCCTAAATTTCTGCTAAAGGGCCGATTGATTAATCTAGGAAAGTTGCCTATACAATTAAGGAAGCTTGCAATTGTGATACATATCCAAAATCAAAGCTCGAGCACAATGTTTTCTTTAAACCACAACATCGGTGCCTTGATGTGGTGGTAAATAGTTCTAGCAAGGTTTATTTTCCGCCACGAGCGTTGGATACATGATCCTGCGAGAATGTACAAGACATTTTCAAACGTTCTAGGAGTTTTATAGCGCTGTTACTCAAGATCACTTGACGTGACTATCTGCGGATAAAATCTCCTCTGTTCCGATGATATGGAACTCAAACGGACGTTAGTCATGTCAGCTGTCAATGTCAAAAGATGCACTGTCTCACTTAGCTCATCAATTGCCGGTTTGGCTCTTCAACAAACAACTACACTTGAGGACCGAGGTCGATCCGGTTTGGATATCTACTTGATACAGCATTAGAGGCTTTCAGTTGATCCCTGTTATCCATTTCCAAAGTGAAAAGGAAACTCCTGCAGCCAAGAGTCTGTCCTGAGCGCGTTGAACTATCGATAAAAAGGGCATCCTGCAGGTGCGGACCGAGAAATACTTGAGGATGGAATATTTAGCATTGGGTATTTACCAGAAGGTGACATGTCAGCTGCAGAAGCAGACGCAACTTTAGCTGCATGAGTTTCCCTTTCACTTTGAAAATGAAAATTCGGGTCAACTGAAAGCCTCTGTTGTTATTAGCGCCAGCAACGACGCCAAGATTTCTGGTACTGATGCAACCGATGCTGATGCAACCGGAAATGGGCAAAAAAGAAAAAGAAAAAGAAAAAAAACGGAGGTCAACATCAAGCCAATAACTTTTTTCTGTGAAAGGCTTCACGCTGAGCATGCTAGTATCGAATTTAAACACATAGAACGGTATTCCTCTACAATTTTAGAGGAAGTTATTCTGTGGTAGGAACTGTAACTTCCACCGCGTTGCCAAGACAGCGGTACAACTTAGGCTGATATGGATGCATGGACTGGAAATTTTGTCTTAGTACCCAGCCTGCGGCGTGCGTTTCTACTCCCATTCACCTCAAGCTTAACCATGATACCCATGGTGCCGTCAGAAGCAGGTTAAGATTTAACTTGGATCATAGGAAGCGCTATACTATTACAGTAGTTATGCACTCTCCTGATACTCGGGTCCCAAATCACTTTATGGGAAAACACCGAAAGGAAAAGAGATTCGCTGACGTTTATCATTTGAAGATAAACAAATTCTTCCTGCGATTTGGCGGGTAAACGTTGCGAGTTAATGTTGATTCCGGGAAAACAGCGCGTATAATTATTGAATTCAATGAAGGGAACAAAACTTATTAAAACAGGACATAACAGTTTATCTTTGCTCTTTGTGGCGAGTTACTTTTAGAAATACAAGCACTTTTATAATATTGGAATATTGGATAGCTTACTGTGGGACAGGGTTTTCCTGTACAACGTTGTCCCAAGGTCCCAGGCATTGGTGGTCTAGATCGCCTAGGCCTGCATATAGTAGTTCGTCTCGTTAACCCCCTGTAGGTACCAACCCCTACTTTAGTTCAATATTCATGATAATCGGGCACGATACATAACCGAGGTTTTTCGTAGCGCTAACACTGCCAATATCTTCTCTAAACAAAGGTTTGTGAGTACCCCCGTGTGAGGCGTCTTCCCTACATACGGATCGCCTGGAGATCCTCTTTCAAGGCAGAGCCATCAACGAATAATGGGCGTTACGCTGCTTTATCATGGTACAAGTTGACTCTTCGGCCCAGAGAATGGTTGATGTTACATCAGTTCCTCATAATCAGGAACTAGGCTGCCGATTACCATTGAGGTTTTGGGAAAGGAGATCAAAACAAAAGCTTTGAAGTGCTGGGTTTGAACCATTCGAACAGACACCACCATGGCCATGTATGTGCTCTCTTCAGACAACTACGGCTAAGATTCATATATGTGTAGGTACATTCAATTGACTCTGCAGTTGTAAGAACTCTTCTAATATCAGTATTAAGGAATCCGAATCAACCCAGCTGCCTGGCAACAGGGAAACGTGATACCCTACCTGCATTTGAGACATTCCCAAAGCATAGGTAGGTGCAAATCGCTTATACCGTACGCGCGGATTCCGTGCAGCGATTATTAGATGCTTTAGAAGGACTAAGAGACTATGTAATAACGTGCTTGAGTTAGGAGATCTGTCTAGAAAATTCCCGGATCCCACTCCATAGCAACCAAACCGCGACCCACGAATATCTCAACAACTACAGATTGAATAGACATGAAATTGAAATTGTGGGATAATTAGATAGTAAAGAAATGAATATAAAAAAGCTACTATTTTGTGTGGCCCCCATTTGCCTCATAACCCTGATTCACCCTTGGCATACTATGAGCTCAAGGCGCATCAAAGGTCTCTTGGGGGAAAATATCCCCACTCCTCAATGGAAGCTCTCCATAACTCATCTATACTATGAGGCCTTCTCTACCTCTTGTGCTACCCTTTCCATAACTTAGATTTAAGCAAACCCCATGGGTTTCGTGGTGGTGTTTGGTCGTGGTCTGGTTGCTATGGTGCGGGATCCGGGAATTTTCTAGACACGAGTGTATATGTGTACTACATGATATTACTGCGACAACTTCGTTTCCAAATACACGTACGCAATTATTGTCTCCAAAAACCGCAGGTAAGGAGAGGAGTATCAATCTATCCGGAGCTCCTTTGCACGTGCTGCCGAAGTCCTAGGCGTATTATAGGTACGTAATCCGTTTCTTGCTCAGTCGGGCCGGTAGGCTTCTCGGGCAAGCCCGAGCTGCTATCCTCGCCTAATACCCTTCGCCTATATGCCTGCAGTTAGTCACTCACTCGTTTCAGATCTCAGACATCTACATTTACCGCGGTATAACTTAACTAGTAGCTTTCTCCCTTTTCCAGAGAGAGAGTATCGAATTGTCGTCGGTCGGTGAGAGGATAAATCCTTTGGATACAATTAACTCGTATAGTTCAACTTCTAGTGGCCGACATTTGAAAACTCCGATTCATGGTAGTTACGACGGACGCGTAGTGCGCAGATGAATTAGTAGGATTCACTGGTCTGGTTGGTTCTCTTTCCGTTTGTTTAGCGATGCTTTCTTACGTAGTACTACTGTATACTAACTAGCTTATGTTCCGAATAACCACAACTTCACCAGAAAACGCCTTGAACACCATGGAACTATAAGATAGATATTATCTAAAAGAACGAGATAATTACCGATCCTTCATAATCGCCCGGTAATTCCTCCTGAGTACAGAATCTCAATGCAAGTTTAGTATTGCCTTATCAACACTAAATCCGAATCATGATCTATCACTCGTCATGCACAATCGTCGACCAGTTCATCACTTCCTGCATCCAAACCCAGGATTTGGGGAACATTAAATTAAGGGGGTGGAGATTTTAGTCTCTTATTATATATAGTTCTATGCCAGTTTATTTCATCATTTGTATGCATCTATCCGATTAAACACTCAGCTATTTATTCTTGGTATACATCATACTAGGCTCGTCCCCAACTGGGCAGCTTGCTGCAAGTAACGGGCTGGGTACGAGACTAACATCATACATACATTGTGTCGGGTTGGCACATAGTAGAATACATACTCGAAGGTCATAAATACCTACCTTCGAAAGAATTATGCCAATTGTATGAGGACAACAATTGTAAGATCAGTTTACCTCTCCCGTGGCGTCTCGTTTTTGAGGCTAGTGTGTAATTTGACCCATATACATACCGTCATTTACCTCGCATGTAGCACTTGTAACAATCTACTCTGTAGCTAAGTATATGTTTCTCTCTTGATTGATAATAACGGCATTAGAGATGATTAAGTTATAATATGATTAGTACCTTCTCACTCATATCTCGACAATCGTCAAGAGTATACAAAAGCAAAAGCTTGATCCATATCTAGCTAGAGACGAACAACCAATGTTTTCTTGACCATGGTTTTTAGGAAAGTATAGAGTTCTGCTCACACTTGAGTATTCAATGTCTTTCCCAGCTTCTCTCAAAGATTTGAGAATATTGTACATACACAAATTAATTATAGAAAGGGATATGCTGTGAAATAAACGACCAATACTATCCCGAGCGGCCAAATGTCTCAGGCCCCTGAGACAAACTGCATTGTATCGATATCCGGTGTTACCTGAATATTTCGATGGGTATATTGAAGTCTTTTTGTATCGAAATCTACTAGGGGTTGGCGCTCCCCCCCGCCCCCCGGGGGGGGGGGGGGTGCGGAGCATTTCAAACTCACCAGATTTACTGGACTTCATCACAAGTTGAAAAATGGCAGTGGCATAACGACTGTTTTGGATTTCTGTAGTATCCCGTAACATGCATGTACATATGTACATATGGTAACCACATCATATATCCTGCATATATATATTAAATTTCTTCCGTCGAGGTACATACCCTCGATCGGCCGGTTATGAGTACCGCAGATCATAATTGAGTTCTCGATATGGACTTCCAGAAAAGTCCGTGAGCATGCATACGCACATCTGAGGAATATATATTTTAAATAACAATTTAGGGCTCTCTCGGATATGTTTGTAATTTCAGTAACCGGCGGTCAACAAGATTTGACAAGTTCAAGGACGATTACATATATATGCAGAATTACAGTTCCGCTTACGCACATCGATCAATCTCCTGATCCACTCCTGTGACTCCCCGCTACGCTACCGTTACGCGCACGATTTCTCGCATTGAAACTACTTTCGAGGCGTTTCATTCGGAATCTTAATACCTAGCGGTTGTGTTATTGTTACTCATTTGCGCAACCATCAACTGGGGTCACCTTTCCAATCAAGGCAAAACTAACCCTTTTCATTAAATCCTGTTTTATTTATATCATAAAATTTATCGATGATATCGATACCAAAAGCCAATAGTACTGGATTAGATAGATAGCGTCGGTGAGTACAGTAGATATCCCAAGTCATTTAGTTCGACTGATTAGTTATACATGACTGCAGTTACTAGGTTTAGATAATTTAACTTCTTTAAGAAGTTTCAACGGTGTGTTAAAGATTCCTAATATGGACCTTTATTGGAAATCGGAGTGGTTCATAATATATCACTCGGACTCACTTAATACTTATTAGCTCTATTCTGGGCAAAGGATAGGTAATAAATTTTTTCGATGATATGGATATGGTCCATGCATGGGTGAATTGATCTATAAAGACTGATGATAGTTTAATGACTAATCGTAGCCGGTTCTAATGCTTCAGCGAGCCAATATCATACCCGCTTGGCACATATATTCATTGGGGAAATAAACGTGATGATATGATAATTAAATGAGCCGAGCCTAGTCGAGCCATAGCAAAGCTCGTGTTTTGATAGGTTGATATAGCTTGAATAGATGGGTCAATGACCAAAAATTCTCTTATCTCACTCTAAGACTCGGGTCAAGCTCATTTTGAATTAAAAAGAAAAGGCTAGAGCCACAAATCTCGAGCTTATGGTAAAATTCTAGTCATCTGAATTTATGGACTGCTTTACACACCTGCTAAGGTAGAAGGCTGTGCTAAACTAATGCTTTTGCGCGGCGAATGAGAACTGTTCGTACGCGGCATTCAAGGGAATGAGTAACTTGAACGTTGTTCATAAAATATAGAATATAATGGGAATGGCAACTTAACTGCAGCTTTAGGCTGGGCGGTCTAGATCTGATAACACTTACGCGGCGGATGACATGACGTTACCTGATGAAGAATGTTAATATGGCGGGCATGTCAATACTCGCATTTGGCTCAAATTATTTTTACGGCTGCTGAATATCGATTCCACTCATGGCCTAACGGTAGTGAGGTCAGGTACTAGGTCTATTTAACGTGGGAACCCACGTCCGATTCACCTCCCCGGCAAGATAGAAGAATCTGGGCCACGGGGTTACAGAAGGATGTAGTTTCCTTTTGCATTTTCCTCGGCCAGAATTTTATATTGTGATAGTTTAGTATCTGTGCACGTGAGTTTGATGACTTGTTTATATACTTTGCGCCGCTTCCGCTACGAAGCCTATCAGGTGCATGGGTTCAGCAAATCCTCTAGCCCGGACCACGTATTTGGTCTTTGTCCACTTATTCCCCCCAAAGCTGATTAAAAGCTCAACACCTTCACCAAGATCTCATTGAAGAGGGCACATTCTTAGGTATTTACTGGAACAAAATCAATGGCACACCGCCTCGCGACTCGCGCATGACCTTTCATATTCCATGCACTATAACGGGTGGGTAGTCGTGGCTCCCTATGAAGGATAACATTTTTTGGCTATTCAGAAGTTTTTCCGGACGCGGAGAACTTGTAGGGGGTGCTTTTTACCCAACTTCGGTATCCCGCTCCTACTCTATAAGTGGATCCAACGCGCGTGGGACAGACGTCGAGGCAACAGGAGTTCATATCATCGAAGCCTCCCCACCCCGAGTTATTGACTTTACGAGACCCATCCAGTCCATGGTATGACCATAGAGGTACTTGTAAAAACTTTGGGGCATGAAATAGCATTGGAAACAGCTCTGATACCAGGCCGCTCTGTCGAGCAATTAAATATTGGAAATCAATGATTGTAGAGGCGATATATCGGCACAATAACCAGGTAGCAGGAAGAAAGTTTTAGAATGAGCCTAGTATCTAGATCTCTATCCCTTCATCATTTTCTCAGTCTATAGACCATTTTCATTCTGTAATATTGATAGTCTTTGATATCTGACTAATTTTGGTACGTTCTAGACAAACGAGTGATATTCTATGAAGAGAATATTTGACACTGAGCAACGACTACATATATGTACAGCCACTTAGCAAAAGTGTTCGTGATATGGTTTTCATGTCAGTGCGCAGTGTGGCGCACCCGTAATACTAATGTTATTAAAGTTGGGATTCAAAACAACGAAAAATATATAATATAGTTTGTGACTATATATAAAAAGAAGATAGGTTATTGATCTTATTCTTCATTAATTTGGGCGCCATTGGTTGGGAAAGTCTTCTCTTGGGGGGTTCTGGATGGTCCGCCGCGGTTGCATATGGAGAAATGTCACTCCGAAATCGGAATCACGAACACTTTTGCAGAGTGGCTGTAGTTAGACCTCGCACTTGATTTTATGAAATAATGGGCACTTAGCAGCCGTCGTTTTCAATTTTGCAATAACTGATCGGACCAGTCGCTAGGGCTGAGAGGGACAAATCTATGGAGGCAGGGAATTCAAAAAAGATCTATCATAGAATAAAACTACTGTTACAATCTGACCATATCAGGAGCAGAGCTAAGGAAAAGAATGACAATGATATATGACCAGAAGCATTTCTGGGTCACCGCCCTCTTCCTTCCCGTGCGCCGCTGCCAACACGGATACAAAAGAAGAAGTAAGGAGAAAACGATGTAAGAAATAAGAAATAAACCCGCCCTGAACATCATATTACACTCATAAACAAAGAAAGCGAGATAGAAAGAAAAGAAAACTGAACAAGACATACATGTATATACACGCCCAATTCGCCGACAATTCAGAAAGAGGATAGCCTACGACTGGTGCCTCCCCTTTAAGTGTTGTTTCTTCTCTTCCGCCCTCGTAGACCTGCATGTAACTACTACCTACTTTCGCAACCCCGCAGACACAAGCACCAAACACCAGCACAACTCGAAAAAAGAAAGAAATGAAAAGATCAGCCACCAATTCCTATAACTATTCCTCTACTTATATGATCATTTTCGCTCCTTTGCTGCACTCCCCTCTCCGTCACTCTCATCACTCCCCACACTGTACCTCGATTGCCTCGCTGCACCACCACTTTCGGGGTCTCTCTCAAACATTGGCGTTTCGACTGTCAGATCCTTCAATTCATCCTCGTCAAAGCTCTCCTCACTCCTCATATTCCTCCTCTTCATACCAATCCCTACACCCCGGTAAGCGCCTTTCCCATCATTTCTGGAGTTCCTGTAACTGCGCCTTTGGCGATATACAAAAATACCCCAAATAATAGCGGAAATAGCAACAAACACGAGGGCAATTTCACCGGAGCGGTAATACGCGTCCCAGCGTGCTTTATCAACTTTCGACTTCTCCTTCTCAATGGCGGTGGTGGAATTAGGAGTGCCGCCAACAGATGTAACCGGACCTTTCTCACCACCGATAATGGAATCTGTAGGGATACCGCCGATTTTCCCGATGTCAACGCCCATGAAACGATCGAGCATATCGCGCGTACGGCGAGGGAAATCGAAGGGAACCATATGTGATGAATTGTAAAAGAGAACGTATGTAAGGTTACGTGCACTTTGGTAGTATCCAGCTGGTTCGCCTTCGAAAACCCAGTCTTCCCGAGGAGCCCAAGTGCCAGGAGCATCAAGCTCAAATCCTTTCCCACCGTTGAATTCCATAGCATGAATCAATTCCTCCGTTCCTATGTGGTTGCAAATCAAATCTTTGTCGCCAGAGAATAGTAACACGGGCATATTAGCCAATAGATTTGGCATAAGCTCGATTGAAGGTTTGGAATTCTTCGCGCGGAACGCAGAGCTAACACCACCAGCACATTCAGTCCATCCGGATTTCTTGCCTGGGTTAACGTGCAGAGCCTTTACAACATCCGGTTTCCTCAGATATGGAGTCAAATCTTTCAAATCTGGAGGCCAGTTCATTCCACAAGAGGGGTAAGTGTCGTCAAGGCGAACATCGTACATGTTCACACATCTTTCCTCTCCATTCTTCATCTTTTTCGTCTTTTCGAGCATATCTGTGAGGATTCTCTCGCAGATAGGAACATCAACATGATTGGCTCCCTTTTCAGAAAGTGTCTTTGCGCAGATTGAGACCTGTTTTTCGAGTGATTTTGCAACATCGGTGCCAGCCTCAACGATCCCTTCCTTGTACGCAAATGTCAGATAGGAAAGATATTGTGGTGCAGGATCGATCCAGCCGTTTCCAATAAGAAGACCCTCAATTTTCCATTTTGTGGCCGAGGAGGATTTAGCGTTTCGGTCAAGAATTGCCTGAGCGATGTAGGGGATATGTTGCCCGGCGTATGATTCTCCAGCTATGTAAAGCTAAATCTCTTGTAAGTTCCAGTCTAATTTTAAGCTGGGGATGTAGAGTTCATAAGCTTACATCATCGGCTTCATACTCTGGAAACAATGCAAACCATTTCTCTAAAAACTTGATGAAATGATCCGCCATCTGAAATGAAGTTAGCTTTAACTCCCATTTCTAAGATAAGAACATATCGTACCTGGTCCAAATCTGTCAAGTAGTGGTTGCTATCGACATAGCTAAACCCGGTACCGACAGGTTGATCCACAAATAGTAGATTGGCAAACTCGTGCCAACTTCCGGGGTTCTCTTCGAGCGACTGATCTTCTTTCACTCTGTAGGGACCAATTTCCATCAAAGTGCCATCCATGCTGCTACATCCCGGACCCCCGTTAAGCCATATTACGGTACGTTGCCGGTTCGCGATGTGTTTATTTTGAAAATGCCAGAAGAAGAGGTTCCCGTTCGTAGCGGCATCGACTTCGATGTGTCTATTTCGTAGTTGTTAGAGCTGGGTTGGCGATGATGGAGGAAACACGGGATAGGAAGGGATAAAGGGGAGCAATGTCAAAGTACCCAGCATGCATCTTGACCAGTGGCCCCTTCGGCTGCCCGGGAAGGGACTTCACGAAATACTGTGCAGAAGAAGCGGGCGCATCTGTAGGAGCTGCGAGAACTCCTCCTATAGCTGATAATGCAATAGCTCCGAAGAGGAGTGATGACGCTGTTAAGCGCATCTTGACAGACCGGCTCGCAAGGTGTTTAGACAAGGGATGAAAGGAATTCCGTTGGAATAGTGTTAGGGAGTTCTGTAGAATAGTAACTTAGAAGTATATCAACCTGATCCAGCCCGACGATGAAGATCAGAAAATCGTGGGGAAGGAATGACTGAAGTGGGGGAGAGTTTGGGAGGGTCGTCGTCAGCTCTAGTATGCTGACCCTTGACTTAAGATGAAGATGTTTGAACCTCGAGAAAAGCGTTCGTGGCCTGGACCGGAGTCTTGGCGTGTTCGGGCGGTGTTAATACGCCCCCTGGACCTCAACGTCGCGTTTAAGGAATCTGCTCCTTTGCAGTGTAGACCGTATTCCCCACGGCCCGATAATCTTATGCACATCTTGAGGAGGTAGGTGCTCTATTTAGATGGTCTCATCCTCCAATCATGAGCTCCGTTTTGCTGCGCCTTTCTATCAATAATTACTCCGTGCCACCTTGGGACTAGCAGTATGTACCTACATCCCGGTGTGGCGTCTATATCAGCCCTAGTATAATTTATTCGAATTGCATAAAGTTCGGGTTTTACTTCGAGTGGAATGCAGTAGTTGCATCTCCTATCGAAGATCTGAGGTAGGAACTCATGTAACATGATCTCATAACTGCGATACGCAATACCAAGAGTTTGATAACGTGTTACATAAATACATATCTTGAGCGCGTTCAACAGAGGCGCACAGATTCAGGATTCCGACTAACAGCCTATGGGACAAATTGCAAAAGTAAGAAAGAAATACTAGAATGACTACATTTAGTTGTCAGGCTCCGAATGTTCCTGCCAATGGGACAATACTATTTAACCGAGTCATACTCTATGATCTCGCGCCATTTACCTTGACTGGCTTGGTCCTTTCTATAAGTACATCACGTACTACATGTAGTACATCATGAACTACACAATGGAAAGATACATGTACTTCTTATATTATGTAAGTTGCATATGTAGGTAAATGTACCTGAATGGACATCATTATATTAATAAGGTCTGTGCCAAATGGGCATTTAACATATATGGTCCTGACCTATCAATTAATAATTGACTTCAGTATGTTTCTGGTTGCGCAGTAACTAATAATTTAAATCCATATCATATCCTCGTCCCCCACATTCTCGACAGATGTCTCGAATGCAAATAAAGATTCAGGCTCATAACTTTCAAGGGAAGGGGGCTCATTTTCGTTTGTAAAGAGTCCTAGGTCCATGAGTGGGCTTCTGGGGGTCTCAAACAATGAGGAGTCATCCTCGTCTTCCCAACCAAACAAACTGTCACTTTTGCCTCCCCCGCCGCATTCGCTTTTTTCATCCCATGAGAAAAAGCTATTTTCGTCCGCAGAGATATCATCAAAAAATAGTTCCTCCTTTTGATCCTCCTCAAAATCTTCCTCGGGTAGAAATAAGACGTCCTGCTCCTCGCTATTACACGTAGTCTTGCTGGCTATTAGATCCCCTTCAATATTAATCAAGCTTTTTAAGATACCTCTCGCCCTTCCTTTGTTCTCATCTGAAATCCTCAATAAACACCCCCACAATTTTCTTTCTGTCCCACCATTACCGCCCAGCTCTTCAATGGACCTTGTTAGCGACTTATTGTGACTCTTTGCGCCGATATTTGTGATTGCGTCGCTGATAACAGTGATGTACTCGGAGTTCTGGCTAATACTTTCCAAGTACCCAATCTTTCCTAGAATTGGTGCTAGCTGTGCTATCTTATCATTCCAGAGACCACGAATTGCCGTATCGATCTGTGGCATTAGTTCCGTAGAACTTAGCGTTCCATAGGGGCAGTAGGATTCATTTGAATTGAAGAGGAAGTTGAGAGATATATCTGATAGGAAAGCAGTAGGTATGAATTTTGGTAGGAAAAGTTCAGTAGCTGCCGATAACTGACACGTGCGAATCAGGACAACTGAGAGAAAACTTAGAAGTGAATTGAACTGATAGGCGCTATGTTTTAGTTTTCATGGGTATTTGGGCCTTACTTATCACATCTGGCCCAGGCTCCTCACTATCAATTCCACCACTTGCATCAATCCCAACTTGTACCCGCTCTGGAATCTCCAACGATGCTGAAAGTAGCAACTGAGACCACATTTCTGCTCCTGATATCCATCTTCCTAGTTCTTCTATCGAGGTTTCTTCCATATGCTGTCCGTTCCATTGGAACTTGATTTTCAACTGGAGAGCACATTTAACGCTGGGACCCGAGGGGGAAAAATGGGGGGGGGGGGTAGGAGGAAGAGCATACACAAAACCCCGATCCCCTAATGATTTCCAAATCTCTCCATCTAAAATCCGCCAGCCAACTGGAATCAGGGAGCGAGAGGTTAAGGGAAGATGTGAAATTTAAGCGAAACTTGCTGGTACTGTAATCTAATAGGAGCGGGGGAACCTCGATGGATAACGAGACGGGTATCTTGGAAGTCATTTTTAGGTATAAAACGGCTTTGGGCCTCTAAAACCTTGTGGTAAAGTAAAGGATAATTCTTCAAGGCATTCGTCTGATATGGGGAGTGTTGGTATTAGGCCGAATTTAAGATTTTAGACACGTATCACTTGCTTAACCATAACTCCTAAGATACACGTATCCAAATAAATAGTGAAAAGGTCATATAAGCGCTTAACTGATCTGTCACGAAATAGTAATTGTAGGCGAATACATTTCATTTAGTGTCAATTGCAAATATAAAAAGGATGTATGTGAATACATCTACTCCAAGAATTCAATGCTGACAGAACTTACAAAAATCAAAAGTTCATGGCCGATCCTTAAACAAACTGCCTAACGGGAGCAAACATCCTTTATGTCCCTGTCTCTCGAATGGGATTGAGTAATATACATGACCGCTCATATATCAATAGGCTAACATAAAGTTCTGACATATATATTGGCCGGTTCCCAGCACCCACAGTATGCAGGCAAAATCGACCAGCCCGATCGAATGTTTAGGCCAGCCAAACGATAATATTTTCAGGGTCCTCTTGGCCTCAACGGGATCCTAGGATCAATCCCGACTCCCAAGAACCTCACACACACCCCGCACCTCCAAGCGTTGATCGACAGCTAACCCTCCCCCACCCCAAACTCCGACAAAGCTTGGCTTTCACGTAGCACTAGTAGTCTAGTGACCTAGCCCCGCTACTCATATATTTAGTTAGTCCCATCCTCTGAAGATCTTTGAGCATGTTCACCATCAAAAAAGCAATTATGTCCTCATCCAAACTCTCAGCTTCCTACCTCCTCAAGAATACTCCAGGTCATCTATCGATCCCTTCAATTGGTTTCGGTACCTTCGATCCAAGCCTCTTCATCAATCCCACTGCGTCGAAAGACCCGGTACGAGTTGCAACGCTAGAGGCACTAGAGGCCGGGTATCGCCATATCGACACTGCATTCTCATATGGGAGTGAAAAAGAAGTGGGAAAAGCGATTACTCAGTGGATCGCAGAGGGAAAGGGTAAGAGGGAGGATCTATGGGTTACGAGTAAATTGTATGTTTGTGTGAGGTGATAAATAATATCGAACGCTGATTGGTGGGGCCGGGAACATTTAGATATAACACCTTTCATAAGCCGGAGGATGTTAAAATTGGGATCGAGATCAGTTTGAAAGACTTGGGTCTTGATTACGGTTAGGACTGCACCCCAATATATGTAGAAATTTAACTGATGTTATGAGTAGTTGATTTGTATCTTATGCACTGTATGATGCCATACCTGCTAAACCCCGATATGGAGCTTACAAATAATAGTTCCAACTGCTTATGTTCCGGGAGAAAATTATGCCACCAAGAAGCGGCCCGACGGAGGCGTATGTCTCCCATTGATCGAAGCCACAGGATTATTTCTCCCGGGAATATATTAACGTTCTTGTGTGTAGCCTGAGGTAGACATCGCTGGATCTAGAGACTTTATGTCTACTTGGCGCGCAATGGAGGATCTTGTGGATACTGGTCACACCAAAGCAATCGGGATCTCTAACTTCTCCATCCTCAAAACCAAGCGTCTCCTTTCTTCAAATCCACGCATTCTCCCCGCAATAAATCAGATCGAACTACACCCCTACCTACCCCAACATGACCTCATTGCCTTCCTCACCGCAAATGGTATTCACGCCACTGCGCATTCGCCCCTCGGCGGACGTCCAGTTCCGGCAGTAGCCTTGAACGCCCACCTGTCGGGCCCACTGACCGATCCTACGATCCTGAGTATTGCGGGTAAATATGACAAATCCCCAGCACAAGTCTTGCTGTCATGGGGTGTGCAGAGAGGGACCAGTATTGTTCCGAAATCTGCATCGAGGGAGCGAATCAGGGAGAACAGAGAGCTATTCATATTAGAGGAAAGTGACATGGTGAGGATAAATGAAATTTGGAAGGGTTTGCCGGAGGTCAAGGAGGGAAAGCAGGGGAGGAGGGCGAACGATCCGAGTGAACACACGGGATTTGATATCTACTCTGAAGAGAGAGAGGAACCGTAAGTCGAATTTGGCCGCATTAGTCGAGGCGGTGAGCACGTACCCTTCCAAGATTTCCCAGCTATTCACTTTTCAGAAGGTAGCAGTTTTAGAAGAACAAGATAAAGCGTAGAGTTTTAAAACTAGAAAAAGAAGAAATTGATAAGTCTTTCCTCCTCATCCAGGGTGTAACAATCCGCCCTACTATTCCTACTCCACAAACGGAAAGGTTGTAAACCTGCATGCGCAGCTTCCCAGCAAGCACAGATGCTACCCAATTAGAATCGCTTCCAAAACGATGATCCCTGCATCTAGATATTTCGACAGAATCCACCACGATGGCGTCTTCGAAGTCGACGTACAGTATTGACACGCACTCCTGCGATCGCAATGAACAGATGTATGTACCTCCATACCTGGATATATACTGTTCCACCCCCATGTAGATTATAACCAAAAACATACCAAATTTATCATAAGCCTAAAGTAGAGATCGGAGAGTGGAGGAAAGACCTTCTACGTTAGAGATGGTATACCATTTGCCATCTCGATTCAGCTGCGATCAGATAGATCAGTTATCACAGCTTGGCACCGGCTGTGTGAACTATGATACATGCTCTAGCGAGGGAGAGGGGATACGGGAAGATAGAAAGGTGGGTCGGCGGGGGGGGGGGGGGCAGTTGTGAGAATATTAGGCACGAGAGCAACATCATTTTCTCTCTTTCTTTCTTTCTTTCCTTCCTTCTTTTTCGAAAAAAACTCTACACCTGCATTACTATTCTGGAAACAATCTTCGTAACTTCTTCTTTCGCGCACTCAAAGCCATGTCAGCTCCAGGCGGTGGTCTTCAGGACCTAAACGCCCTACCATTACCATCAACTGATATCGATGACACTGACGTCGCCTTCAATCCGGACGACTTGGCCATCTTTACGAACACACGGTTCTTTGACTTCGATATTGGTCCTGATGACAGGCGCAACCATAATAGGGAGGGTGGTGAGACTGGAAGGACGGATTTGATTGATCCGGAGCTGAAGAATGGGGGTATGGATTTCCTTAATGGTAAGAAATGAAATTTCTTTATTCATGAACGTGAAGTCGTCGATGAGCTTGTTTGGTCCGGGCCTTTTGGCATTGGGAGCCGTTCTCGACTCTCATGTCCCTCTCCCAAATATGCAGGAAGTGGTTGGTGATCATGAGCACACCCTCATTCCTAGCATTAAATCCCCCACCACCACCACCCGGTTCTGCACACGTCTTGTTCTGTACGAATCACCATTTTGATATCTACCAATTAAGCATGAAACCTCCCGTACCCCATACCCATGGGTTTTCGGGGGGAGCTCCTCACAAAGAAAGAGGATACTCGCTATCGGCTATTTTTTTCTTCTTAAATATCTTTTTGATTACCTTATAGTAATCAATATCTATCTCCATCCATGTATCTACCTATTGATTACTTACATCAGCAAGAACATACCCCAGGGTACCATAACAGTTATTTATGTAGATCTTGACAGCTAACCACACACCTCTCTGGATATGTAGACTTTGACCCCTACGGTTATGATACGTACCCTTTTGGTCCTACCCAGCCCTCCCCATCTTCTCCAAATATCGATAGAAGCTTCACGCCGTCCACGATTTCCCCTAGTACTCGCAATCGTCCTGTCCAACCATTAGCTCCACCACCTCCACCTCCTACTGCACCACAATCAGAGGCATCGTCTCCCGGCCAGTCGCCTTATCCATCCCGCAGTAACATGCGAGCCCGAAAAGCATCAACCGCAAGCTCTTCCGACCATATTCAGTCCCCTTCCTCCGAGCAATTCGGGGACGAGTCTGTGTCCCGGGTGGGCGCGGCAGTTGATGAAGATAAACGTCGACGAAACACCGCGGCGTCAGCTAGGTTCCGTGTCAAGAAAAAGGAAAAGGAAGCACAGCTGGCAAAAGACGCAAAGGACGCTGCGGAGAAGGTCAGATTGATGGAGGCACGGATTAAGAAGCTAGAGGAGCAGAATGAATGGCTGAAGAGCCTATTGTTGGAGAAGAAGAGGGCGGTCCCGGCAGTTACAAAAGATGGTGATGGTGGAAGCACGCCTTCTGGGAACGATAAAGGGGAGGTGTTGAAGTAGTGCCAGAGTTTTTGGTTATTTCTTTTTTTTCTGTACGGGAATTTGTTTTGCTTTTGTGGTTTTGTTTCCCTTTTGGAGCATGGCGCGATTCAAAAGATCGATCGTAAGAGAATAGTGAGCTAAATGGTTAGTATAAGCTTTGTTTATTTGCTTTTATTTGATTATGAGCTTAAGTATATCTATGTTGTTTTGTGATAGTCAATACTACATGTAAGCACATCTCGTTTCTACAAGCTTGAACAAAAATGCCCTAGTCATCCACATACCTCCATCCAAAACAAAATCCCAAAACACGCCGGGAGCCTAATCATCCGAAGCTGTGTAAATAATAGAGCACAATACACATTACCATGAATTACCTCACCGAAGCGCGAAGAGCTCTGTACCCCATACCTACCTTCGATTGCGCCATCACCACAAGTTCTTGCGAAATTGGTTAAACGGTTATGCAGGCTCATGTACTGGCGCGGCGGTGGGATGCCGCGGGGAATTTCAATTGGCTTGGCCAAAGTTCGCTACGACCTGGAAGCTTGTTTTCTGCAGTGCGGATACGGGCGGTATCGGAGTTACAGGGGGTCCGCTAGGCAGCTACGCGGCCAATTCACGATGCCAAGAACCTGTGAGGATTGGATTAGGAGCGTATGGTAAAGTTCTGGCGCTGCATAAACTATTCTACCTATGTAGTTTAGATTTTTTTCTTTCTCTGCATGTATTATCACTCGATATGTGCCAAGCTGCTTACCGGTCAAATCTATCAATAGAATACATGTAGGTCTAGTACTACATTTGCCGTTATCCCTTCGTTCGTTCCCGCAATTCACAACTTTTTGCCGAAGAAGCGGCGTGGTGATATTCAGCATACTAGCTGTGATTGGATTGTAACGCTGCCAAAAAGAGAATAAACTCGTTCAAAAAACGAAACGATCTGCTGAAGGAAGGGTGACGAGCGTTACATTCACACCAAAGAGGTTCACGGAGTGAGGGTTAGGTTTATTAGTAGAGGATTTACAAGAGATTTTGCTTGACCGGTTTAGTCTCTCCAAATAGCGCCCGGTCCTGAAAACGCACGGAGGGATTTCGAAAACTCCGTGATTCTTTTTTTTCTCAATCGAGCGTGAATCGTGTAACCTAGCCCCTAGATTATTCCGAAGGTCTAGACTTGTGAAAGATACATCTGCTCAGTATATGAGGTCAAACTTGAGCCAAGAACTGACAATAGGTATGGTTTGACCCACAAGGCCAAAGAGCTATTTTTCTCGCCCCGTGGCGTAGAAGAGGTCCGCAACGGGGTTAATACACTCCAACATAGCACATCTTTTAGGTATCGATAAAGGAAGACTTTAATATTCCATTCGGTTTCCCATAGGTAGGTTAAATGTATAAAAAAGCGTGGGAGTTGAGTAATAAAAAGGCCTCATGAGTTTAATTTAAAAACGTCGCCACCACTTGGGGCATCGCATCGTTGCTCTCTTGCTTCCCGAGTTTGACCACGGATCCTGCAGATCAAGATATCATTAATGATATAGGCGCTAAACGACCATCCGATGAATTGGCTGAGTGGTCTATGACAAGTGAACTTGTCATTCGAATGCACTGCTGATGTAGATAGACCACTTCATCACTCACTCGGGCACTGGCTTTCAGGTGGACAGTGGTGGCGATTAGTTGAGAAGAGGTGTAGAAGCCGGCAAAAATGTAGATTCCCTTATTTCTGTGTCAAACGTCTAGGCGGGCGGAGTGTGGCGGTGGGTAAAGGTGTTTATGTAGCCAGATCTCCCAGAACCAGCACGTTTCACCAGCTAGAAAGTCCTAAGATGTCGATCTCGTGGACCATCAGAATATAGAGCAGGCCCAGTAGGTATATACCTGAATCATATTATTTGGAAAAAGCCCACTTCGAATTCTTCAAGATGGTGATGGATGAGCTGCAGCACTAAGCGTAAGTTGTGTGTTGTAAGTTGCAGAGGAGGCCGAGAGGAGGTGTGTTCTTGGCGCGCGAGTGATTTCCTGTGATCACATAAGTCATGATGCTGCGGCGTATTAGCGATGCAGCCGACAATTCTATGGGTCACGTGCCCCCTTCTTTGCATGGAGCCTTCAGTATTTGGTGCGTAGACCTTAGAATAATAAGTCACATGACCCATAGAATTGTCGGCACTGCTATATGTAGTATGTACCTACAGTACCGCGTAGAATCTAGCGGAAAGGCTCTGAACATATATAACCAAGCAAAAGGCGGCTTGCACGCTAGATCCCACCTTCCTGATCTACCTTAACTTCGCATCTTCAATCAACGCCCCGCCTATCAACTAGAGCTCTATCACCAGTTGCCGCTCTCTCCTCATCTTGCTGGAGCCAAAAACTACCTTTAACCTCGGTGGACGCTGGGCAGTTGTCATGAATAAATTGGCTCCGTCCTAGCTGGGACTTTGGTGTTTTCCCAGGCCCGGGGCTTTTTGAGCAAAGCTTGGAATACAAGGCTGGGGCTCTTTGTGTGGAGTAGTTACAAGGCTCTTTGAGTTGACCAATTGGAGCGTGCCTTGGGGGTGGAAGGGTATGAGCTAATATAACCTCTTATATGACAGCGCAGTATGTATTCCATTTGGGATGGCTGGATACGACTAATGGCCGTGCATCTGGATAGCGAGACTCGTTTAGATCCCATAGGACCGAGCTTGCTTAAACCGCGGTTTTGAACCATGTGCGGGATTGGGTGCCAGCATTTGACAAGTGCAGGGCTAGTTAGGTGTTTAGGTACTCGAGCATATCGAACACAGACTCATACATTCGCTTAGTGTATCAAGTCATAGGCCTAGATATAGCACTGTTGTTCAAAACTCGCTTCCCAATTATTTATCACTTTGGGATCTAAAAGAGTCTTGCCATTTAGCCAAAGCTTCTGAGCCTCTCTCTCTACTACCCGAGCTTGCTCAGGCCAAAGGCCAAGCTCGTACATAACGTTCAACGTACTCAAAATTCAACTTGAATGTCGCTGACAGTGCAATATTAATGATCACATGTGGCCATAGCCTTTACATTCGTTTGCGTGGGTAGCTACGCAGAAAACTTGAATCTATTTTGGGGTTCATGCGGAGGCTGTGATATCTTGATATCTCAATGCCCATTGACGCCTATATATGTTGAACGGGTTCTCCCCAATGTCATAAAACTTACTATGCCTACGCTATAATCACATTATAATTAAATTATAAGGAATACCAGCTTACAGCTCATATTATTAACATTAACATCTTGAAAGACACACTAAAAAATCATGAATAATAGTAATATTAGCAGCAGAGCCAACCCAGGGCAGCGCACTCGGAACAACACATCAGGCCCCAACCGTGACGGCAGAGACTTCATTGACCGACTCCTCGACTTCTTCCACGCACCCCCCAACCCACTCCCCGAAAGGCCCCGCAGCGTCTCTCCAACCTCATCCGCATCCGCCACCTCAGACCATGAAATCGCCGACAACCTCCTCTGCACCGCCGTAGAAATAAAGTCCTCTTCTTAATATGCGGGCACCGTGCCTGCACTAGCTGTACTAAGCGGCTGTGGAATTCGATGAGGCAGTTGCCGGGGAAGCCCTACGACCCGCGGCCAGTTTTTTTCCCGTGTCCGTTTTGTAGAGAGTTGGTCACGCGGGTTAGGGATGATTTGGTGGTAGACACCGCGACTGGTGGGTACCCGGCAGCGGACAGTGCGGGTGGTTGGGGGGAGGGGGTAAGGGTGGTGGAGTGGATGTTGAGAGTCTCGGGGAAGACGAGGGAGAGGTTGGAGGTGGAGATGATTAGCGTACTATAGAGTGAGTTTGCCGATGGTCAGCCTATGTAGTTTTTGTTAATGACCGCACGTTTGACAGGGTTGAGGATAGATGCTGGTTATGGTGCGAGTGAGAGAGAGCAATGTTTGGAATTTAGTAGCACTCTGATTAGATGGCATAGGTAGTCTACCACAGACTGTGCCCTGACAGTGTCTACTGTGACACTGTAGCTCTACACCGCAGCCCATGGGGTACCCATGGGATAGATTTGTGGAAGATATTTAGAGAGAAAGAATAAAAAGCGAACTTAAACCCCGTTGAAGTACGAACCCATATCTTGAATTCTCCGGGCCAGCCAATCTGAGAATCCAAGCATCCGAGATTGAGCTGAGATTGAGCTAAATCGTAACACTAAAGCTGGTATCAGACCACAGCCAGCTGCCCTCTCATCTGATAATAATGTGTAGAGGAAATCGCAGTCATGAAATATCACTCGCTCGTAATCTATCTTGGATTTGTACTGGTGAGCTGTTTGAACTTCTGACTGTCGATACCTGTCACTGCCATGTAGACACTTGGCCTATTGGCGACTATATAACTACTTAGTTTGACTCTTTGGCGAGATCAGAACCAAGTCACTGATTATCTCGTCCTACTTTTCCAAATAGGGAACTTCACACTCACCATTAATTCACCGCTCACCGGTACCACTCACCGCTCAACACTCACAACTCACCACTCAACACTTAAAGCTACTCACCCGGACAACTACAACCCCTCACCCGGGCAGCCAAAACACGAAAAAAGAAGATGTAAGTTACGTAGTTACAGCCACAGCCATGGCAGACAGATCCAGTGTCAGTAGCGCTATCTCTCGAGCTCTGGTGTTTCTGATGTATGTCTGTAGCTAGATAAATTCGGTTCACCACTCACCTAACAACACCCAGACCCCCTGCACTAGTTAGGAGGTTGGTAGTTGTTGGTTGAGGAGCTGTGGGGCAGGTGACTGTGCCTCCCAGTCTCTGTCACTGCTCAGCGTTAACGTAAGTTTTCTGTTACCCATTTTCCACCGAGTTCAGTGTGTATGGGGCACAGGGTCGTTTGGGCCATGGATATGAGGCCTCCTCCGCGCATATAGACGCCGTCGTTAGATACTGAGCGCAGATATGCGTATTGAAATCTGTACTGCCGGTGTGTATATCTATGTGCTAATACCCTAGTTGTTGAAAGGGCAGATACCCAATATATCAGGAGCTCAAGGGCTGGGGCGACTATGCTATCATCGCCTTAGTTAGCTAGCCCTGTATCAGACACAGAGCTGCCTAAAGTATTTTTACTTGTTATTTATTTCGAGGACATTAATAAAGATGGTAAGAATGGTTCTATACGCGGCTATCTAGCTTAGTACCTGTCTATAATATGCACCAATAGGTGACTATCATCAAAGCATGGGTCTTTGCACGACACCGGACCGAAATTACATTGAGCAGACAGCGCTGCTTTTTGCTGCGATATTTATGTTACCGATACGAAACAGCAGCAAGGGGAAAAAAGGGAGGAAAGCAAAGCAAAGAAAAGAAAGAAGAAAAGAAAGCCCTAATACTATTAATAAAACCCCACAAAACACCCTACCGCTCCAGAAAACAGCCACAAAACAAAGAGCCATCACTGGATCTCCGCCACCCTCGCCTTCTTCTTCCTCTTGACCGTCTTTACCGGCCCTACCCCACCTCCCGTCCCCGTCCCCGCCCCCGCCCCGCGCCCTCAGCCGCTCCATCCCCGCCCTCAGCCCCACCCTCCCCCTCACTCACCGCAGCCTCCCTCTCATCCATCACCCTCGCCCTCAACACCGTTCTGTCCCTCTCCCTCTCGCCCCTCCGCCCCTCCTCGATCCTCTTCAAGTTGGCACGCCGCCGCGCCCCCGCCTCCAGCGCCCGCCGCTTCAGCTCCGCAACGTCCCGCTGCTGCTGCGCCATCGCCGCCTTGAGCCGCGCGAGCTTGCTCTCGTAGTGCGGGATCTGTGAGAGTGTTGGTGCGATGGCGGTGTAGTTGGGGAGGGTGGAGAGAGTGCTGCAGGTTAGGTGCAGCGAGGTGAGGAGTGTGGTTTGTTCATGCCTAGGAGGGGGATGTTAGTGCGGGAGAGGAGGAAGGGGGGGGGGGGACGGACTCGAGGTGGCGGAGTTGCGCGGTGAGGATGTCGACGGCGGCGCGGGCTTGGGTCGCGATTAGGTCGACTTCCATTTTTGGGGTGTGCGGGGTGGAATGGAAATGGAGTGTCGTTGGCGGATGAGATGAGGTTCACGATGTTGGTTGTTGGTTGTGTAGTCCGATCATCACTTAAAGCACCTGGCCGGATATATTGCGGCTGTCACGTCTACATCTACTTGCACCCTGATCTATTCCAATTCTAGAATACACATGTTTTCGTGCTGCAGTTGCAGGTGCGGGGAAAGGCCTACTCTACTTTCTACACATGCTTTTGTCCCGTTTTCAGAAGTCATGAAGCCATGTCATGTCTCCTCCGCTTCCGTGGCGGTGCGGTGCGAGGATAAAGGTGGGGAGGGGGGGGAAGTGTTTTATCGATAGCAACACCCGGCTGTTGTGTATCAGCCACGAGACGATCAGACACGGGCTACAAGCTAGGCACAACCAACGCTCAAGCCGCGACTCGTAGAGCAGTGGACGGGTAAAGTGGAGCTTCTGTCGGAGGAGGGATGGGATGGGATGGGAAATGAAATGAGCGATTACAAAGTGTGCAGGTATTGATTGGCATGCGCGAGAAGGTTCCAGAATGGAGTGTCAGCAGGAGGTATGTGGGAGGTAGAGAGGTGCAGTGGGGAGGGAAGGGATGGGATGGGATGGGATGGGAGTAGCTGGGATGGATAGATGATCTTGTCTTGAGGTAGGTGGAGTGAGCAGAGCAGAGCAGAGCAGACAGTAGACAGGGAATCTCCATACACATGCTTCGGAAGGAGGCCACAGCACGTGTCACAATTGGCCCTGTGTGTTTCTGTTTCACGAACCTGGCCTGGAACTCGTAGACTCACGGTGGATCCTGTCTGTTGTCCTGTCTGTCCTGTCTGTTGTGTCTGTTCTGTCCTGTCTGTCCTGTCTGTCCTGTCTGTCCTGTCTGTCCTGTCTGTCCTGTCTGTCCTGTCTGTCCTGCCATATCCTGTTCCTGTTCTGTCTGTCCTGCCATATCCTGTCTGTTCTGTCCTGTCATATCCTGTCTGTCCTGTCTGTCCCATCCTGTCTGTCCTGTCTGTCCTGTCGTGTGCTCTTCGTATCCAGGTCAAGCTAGTTAATCGGTTTGTGCCCAGATACTCGGGCTGGCAGTAGAGTGCAGCACCCAGCCTCCCTCCCTCCCGAGGACTACTTCCACGACTCTCTTTCTCTTCTCTCATCTCTCATCTCTCATCTCTCATCTCATCTCTCATCTCATCTCTCATCTCATCTCGCTCTGATCATCCTTTCTTGCTTCTTTATTTGCACAACTACTTCACCGATTACTGCTGCGGATACCGTTACATAGCGATACACACCGAGGATATACATACACACCCACATACCATACCACACATACAACACCCCAACCACCACCACCATGCTCCACAACCCCGACGACACCCCCACCCCAACCACCACCACCACCTGGAACCCCCCGCCCCACCTCGCCGCCCGCTTCTCACGCAAGCGCCGCCGCCCCACCACAGGCACCCACTCGCCCTGCAGCGCGCCGCTCACCGCCTCCAGTCTCGCCACCACGCGCCGGCAGCTCCTCCTCGACAGCCGCAAGTCGCTGCTGCGCCAGCGCGCGCAGCACGTCGAGAAGGTGCGGCGCGCGCGGGCCAACAGCCATGAAGCCGTGGGCGCGCGCCTCCTCGCGCTGCAGCAGGCGCTGAGCCAGGCGCAGGAGAGCCGGAATGCAATCTTGGCCAAGATCGCGGGCAGCTGTGCGAGTGAGGTTGCGAAGGCGAAGAGGCTGGCGGGGGAGACGAGGGAGCGGCGGGAGAGGGAGGCGAGGGCGTTGAGGTGTGGGGTGGAGGAGAGGATGTTGGAGGCGGAGAGGAGGCGGATGGAGGTGTTGAGGGAGAGGAGGGGCGGAGGAGGACTGGTGGGGTGGGGTGGTGAGGGTGGATGGAGGGAGTGATGTGGAGGTGGAGGAGGAGGAGGGGGCTGCGACGGCGGCGGCGACGCAGAGGGTCAAGTTGGGGGGGTTGAGGGTGAAGAGTGGGGAGGAGGTGAGGGGGAGGCCGCGAGGTGCATACAGAGGGTGTGGAGGGGGCATGTCAGGGGGGAGGTTGTGAAGCGCTTCTTGGGGTTGGGACTGACGATTGAGAGCGTGAGAGATACGAGCTTTGAGGATATCTCGAATAAGTTCCGGGAGGAGGGCGTCCAGAAGGCCACTGCCCGGCTGTTGAAGCTTTGCGGGCTGCTGGGCAGCTCGGCCGCCGAGGGAGAGGTCGACGTCGAGGTTGCCTGTAGGACCTTCCTGAGTGCATATCTAATCCTGGGGCACCCAGCAGAAGTCTTGAGCAATGACGGCGAGAACGAAAAGGTAAGATGAGCTCTTTTCTTTTTTACATGTGACTGGTGCATCATGGATACTGACTCGGTTCGTGAAACAGGCGTTAATCACCAAATCCAAAGATCTCCTAATCGCTTTCGAGTCCTTCTTATCTGCGCCGACATTCCCGCCTGCAAAGCACCTGGCCGAGACCTGGGAGTCCTTCAGCACGGCGTTCACCTCGTGGAAGGCCCGTGACTCGGAGATTCTGATCAATACCATGGTTGCGCAGTATGCCGAGCTGGACCTGATCTGGCAGAAGGTCAAAGACGACACCGAGCAGCATGTAGCGGCGGACTTTAAGGGGGGCATCAGGGAGAACCAGTTGATACTGCTTGTGCGCATCCGCAGGCTTGCCGGCGAGAAGACGAGAGGCCTCATCAGACAGGCTGTCAAGGAGGCTAGGAGGACCCGGCTGCCAAAGAAGGAGAAGGGCGATACAAGGCCCCGCGAGACTCCGAGCTCCTCGGAGGGTAATACTGTCTCTACCGCGGTCACGGCAGCTTCTAGGGTTGCAAACACACCCGCGTCCCCCATCACCGACCAAGCCTCCGTCCCCATAGCCGCCCCGCCCACTGCGGACCCCACACACGACGCCTTCTCCCAGTTCTCAAACAGCGGCACCCTCAGCAACCGCCAAATCGTGCACGAGCTCGCCCTCAACCGCGACTTCAAGCTAACGCAGCGCCAAAAGCCACCGCTCGAACAGCTCGTCGAGCGCGAGGCCAAACGCGCCTTCTGGGACCTCATGCGCGACGACGTCCTCCACAACCGCAACCTCACAAAATGGCTCCCGCCCATGGCCCACTCCGTCAAGTCCAAGCTCCTCCACCTCCTCGACCCCGCCGGCTCCCTCCACCGCACAATCACCGACGCAATCGACACGGACCTCATCGCCCAGCAGTGCCAGCACGGCACATACGACCACGAGCGCTTCTTCGCCTTTGTCCTCGACCTCCTGCCGCGCATATGCTCGCCCGCCAGAGACGCGGACGTCCAGGCGCTCCGCAGCCACACCGGCGACTACATCGACCGTCTCCAGCGCCTCTTCGACGTCCTCGAGCTCCTGCAGCTCGACCACGCGAACTTCCTCCTCATGATGTCCGCGCAGTACGTCATCCCCGAGGCGGCGCCCTACGAGCGCCGCCTCTTTGCCGCCGACCTCGCCGCGGGCCGTACTATGCTCAGTCGCACAACGGCGTGGCTGCAGGCCGCTAAGGAGGCGAAGCTGGCCGAGGCGGCGGCGAGAGACACGGAGGGCGTGCACCACCCGGAGAGCCGTCCGACGCCGGTGCAGATCTGGAACCATGCGTTCTTGGGGCTGATTACGACGCTTGACACAACGCTGCTGACGGTGGATACGGCGCCGGAGACGCTGCATCTCGATATCGACCGGCTGAACGGGTTCCGTGCGGCGTTCCGCGCGGTGGTGCTGGGTGCTGCGATCACGATTACGACGAAGAACTTGCTGCGGCGTGATGTGCGGTCGGGCTGGAAGGCGCTGAAGGAGCGTGTTGCGGCTCTACTCCTCTCTGCGGAGCAGCGGGGTGAGATGGGGGGGAAGGAGGTGGGCGAGGGCATCTGCGCGTTCCTGACCGAGACGGTTGCCACGCCGCGGGGCGTGCTGGGTCATGTTTCGGGCGCCGTGGGGCGGATTTTGGGGCGGGGCGGGGCGGACCCCGTGGTGCGGGTTGTGGAGGGACGGGTGAGGGGGTTTGTGGCGGCGAGGCTGGGCGCGGAGGGGAGTAGGGAGAGGGTGCGGCTTGCGACGGGGGGCGGGGAGACGTTGAGTGGGTTTGGGGTGGCGGAGTGGATTGCGGAGGTGGGGGGGTTGGTGGAGGGGGTGGTGGGGTGTGGGGGCGTGAATAGGGAGGTGTATAGGGAGTGGTATGATGGGGTTTTGGTGGAGTAGTGTGTGGGGGAAGGGGGGAGGGGGTTATGTGCGGTTTTGTGTGTTTTGATTGTTGCTGTTTCTTCTTGTTGCTTCTTGCTTGTGTATGCTTGGTGATGCTTGCTTCTTGTTGCTATTGCTATCGGCATGATGGTTGCTTCTGGAGGGTTAGGTAGCTTAGCTAGTTAGTTAGTTACTGAGTTACTGAGTTAGCCGGGCCCAGACAGACTGGTTGGTGGAAATTGTAGCCACTGCTTATGAGTCCCTTTTTTTTGTGCTTGTCCTGCTCCTGTGCTTGTTTTTGTTTGATCTGCTCTTTTTTTTTTTTTTTTTTTTTTGCTTACCTGTCGATCGTGCCTGTGATTGATTATAATTGTGGCTTGCTTGTCGTTCTGGTCTTTGTTGTGCTTGTGCTTGTGCTTGTGCCTGTGATTACCTGCACTCATCTTCTTGCTCGCTCTGCTCTGCTCTGCTCTGCTTTCTGGACTTGCTTGGTACACCGCGTTCCTCCGTTGCATGCACACACACGGTATCATATCATTGACCCTACCCTCTCTCTATCTCTATCTCTAGCTCTAGCTCCCCCGCCCGCCCTGATCTGGGCTCGCTCTTAAGATCTGGCAGATTCTGTACATGTAGTCGGTCTTGGCTTTGGGGTGGTTAGACTGTAGACTGTAGACTCTGCTTAATTATAGATTCTGGATTCTAGACTAGACTAGACTAGACTAGACTAGATGCTGCACTGCGGCTGCTGTATCATACGTAGGTTTAATTAGAAGTGGAGTGTGGTATAGTAGAGCTAAGATTATTTTGAAACTTTGTGCTTTTTTTTTTTTTTCAATTTTCTCGGGTGGTGGATAATATTCTGGTGGGCCTGGGGCTACATACATACATACATACATGTAGCTTTGTAGCTTTGTAGTGATTGGAAATTGCCATAGCTAGTGTAAGGCTGCGTGCAATTAATGAATTAAACAAAAAAAAAAAAAAAAAAAGAATTAGTGGGATTGGTTGGGTCGAGTGAGAGTGTATGATGGCGCGCGCTAGTTAGTCAGTTACGTTGGGTGGGTGTTCTAATAATTGGTGGGCGTTGTGACAGGTGGGGTGGGTGTATGGTAGCGGGGCCTAGGTATGTACTAAGCTATTTGGGGAGGTAGTAGTAGTAGTATCTATTATTGGGTGATGAAGTATGATGAAGTACATAGCTTGGTATTCTTGGGTGGCTGCTGCTCGATCTCACATAATGTCCGCTAGATGTACATGCCACTGCGAGGATTTTGACCACTGTATGGAGTTGTAAATCGAGTACACTACTTTTATCATCTAGTGAACCGTACATACATGGACCATGTGTAACTACATAGTAGAGTACATCGTGTAGAGTACGTGACCGTTCTAATCATGAAGAAAGAGAAAAGAAAATTCGTGACAAAGAAAAAAGACATCATTGCTGGAGGGAGTAAAAACTCGTATGCAGATCTACATGAAACTCTTTACTGAATGAAAAGATTTGTAGAAGTGAAGGAAAAAATTAACGAGATGAACTATGCAGCAGAAAATTATACTGGAAAAAAAAATGTTACAAAGGAAAAGAAAAAAAGGCGGAATCTACGCCCTGGTGCGGCTGCGGCTGCGGATACGCTTGAGGGCGAAGTACGCCATGGTTTTGTCGACAACCAGGACTGTGAGTGACTCTGTTAGTTTTTTGTGCTAGGTTTTGAAGAAAGGGAGTAGTTGACTTACCAAAGATCATGATGAAGCAAACTGTGGGAATCGGCCACGGACCGCCCCACATGAAGTTGATATAGCTATCACGCTTGACGGGGTTGAAATACAAGCCCAACATCGAAATGAATGTCAAGCTTGCTGCGAACCTCAGGCCAATGGAGACATAATCAAAGACATCCATGTGTCTCCTGACAATGATTGCAAATACTCCATACAGGAGAAACACAACAGCCAGGGCGATAAAGAAGTACTGGAACACAAGGTCAAAGACCCTCAACATTGCGGTCAGCTGTTGGGTACTATCGGTCTCTTTCGGTGCCTTGATTCCATAGTACTCGCCAAGGCCTGTGTACGCGTCAAAGAGGATTGTGTGAAGGTATGACTCGTACTCGACAGAGGGGTTTGGTGCTGCTTCCATGGCGTCAATTGTGGACAGGATTTTTGAGTAGCCCTTCAGAACCGACTTCGAAGTGCCGTCTTCGTAAATGATTTCGAAGATTTCGCGGAAATATTCGGCAAGGCCTGTGGAAGTCAAAGGTTCGAGTAGAGTTACGGTGGCACCGATATCACTTGCGAGTAGGTTAAAGGATTGCATAGTTGTAAGCTGGCGCAGACCTTCGACGACGAGAACAAGGGAAAGATGGAAGGGGAAGTGCAGCATGGCCCAAATCTGTTGCCTGATGGTGCCATAGTGAATATCGCGAGGAGTGTAGTCGAAATAGAACATCCAGAAAAGATACTAGTTATTCGTTTAGCCAATATACAAAAAAATAACGCTTGATATGGAAGGTAAAACTTACGATGACGCAAAGTGCAGCAGCGACGACTCCAAAGCTCGACTTTGTCCATCCAAACCCTTTAACGACGGCATTGATGGCTTTCAGCATGACAATAATACCCTCTCCAAGAATAATGAGTGTCAACAGTCCCATGCGCTCTACCAAATGCGTCTTCTTAAAGCTTACGGACTTCCAAACGCTCGATGTTATGATAGTTGCAGCAATCTCGAATGCGGCCATCGCATACCAGCCCAGGTACGACTTCTTCTTCGTGGCCTCCTGGAAACCCCAAAACATCTAGACGTTTCACAGTCAGCATCCGTCCAGCCTCAACATAAAAGAAAATCACTCACTCCCAAATATACACCAGCCGAAATGAACATCACAATCGCATGGATCGCAGTTGGAATTACTGCCTTTCTCCTAGAACGCCCATAGACCATGATCACGATATACTGAATCCCAAGGACGATTCTCGAAAACATGAGTGTCAGTGTCATCGTCTTCAGTGATCTCACACTGTAAACGTCGTCAGGACTAAAAGGATCCCAATCAGTTGAGACAGAAGAGAATGCAGCCATGACAGCGAAATGCATGGCTTTGCAGACGCGCTCATAGACCGAATCAACAGAGAAGCGGACATCCAGAAGAGTAACATGCAACCAGGTAAACCAGAGAATGATGAAAAACAGAATGTAGGATGACAAGTCTGCTCTATAATATTAGTGTCTATATCAGCGGAAAAGAAAATGGGGGGGGGGAACATACTCCTCCATTCAGTGATATACTGAACACCAGTGACAGTAGTCAAATTGGCCACGAAGAAGAGATCATAGAACAGCTCAATCGGAGTGGCTTCTTCAACCTCAATATGCTCCTCAAGAGTCTCAATTGCTGCCTCTACTGCTTGAGCCTCCTCGGGATGCTTGGGGGTTAGTGCGTAATTCGCTCCCTCAGCATGATGCCCATGAGGATGCTCATATTTGGTGAAAGGGTCAGCAATCCAAGAGAGGAGCTGCGACTCCCTCATGTGGATGATGCCCCTAAATTCCTTTTTTAGCTATTTGATGATTGAGATAAAGATATAGAGAGAAAACTTACTCTCTACTTAGTGGAGGCAACATGATTCTAGCTTTTCAGTGCTTTGCGCCACCTAATTCTAGAAATATATTTGGTTGTGTAGATGTACTTCACGAAAGAAATCCCACACAGAAGTTCAATCTCGTGGTGTATGAGATTCAATGATGATGTTGTTGTTGAGATGTTGTTGATGATGTGAGGTGAGGTGTACCGGAGAGAGAGAGGGTTGGTCGACTTTATACGCGGGAAGCTAAGCTTTCGCCCGCACAACCAAGTCACAGTTTTTGTTGTTCCGAAACCCCACTAATCTTATCTGGGCCGCACTGCTTGGTCACTCCTCCCTCCCTTTCCCTTCCTTTCTTCCTTTCTTCCCTCTGTCAAGCTACACGGCTCAGCCCTATTCCCTTGTCTTTGGGGGTTGGAGTAACTGTGTATATGAGCGTTATAGCTCCCACGTGTTGATTGATGGTGGGAGAGAGTAATCGTGAATAGAATAGCAGATGTCAGGGTTACGGGCCTGGGCTAAAGCTTGTTTCGAGGTTTCAGCCCCTTATTGCTGGCATTTATAGAACTACGTTACGGATGTTTGAAGGCTCATGTAAGGATTATACAATGCGTAACTAGAAAAACCGAGATCTGGTGGTGGTGGTGGGTAGGTAGGTATGCTGTGCCTACTTTGTCCAGGGTCTTTTGTAAACGCCAGCACCATGCATAGAGGCGAGCATTGGCAAACAGACACAAGCATTGGCGTATCGGACACTAAGTGTGGACTGGGTATATGATCATCCCTCCAAGTCCCGATAATAACATCAGCATCCTTGCATCTACCTGTACCTAGGTACGGTGTCGGACAGCCAAAACCAGCCGGCTAGAGCAACCACCGACTCCCCTTCACCCCATCGACTTTCAACAACGCAACACTTGTCCAGAAATAATGTTCTTTTGTAAAATGGGTCTAATCATGGTTTTAAACATCCCCATAAAAGGGGATTTAAAATAATTAAGAACTGGCTGCACTATGACCTCTCAAATATTTGGTGCAATCTGCCCGAAAAAAACATAGGTGTGAAATAATAACTTTAATAGCTTTATGCCAAGGCGGCCACATTAATTTGGGATAATTCTTACCATATTTTGATAATTAGATGATCATTATTACCCGATTAGGACTAGTTTCTGGCTTGAAAAGAACATGAGGGTTGATTTTGACTGTCCGGCGCCGACCATGAGGCCACTAATGTCAAGTAAATAAACAAATTTGACATTATGGGTGTAGGAATAAACGTATCAGACCCTTTCACACCTTCGTTCCAAGCTATTGCACTCCCGATGTATTCACCCATCCAATGCTACTGTCGTTGCAAGGATCAAACCGGTAAGTTACGGCAGGAGTATTCGTATTTCAGCAGTTCTGACCACACCTACTGGGCGCATACGTACTCTACCGTTGCCGGTGCACTTATGTGTCTAAGAAAGTGCACTTCTGGCCAATTGATAACATATACCAGCCCCACGGTAATCATAGCAGACAAGCTTTTCGAGGAAGCGATGTGCTCACTTCAGCCTCACCGGCAGGTATGTGTTGGCAGGCACCGAGACGGTGTACTCTACCATCTGATGATAGATGAGGGCCTTCGAGAAGGGCAAATGTACCTACATGATGGTTTTCTCTCACCAAGATACTTGTATGTAGAAGCTAGAAATTAAAGTACACACATACATACATGTAGTGTAAAAGTAAGTATATGTAGTTTAAAAACGCCGTGCAGGGACATACGTCAACAATATTGCGAAATGGTTCACGCAGTCGCAGATGCTTGGACAAAAAGGATTGTCTCAGGTTGCGGGTGGTAAGTATCTGGACAGTCCTACCGAGCCCGATTTGGGGTACTGGGCAAGCTGCACCAACTTGCATCTCGCGAAACGACTCACTACTCTAGATCATCAGCTCTCACTCGATTAGCTAATCAATTCTTAACCTATTGGAAAGGTATGGGCTTGGCAACTTCATAGATCACGTCTCTACATACGACATAGAGCGCGAGATAACTCTTGAATCCCACAAGTCTAAACATAAGAGCCGATTACTCCGCACCGATGCAACCACACGCTAGAGCTGACTCACCGAGTTTGCATCTGCTCAATAGATTAGTAACCGCGGGATAATCGGGTAATTATGCCCGTCCGGCGGCTACTGTCCAATCAGTGTATGCAGCACCCAACGTTCAATCTGCACGTGGCTGAGCCTTCCCATCCCCATCCTCCTCATTTACTGTACAGTCTTTTACCGTCTCTTGAGGAATACTGCCAGTTGACCAACAGGGGACTTTGGGCCAATAGAAATTAAAAGGACCGGAGATCTCGTAGCTTGGCAGTTGCTTGACTGTTTCTTTCCATACTTGGAATCCCTGTTCGTCAAGTGGCAGTATTCGTCAAGAGACGGTAAAAGACTGTAGGTACATATCTCCATACACGTTTTCTTCAGGAGATGGGGTAAGTCATAATTATGTAGATTATGAAAGATATACATATTCTACACAACTGACAGGGGCAGGGGATGGCTCATGCTCAAACCAATAAAATACAGCTATCAGCTGCAGACGATCAAAGGGTATTTTAGGTTCTTACTGGTGTCCTGCTTCTTGGTGATACCTGGATGTTTGACTTTCCCAGTGGTCAGTTAAAACATATGCGAACCACCATAGCCTTCAAGTGCCGAACTACCCGAAGGGTCAAGCCAATGCACCTCCTGTAAAGAATAACGTAGAGAAATCTAGAGCGTATGTACGTGTGTGGCTGAGTCCGATCCTAGCATATGCTTTCAAGCTCATGATCTGATACACCTCTACTCCAAAACTATCAAGTCGAGGGTTATCGTAGTGACGCAAGCGCGTCCTTGGCAGGTATCTACGCGGTTACAGAAACTACTCCACCTTTCCGCAACGAACTTCATCAAAGAAGACGGAGTACGGGGTTTTGGCACCTCACCGAGTGTCGTCGGACTCTCTATCGGATATCACGGAATCAAGGGCTTGGCTATTTTTGGCATGGATTTTGCGCGCCTGGCCGGTCGATTGGTCGGCACCGCGTTGTATATCGAGATCTGCTCTGTTCCATAATTGCGGGGTTTATTATTTCGACTAACAGTGGGACCCCATTTTTGGTCGGTTAGGCAGATCTGAATCTTACGGATCTTTTAACTACATGTAGTGGCTCATGATGGCTTCAGGACCTGGCTTAGTGCTCGAACGCGGGGCGGGGGTTTCCATTTACACAAAAGTATGACCCTCAGAGGAAATTGGGGGGTCGCTCCTGGGGAAGACAAACTACGCCAAAACTGAACTTCTTGGTGCGGGACACCAGCGTGCAACACCACAGATACCCTCAGCTTCCCCACGCAACCGTGTCTAAGTACATGAAATCCCGCGGTAGGCAATGAATCAGCCTGTGAAATATCTTCCTGGAATTAGAATTACACTCCTCGCATCGGTTCAGACATCCATTCGGCCTATTTTACCTTCCGCGGGAAAGGGACAGATACTCTGACTCGAGTGCTGGATCGTGACACAACACTTTTCTCTTCTCTTTTTCATATCCCGTGTGAGGTGCAGTCGATTATCCATGGAAGCTGGTGCCTAGGGCTGAATCTATCTTCCGACATCGAACGGTCTAGGATGAGTAAATTACTAGGACACATTGCCAGAAGTCTTCAGCTTCATGGTGGGGGCCAAAAGCTGGGTGTCCGTGATATTGAGTTGGAGGTATTAGGCTTGATATTGCCGTTTGATATGAAACTGGCTTGGGTAGCTGCATGTAGTTCTGTAAGTTACATCATTATAGTAATGGGTTACGAACGAGGATACTACATGTACTCGTTGATAGTAGTACCAGCACTGCCCTGCCATAACAATTAAGATAAGCTTAACCATAACCACACAATTGCCACAATTACGGCTAATACAAATTTTAAAATTTTCTGAATCATAATTCTTAAGGCCTAGTGCAGTACTGATTCAACTCCACAGGGCTGAAGATCGCATTCGATATGTTAATCACTATGCTAAGCTTTTAGCAGCACCTGACATGACAGCTAACTGGGTGGGTATTTTGTGGGATTAAGCATATTTCTAACTTTAATTCGCGAGTGTGAAAGAGAAGAGTCAGATTAATTTGTTGTATTCCATGGCTCTATACATGTTTTGGATGGATTGATCATGAGAGTTGAGGATTGACTCGCACACGAAATTACGGGTAAGTACGTAACTTCTACCCTCAATCCCATAGCCTAAGCTAAAGAGCAATGTTTTCATTTATATACAACCTAACAACCGCTCCCATGCGCTACTATAGAAACGTTTAGGCTCAGCCTCGAAGACTATCGCCAGAGATCTCGTGTACAAATGTAACTCAACCAACAATCACACGAACCCCATGAGTCAAGAAGCCTGTTTCAGAAATATTAGAGGATCATGGAGTTGGGGGTTTGTCGGGTCCCGTCTTCTCGGCTTGATGCATGATATGTGGCTCGATAATAATAATCGTTCCAATTCCCTCACTGACTGTGCTTCTAGCTTTGAACGATAATAGCTATTGCTATATATTAGGCGTGACATGTAAATGGAGTAGTACTCTTCGAACCCACGACTATCTTTGTCCTGGGGTAGTACCCTTGCTAAGATAACAAATTGGATGTATAGAAATATATGATGTAGGTACACACCAGCCCCCGATAGCAGAAATGAAATGATTCCACACACACCAGCCCCGATAGCCCCGGGATATTACCTTTTGAGGCATATAGCACAGCATAACGTATATCACAAAAAAGTTGCAATGCACTCTTTGCTCGTAGGGCTGTAAACATGGAATTAACTATAACTCAACCCCACTGTAGCCCATACCATAATTAAACGAGCTTATTTGCATATATAGCAGCTAGTCTATTGTAGCGACATTACAAGCATTGAACCCACCTACCACATAAAGTCTAGTGAATCTGCGGGGCTAAAGGGAACTTTGATGAATTATACTCTTTTTAGAAGATTCAGCACTTTCAGCTACAGTTGGCGAACTATTTTGGGTAGAAGCGGTCAATATATATTATTGCACTTAAGTCTAGGCAGAAGCGCCAGGCATTGATTGTAAGTATTTGTCAATCACAGCAGATTAAGTTGAATGATTAGTTAACATTGCAGATTTGTCATGATCAACTGAATCTAACACACTTAGACTGTAATTGGCCAACAGTTTTTGGATGATGTAAGACATGGGATGCATAGATCTATAGATACAACTCCAAATCCTAAAGTCGAATTTTAGAATACCTGATATTTTTCCTGCGGAATTCCAGAAGTTCTAGTATGTAAGTAGTACTAGTAAGGGGCTGCGAGCACTATGGATATAAACACGCCATAACTTACAACGACGCACATGTTGAATATTACTCTACTTACATGTAGTCACATTGTTAATGCATCTACGAAAATTTAAAATTAAAGTATTGCGAGTAAGGGTAAGCGAAAATTCACGTTGCAACCAAAATTAGTATGAGAGTGCAAATTCAGGTGCTTGTTTCTCCACAGCCACAAGGGTATAGAGCAAAAGAATATTAGATATGAATTCCCCGGCAGTGATAGTATCTATGGCCCAAATGTCATTTTTGGACTTGTATGGTTACTATCGATCTATGCCCACCTACTTGTGGTAACGAGCAATACTAGCGCTCATATAATATCCATAAAACTCAAATGCTTGAAATTTATAACATAGATGTACTCGGCTACGCTAAGACCGCGTCTCCTCTCTCTAAAGCACTGGTTTAGCGTGTTTTCGCTGCCAAGGATCTCTGTATTGTAGTGATTACTAAGTATGAAATATTGGCGATTTCAAATCAAAAGAATATGGGAGAAAGAAAGGGCGATAGGGCATCAAGAGATGCCTTCTGGTAGAATAAGAGAAGAACACAAGTAGTTAAAGAAATCAGAAGGAGAGAAAGATATCATATCAAACCTCAAAATCGAAAGAACATCACTCAAAATTCAAACACCCCTTCTCAATCCAAAAATGAAAACTATCGTAGTTCTTGGAGCCACCGGCGAGCAGGTAAGATCCTAAAATCTGCCTTGTCAATGCCAGTTGGTTTGAGTAAACACCGTAAGCAAAGTCTCACAATAAACAGGGCACAGCTATAATAAACACCCTCCTTACCCACCGCACTTACAGAATACGTGCTGTAACTCGAAATCTTACATCCCCCAAAGCACTCGCTCTATCCCAACAGGGCATCGAAGTTGTTCCAGGTGACTTCGACGATAAAGCTTCTCTCATCAGTGCTTTCCAAGTATGAATATCCCCAGCATTGCTAGAGAGAGAAACGGAGACAGCTATTAACTAACCAACAGGATGCAAGTGCCATCTATGCTGTCACTGACTTCTGGGCTCCCTTCATCGGCGGTCTCAGTGCTTCAGAAGCCCAAGCTCTCGAAACTAGACACGGCAAGAACATCGTGGACGCAGCGCTAGAGATTCCGAATTTGGAGCACTTCATCTGGTAGACATTACAATCGGCGAAGCACAAAGGTGGTGACATTGCGGTCAATTTCGTTGACGGGAAGGATGATGTAGACGAGTACATTAAGAACTCGCCCCTGTTGCCGAAGACCACCTTTTTGTGGATTGGGTTTTATGCGCAGAATCTCCACTGAGCACCGATGATGGTTACCAAGCTTGTGAGTGCTATCCACTCCTTTAATTAGAACGCTCGACTAATGGCAAGCAGATTCAAGCTGGGAAAACGACCTATGCCCACCTCTTCCCAACACCGCCTGATACCCCAATCCCGTTCATCGAGCACAAGAGCGATCTGGGACCAATCGTTTATGCGATTCTGGTACAGCCAGAAAAGACTTTGAATGGGAGATACGTCTTGGCCACGAACGGTGAGGACCTCACTGTTGGACAGATGTTTAAACTGTGGGCAGAGTCTGCGGGCGTACAGGATTTAAAGTATATCCAAATAACCGAGGAAGCGTATGGAGTACTACATGGAAAGACAGGGCTGGATATTAGTAGTGAGTTAGAGGTATGGAGCAAGTATGGTGCAGGCTCAGGCAATGTAGAGGCTTTGTTGCCAAGTGATTTGGGCCTAAATAGGGGTAAGAGTATTAGAGAATATTTGGAGTCGCAGGATTGGAGTGGATACTTGTAAGCTTAATTTAAGGGGGATAAACTTGATGTACAGGTACTAGCGCTCACATGGGCACTAGCTGCAGCGCAGCTAGGCAGCCGTGTAGGAAGAAAATGATAAAATACATACATGTATGCATATACTACCCAGGCATCCGAGTGATACGACGGATGATGATTCTATAACTGATATATAACTGCATAGTTTTATGAGATGGCAAGTAATCAGATATTATCCGGATAATGATATATAGCAATATCTGTGCGATGTCGACTTTTGAACCACGCTCGCGATCGTAATTTGCCATCAAGATTCAATAATGATTATTTTAATATCCTATAAACGTGAAGAAGATCACACGCGAGGTTTAATCGATAGTAGTGAAGCTGACATTTGCCCTACATAGTTTCGCACTCCATACCTTAAAAGGAGAGGACTCATTTGACCCGAGTGATGTATTGTGATTCTAATTATAAACAGCCCAAGTGGCCACGTACGTGAGCAAGAATGTACATAGTGGGTTTCCCCTACAACCCGTATACAATAAGTACTAAAATTAAGCATACACTCTTCTAAATTTGAACAATTTGAACAATTTGTACATGTAGTAAGTACGAGTATTTGAATGTGAATATCGAGTGCGATAAACGAAAGGATTCCTGTACGGCTTCTATGATGATTGTTCCTCCTTAATGGATATCCGCCTGCACTCTACTGCATGCAAAGCCAATAAAATATATACTACAGCACTATGCAGTGAAAATAAGTATACATGCTACCTAACTCCGTCCTCCTGACTAAATTCTATAGTTCAACACGCTTGCACTGTATATGTACTAGTGAATGGCACTGTATTTCTTCAACCATGGCCATACATATAATAGATGCAGCGCCCCTCGTAAACCCATTTCAGTCACCAGTTCTTCTCACACACCCCCATGAACACAACTATTTTTACTCGAAATGGCGATTCCAAACATCCACCTCTACGTCCTCCTCCTTATATTCACGAACAGCCTCTCACTAGCAGTCTTACACATCTTTTATACTGACCCTGCTGGTATAGTTCTCGGCTTCCGTTGCCAGAAGGCCTTACTGAACACCCTTTGGTTGATAGTGTCGGTTCTAATCGTTATATATAGTTGCGGGGGCCTGGGCGTTTCTGCCTGGAGATTAAGATATGCTTACAAATTAGTAGGCGTAGAGAAGTATCAGTTTCCCCCGCAGCGGTCAAACACAACTTTCAGATCCATAACACCTACATGTCCGAGCATATGCCCGACTCATAGAAGTCTTTCCCTTAATTCTGCTTGGAACTCTTCGGACACATGTGTGAACAGATTGGGGCCTACAACTCCAGGATTTTACCCTTCGGTTTCGCCAGTAGGATCGCAAAGAAAACATAGGCCTACCTGTAATATCCAGATAACATCAGGAGGCCCGATCCCTCTTATTTCCCCTAACTCAGAGGGAAGATATTCTATGAACAGTACAGATTCTAACCCACAAAATACGGCCTACGAGCCTACAGCGGTACAGATCCCAGAATCTTGCCACTTCCCGTCAAGCAACCGGCTGTCAACTGGTGTATACGGAGCCTCTACAGTGCCATTTTATATGTCAGCCTCTGACGTTTGCCCATTACCGGAACCCAGGAGACCAGAACAGGCTTGGTCCAAATCTTCACACGAGTGGTTGCAGGGAAGTGCTGATAATTCACGGCAAAGTGAGGAAGACGATAGCCCCGGGCGGTTTGACCAGGACACTATCAACAGTGAGCCAGAGTTTAGGGAAACATGTATTTATGATGCAGATGGCAAAAAGATCACACTTTATGGGGTGTGATATGCTTTTGCCACGCGTATGCGGCTTCGTCGGTTGGATAAATTTGCAGGGGACGAATATACATTTATTGGAAATAGTTTACAGAACCTGGGGGGGTTTTATAGCAGTATCAGGAGGAGAAGAGAGACATATTGAAATTATTATCATGAAACATATTCCATGGTTGCACCACCGCTTTTGCGACATCAATATAGAACTGATTAATTATATAATTAACTCCACACGTTGATAAACCCAGGTATTATAACTAAAAACGCGAATTGATCTCGAATTATCATCAACTAAAAGTCTCATTAACTCAAATCCATCCCACTAACATCACCTAAAAGCTCATGACCAGCCATCAAGTCTCCATCACCCAGCATACCCATATCATCTCCCATTCCCAAATCAACACCTCCAAGGTCAACCTCGACGTCCCCAACTCCTCCATCACCCACGTCTCCGTTTCCTGGGGCCCCGCCAACATTTGCGTGGTGATGCTGTACCGGGCTAAATGGTGACATTTGCCTCTCTACTCTTCTAAGTACGCCCCTCACAGCCTCAGCCCTGATGCCATCGCTCCCTCGCTCTTCAGCCTCCTCAGCTCGCAGTGATTCCAGAAGCCCCATTCGCCCGCTACCGCTATCCTCACTAGAGTTCGCCCCGACGGAAAGAATGAAGGATACTGCGACGTCCTCCGCGTATCCGGGTGCGGTACCCTGCATTCGACATTTGACAACCTCGCCGATAATTCCCTGGACTACGATCTTTGCACCAAGAACCCTCCATGCCGAAAGGATGAGGCGGTGGGTGTACGTCGTTGCTGGGCGAGCAACATTGATATCGCCTTGGCTTACGCTCCAGGTGACAAGATTCTGAAAGGCGATTCCAAGACTCTGGATCAAGCCCCCGCCACCTGCATGGTGTGTCCAGTTCTCCAGTTCTTCTCTTGTTGCAGTACCAGCTCGTTTGAATGACGTGTATGGTTGAAGATTGGACACAATCTGCTCCACAACCTTTTGCTGAGGTCCCGTAGTCCCACGGCGGAGAAGTTCCCGAAGAACACGATCTATTTGTCGGGCAGAGATTGAAACGACTGTACGGTGGACCTCTGCCGCCTCGGGAGAGATATTTGGGACAATCAGAAGAGAGTGGAGTATCTGCAGAGGAGTCGTGATATCCTCATGATGTTCCCAGAGATGATTGCCCAGCCAACCTAATCCACAAACTAGGGATGGGAGTAGAAAGGGCTCAAGAAGAAACGCAAAACCTTCTTTTAGTGTATCTAGCTCGAGTACACCCTTTTCACATGCTAACACACTCTGCATGAATAATGTGGGGACGAGTCTATAAAAATCTTGCGGCCTACAAGAGCTCATAAGACCATCGGAGATGCCTTCGCCCTCAAAGATCTCACGGATCCATCCTCCAAGCTGTGCATGCTTGTCTGAGCTTCCTAGATTCTCAATGCGTTGAGAGGTTGCCTCTCTAGGTAGTAATTGCGGAATAAAAGAATCATTATTCGGAGTTCCAGAGGCAGAGAGATCAGAGAGAGAAAGGTCGTAACGATGTATTATTGTTAGGACAAGAAGTAAAATGTAGCCGAACTCCTCATATATTGGTTGATATTCACCTGGACACAATTAGAACAGATTCTCAGGCAATACCATGGGGTTCTTACTTTGATCCTCCTCATATCGCCATGTATCCAATAACTCACATAGCGGCTCCAGAAGATACTCTGGTTTGACAAAAAGCAACATAACATCCAAGCTACTAGTCTTCCTTGTTAAAAAGGAGCATACATTCCTCAGGGGCATTGTTTCCTTTTGCTCACACATGCCTCTCATTATCTCTACTACAGTTCTCACCACCGCTCCGGAGTTTCCTTCAACTCCTTCGATCTCCTCTAGTAATCTCTCGACTCGGTCTGGGTCTTGAGTGCACGAGTTTACAAGATCGCTAAGCTCGTATCTTCCTGTCATTGGCAACGCTCCGAGCGGTAGCTCTCCGAGAATACCCTGGATGTCTTCTTCGCCGACTACACCGTGAAGCGCACAGGCAAATAAAAGCTCTTGACGGAGGTCAACCGGAAGATCGCCATTGAAAAGCATGTCTGGATTTGTGGCGGTGTTATGGGCATACGGATCGAAAGAAGAAGGAGTCAGGTTGGTAAGGGTAGATTGGTCAGTCCGGAGAAGCGCTTGGCTGAGGGCGAACGATGCAGTAAGAGTTGATGGAGAGAGACGAGCAAGTATGATGGGAACCTTATTAGTAAGGAAGGAACGATGAAGAAACAAAGTGCTCGCAGGTTCGTTACGGAGGATTGCATTGGAGATGGTATCGAGGACGGCAGTAACAAAGTCTGTAAGGAGAGTGCTTGTATCCTCCCTGTATCTGCTGTACAAATACCCAATTACTGCCTCGTCATCCACCTGTGGCCTTCCAACTAACTATAGACCGCCTCATAAAATGTTAGGTAAGTCATCATCTTCCACAATTGGAAAGCTCAAAAGAGCCAATAGACGCACCAGCGCATTGAGCCACACGAACAGGCCTCCTCTCGACCACACAACGGGCCCTCCTGCGCCGTCTCCACCGTCTCCCATACCCATCATCATCCCATCTATTTCGTTCCCAGCGGCATTCTTACTGGCCCGCCCGCCGGATCGATTCTGTCTGGGGGACTGGTTTTGCCTGAACAAACTCTCCATTCTTTGTGCGAGACTCGGATTTTGCGCCTGAATATACTGCGTAAACAGACTCAAACTAGTTTGGAACATCAGCCTTCTCTCCTTTCTACCTCCCTCCCCGAGTATTCTTCCAGCGTCCACGTTCCCGCCAAGCGCAATCACCACCTCTGCTAATGCCTCTCTCCGGCCTTTGCCCTCACTTCCAGAGCCCGGCATCCCTTCTACGTTATCTCCTGTTCCGGCATCATCCAACATCATTCCTGTTCCTGATACGGCCATAACAGCCTCCATCCAGTCGCTCAGCACTTGCACTGCGCTCCATACCGAGTCAGAAGATTTCGGCTTTTTGGTTGCCAGCACAGTTGCTAGGACAAGAAATAGATCCGTTTCCAGAACTTCTCTATTTCCTCCATTATTAGTAGCATCAGGCGATGTAGATGCTGTGGACCTGGCGGGAGAGGTCCGTAGTAGAGCGAGGAGGATATCCGCAAGGCTGACTATGTCCTTCTCAACAAGGCGCTGGACATATTGCAGGTGCAATGGGTCAACGATTGCAGTGAGCTGGGGTGATAGTATCTCTGTACATATCGCGGGAGGTTGCAAAGGTGCTTTAAGGAGGAGCTGAGTAGTATATTTCTCGAACTGGTAGAAGAGCAAAGTATCAGCTTGACCGCTAAAGCGGAGAATCGAGTAGGGGTATACAGACGCGCTCCACATCCGATCGCTTCAGCAAACATTTTTGAAAGAGCTTCTGAAATGTTTGAGAATGGGGATTTGTGTTGAAGGAGGAAGAGCTTGCCATGGCGCGTTGGATGAGCCGTTCAAGGCTAAGTCGGTGTAAGACCTCGTCTTTCACTAAGGTAAGGTACTTCATATTCTAATGTTACAGTATATTCTGTCCCACCAAGGTTCTGATCCTGGAGATGTAACATGCATAACTACATGTAGACTAGGTAGATGTACATACATGTATGTACCTGCCCTGCTTGGCAATGATACATTAGTTTTAGTTTAGAAAACCCCACACTCTATAGTCGCACCTCGGATTAAGGAACCCTAGTGTACGGAATATCTGCCCTAAGGAAATAGATTTGAGGATTGTTTTCCGCCCTAGAAAAACAAAAATACCTTGATATGTACATATAAGGAAAAATTGGCTATAGTGTAGTGGATGAAATCTCCAGATCGGACACACCCTGTTCCCATACAACTGAACCTGCTGTAAGGAATTATCACTCCAAATTTGTGATTAATGTCAATCGCTGGTGATAATGAGGCGTTCGCTTCTAATTTTTTCCTGCTAGACTACATGTACTTGCCTACATGCACTACATACCTTTACTGGCAACGTAGGCTTTTCGCTATTTGCGTGTACAGTATCTGGTAAAATTATTGCGAAAGTGGGTTCTCCGTGACCCGATAGTCCCATTGGCTCTTGAAACGACCTTTGCTGTGAGCACGGACCAAGAAATCCACTCCTTTAGCGCTGACTTTCGCATTAATTCTACCAGACTCTGTATCTACCGTCAAAAGACTAGCGAGGACTGTCAAACTGAGAGAAGAAATCTAACCCTTTTTAGTGTGGCTGAGTGGCCGAGGGACGCTAGTCTATATCAGGAACTGTAACACATAAGTACCGTAGCACTGCCGCATTCAAATTCTTGTAGTATTGGAATAACCCTAACCCCATGGCAACCAGCCCTCTCTGTCGCGCTAGTGAGCGCTTAGCTAGGATTATGCGCTCGTGTCACTATGTGTCACGAGAACAATGCACTACCACCCGATTAACAGGATGGCATTGGAGGTGGAATTGACTAGAGGTGGAATTGACTAGAGGTGGCATGTGAGTACATGTATGTACCTACAGTTCACTGTCCAGTTATACGGGATTCTCGAACACCCACATACCCGGTATAAATCAATGTACAGCGCCGGACAGTCAAAATCAACCCTCATGTTCTTTTCAAGCCAGAAACTAGTCCTAATCGGGTAATAATGATCATCTAATTATCCCAATATGGTAAGAATTATCCCAAATTAATGTGGCCGCCTTGGCATAAAGCTATTAAAGTTATTATTTCACACCTATGTTTTTTTCGGGCAGATTGCACCAAATGTTTGAGAGGTCATAGTGCAGCCAGTTCTTAATTATTTTAAATCCCCTTTGATGGGGATGTTTACAACCATGATTAGACCCATTTTACAAAAGATTATTTCTGGACAAGTGTTGCGTTGTTGAAAGTCGATGGGGTGAAGGGGAGTCGGTGGTTGCTCTGGCCGGCTGGTTTTGGCTGTCCGACACCGTACCTACTGGCAAGACGGAAGCCCCCCGGATGAGACAAGAGCTTGAGACAAGGGAAATAAATATGACGCTATGGGGCAGTGATGGGTGTGACATGAAGTTCAACGGCCTTCGAGGTTCTATAGAACTACCTAAACGACATCTGAGATGCACAGATTTACATTACTATAATTATAAGAGGCTAGCGGTGCCGATTTACAAATTCGAACGTGTATCGACTCATGTTGGCCAAATAGCCGCACGCGCAAGCTGCTGTAGGGCCCGTGATTTTCTTTCTTTCATTTAATTCGTTAAGCGATATTGTGGGGGCCAGTGGCAGATATCTAGATGGTATTTAAGGTTATATATTCCTGGTGTCTTCGACCTTCAGCTCAGCTCGTTTACCTATATCTCTTCTACAATACCTCCGCATACTCTTTGAAGTTGCTTTCACCTGCGGGCGCGTCTACCCAAATATCTTCGCCGCCGATATATATACAACATAACCAGCTATAGCTATTGCTTCCTGGAGCTCTTTAAAAATCTATCCTAGCTCCTTCGATAAACATTTTCTTTATTTTCACTTCTTCTCCTCTCAGTCTATCATCCTTCGCCATTCAAATATTCATACTTTGCTGGGGTTGGCACCATTCTCTCCTCTAGCATTTAGGTTTCCCGGTCGCCCATCATTTTTTATCCATAAGAGCTTAAGTTATAGCAATAGCGAACCCGGAATCTAAGTCTGCGATCCCAACATCAGGATCATGCATCCTCCAGCAGCTACAGCTCATCTCTCACTAGAAGCAACTTGCAGACGCCATCCCACACTGTCCTGATCCGTCCGAAGTCCCTCACTAGGTGCTTGTGGAGTGGCCTCTATGCGCGCCCCCCCCGCTAAATGGATCTCCCCGGCAACCTACCTTCTTTCTCCTAAAGAAACGCCTCGTCGAAAGAATCGCACGGCCAATAGGCTCATTAATTCTTGCAAGAAGCTCACAAAAGAATGGTTTGCACATAAGAAAATAAGCCCCGAAAATATTCCCAACGCAAGACCCAACCGAAAATGTAAAGAATATCTCAATTGCTTCGTACTTCTCCTTGTTTGGGAGAAAGATAACATCGTGGGAGCATCGAAGGAGGCAGAATCGCTGAAGAAAGAGCTCGAGGAGAGATGGGGATTCTGGGGCGACATTTATAGGATTCCTTTTATCGAAGAGAAAGGCCGACAGCAAGCGGTTGTGGAGAAAGCTGTGGAATTGTTCATCGAAAATAGGGATTCAAAATCGAATTTACTACTTGTGCATTATGGAGGTCATGGAGGCATGAACGATTCAAATGAGTATGTCCTACAACAACACAATGACGGCAGACCCCACGAAGTAAAGCTCAAGCCAATTCGAGAGCGTCTCAGAGAATGCGAAGCTGATGTTGGAATGGTTCTCGATGCCTGTTATTCGGAGGCTGGTGTGTTTCGAAGTTTTGAACCGCACACGGTGGAAATACTGGCAGCGTGTTCAGCGGAGTGCAAAACCGCAGGCGTATCACCAGAGTCCTTCACCAACGGGATCCTCAGAGTACTGCGCCACCAAAACGAGGCTTTAAACATTTATGAACTATCGGAGGAGCTTCAGAGATTGGCCTACCCTACGTTGGGAACCCAGCCAAAACATCATCTACTTAAGCTGAGTGTGTGGGGCTCAATTAAGTTGCGGCCAGGTGTTGGAGGACCGATCCGGTACCCCAATATTAATAGTCTTTTTTCTTGTTAAGGTATGTGATATACAGATGGTTCAGGGCTTGTTAAGCAAACTATTTCTCTAACATAATATTGCTAGTGATAGGCCGTTATGGACCGATAAAACACAACCCACCCATGCATATGACGACGTCTCTTCTTTCCCTATGTTATATTATACTATCAGCCATTTCTCTAACTGTACATACATGTATGTACAGCGCAATGCCATAAATCATCGGAAGGTGTGAGGTCGCAACGCCGCAACGCCTGACTGCAATGCCTGACCACAAATTTTTTCCACAACCACCGATGGCGCCCAGAGACAGTGTACCCCATGCTCCTACAACTATTAAGTTTGTAAAGGTATACACCACAACCCTTACAACTCAGCGGTTGAAGGAGTGTGGGGTAGATGTTCTGGAGGACTAGCTTACCTATTCCCCTGACTTGAATCCCATTGAACATGTTTGAGTACATCTCAAGAAGCTTTACCATCAACACTACCCCCATTTGGGATATGATACTAGATCACCTTAAGTATTGAAGCCCCTTGTGGAGGAAGGTCTAATTCATTGCTAGGAACTATTACCTGATGATTTATTCTCTAGAGATTTGGTAGCTAGTTGGGGGCATGCCTAGGAGAATGGAGCTGTTATAAAGGCAAGGGATTGGTATACAAGATATTAAATGTCCAATTATCTTTATTTAGCTACTATTGAACAACTATACAAAAAAACAGCTCTCCAAAGGGTCAATTGTGGTTGCTGGGTGGGTAGTCATGATGGGGCGTGAGGTGTCGAAACCCGTTGCTACGCCGCCCCATACGACATATACAGCTCATCTAGCTATTAACTATAAATTTTCTTATATGTGTTTTTTTTTCTCTTGTATTAAATTTTTCTTATGGGCCGGGAGTATTTAGACGGCCAGACATGATACTTTAATATATTTTTATGTATGTAGAACGAAAAATGACACTTTGATCTATTCTTCGCTTGTTCCCGTAAAACCGAGACATTATATTAGCTACATTTGGGTTCACACGTCAACATGGCGATATTCAAGAAATTTAGCTCCCTAGTACAGAGTCTGGAGACATCAGATCAATAGGCCTAGGCCTAGGACGTAGATCAGGTGCCGGAAGGGCCATAGAAGATGCCTTTCAAACCCGGAGGGAGGCGTAAGGAGCTGAAAGGGGTGCACGTGGCCAATTAAAGGCTTCATTGATCAAAGCTCTCCCATATATGCATAATTCAATGTACATGTATTTGCAACTCGCGGTCGCGAGGCGGTACCCCTAGCAGTACGTACTATAAAGCTACATGTACTCATTGAAAGAACGCGCTGGCTTAGAGTGTATTTCTTTAACATATAGCTATAGTTCTTAGTACGTACAAGTAAATACTCGAGCTAATAGCACAGATTTCCCAGTACGAGGAAGATCATATTGAAGCTTAGTGCCTATACGTTTTGACAAGAAAATAATCCGCATAGTACCGTATGTATCTCCGTTTCCTTATTACATCCTTGGGCGGCCGGAGGCCGCACTCCGCTCTTATGATATATACCTTATGCTAGCGAGCAGCGCAGCGTACGTGAATATCGGCCATGATCTAGGGGGCCGAAGCTCCTATCGCTCTTGATTTACACGATTCTATATTGCGAAGCTAGATCGCCTTATATACATATATTCTGTCATTAAGCTACCTATTCGCGGATCCCTAAAGATTACCCTCTGCCGGTAAGTATATGTATATACTGACAACTTACTACATTTCTACTTTGAAGATTTCTATTGCTAGCTGCACACTGGGTGACGGGTGGTTATTTATGATCCAATTACAATTTACCCTTACAGTAGATTTTGCCCCTCTCAATAATATAGCTCCCTCCCGATAATAATCCTAGCTCTCTCGACCCTGCTCTGTCAACCCATAAATACTATGAGTTGCAATATACAGACACCATCTACAGCTATACATGGCCATGGCCAACAGAGACGTAGCAAAGTCGCTTATTATATTGGTCACGTGGAGAGTGGTGAGAGTGCAAAGGATAGCGGATCTTTGAGCACCGCTAGCTCCAAAAGCACGTGAGCAATATATAATATACGACATTGCTAGTATAAATAATATATAGTTATGAAGTACTATATATATTAATTAATAAAGGACTTGAATTTAAAGCGTCAACCACTTACACATGCATCTTATAATTAACTTACTTCCAGATCCCAAAGTAAACTTCAGAATAAATTAATTCCAAAGCTATGTACACTGCAGGAGGCGTGTTGTCATGACGAGGTAGGTTTGCGCTGCTACTGATCATGAAGGCTCAGAGAACCTCGTTAGCTGATCTGATATCTTGGCGTCAAAACGGCTCAGCCTCGCGTCTACTGACCAAAATACTCAGTAGAATCTTGACATTGTGCAAATTCCTTGGCGGAGCTTAACAATGACACGAGGCTACTAAGTCAGATCTGCAGATCTTACACTCGATCGAGCGCGAGTGAACATTTACCAGTACTGATCAATTATATAAACTTGGGTACACAAACCTACATGTAGTACAGAGATATAGATAGAAACGGACAATTAATCATTCAAGGCACTGGCGCTAAGGACTGGTCATGATTTTGCGATCCTCATCGCCGTCTTCTAATATTTAGACCCCTATATAGGATCCTGTACAGCCGCATCCGAAAAGTACTGGCACCCTACTATATTGAGTCGTTCATGAATTGTAGCCCACCAACAACCATGGCACTCGCGCATACTCAACTTATTGATAGGTATGACCGCAATAGAGACATTGCAGCTCTCTCTGGCAATTGCCTCGAATATGAGGGTTGAAAAGCAGAAAGGACTGCCTCGTGAGTTTGGCTTGGAGGTGCTAATACTTTTCAAATGCGGCTGTACGTAGCGTCTGCCAGAAAAGTGGATATTGCCCAAATATTCTTGAATATATTGGTGGTTATTCACAAAACCAATTGCAAGCGAGTGCATATATTCAAGATATTAAGATATTAGTATATGGTCTTCCAACGGCTGATAATTTTGGTTATATATATATATGTACATATGCATATGTACATGTAGTATGTGAACGACATATAGTGAATAGCATCTGACGCATTTAAATGCCAATGTTTTCTCGATACTACATGGTATTTTGTGTCGCTACTAAGAATTATTATATTTGGTCTCTGTATACATGTATATAGCTACAGATTTGTTAGGTGAATATACCAAAACCTACCTTGGCCTAATGCATAAACGCGAGAGCAGTACAGCTGTGAACTACATGTAGTACACGTCGCCAAGCAAAAGTTTGAAGGTTTAAGCACATATAACTCTCTACCACCGGATTTAATGCATCAAGGAAATTCATCAAAAAAATTCGCCTTTTGAGAAAGTCGTTCGAAAGGCATCGTGAAAATCGTTGGGAAATGCAGTAAATTAACTCGTCGGGAAATGAATCAGGAAATGAATCAGGAAATGAATCAGGAAATGAATCAGGAAATACACGATCAGGCAATGGATCTGGGCCCAAACTAGGCTAAAAAATCATTTTTGGAAAAAATCGACTTGAGTTGGGATTGAACTCAGGTCTTGTAGGGTTCTAACCACCTAGGAACCACTAAACTTTGGTTTTGTTATAGATAACATATTGTTAAGTCTTGAAAATCTATAATTTCGGTTACTTTTACCTCGGAAAGTCATCACAAAGTCGTCAGAAAGGTATCAAAAAAGGCATCCCTAAAGGCATCACCAAAAGGCATCAAAAAGGCATCAAAAACGGCATCACTTGATGCTTTTCCAGTGGAAAGGCATCCCTTGATACATTTCCAGTGGAAAGGCATCCCTTGATACATTTCCACTGGAAAGGCATCGAAATGATGTCTTTTCAACAAACGCTTGCTGGAAAGGCATCAAGGTGATGCCTTTCCCAAAACATTACTATGGCAGGATACATCTCCTGATGCATTTACTCCCGTGGTAGAGGCTACATGTAGCGGAAAACAGCTACATGAATATGAATCATATACACACTACTCTACATGTAGTCAGCAGGGCACTGATGAAAGGATCCGTGTCATGGCGTTAACTACATGCTAGGCTGGGAGCTACAGTCGAAGTGATCTGATAATCTGTTCAACGTTTCGTAATTCCCACGACATTCATCCACTAAAGAATCTACAACACTCCCCTAGACCTTTATTAATCATCGATACGCAATTTTAGACAAGATAGGCTGTGATATTACCCTCCCAAAAACACTCAGTTGAATCCATCTCGACTCGTGAGGTATCGCGAATATTCGCGTTTGGACAATGATATCAAAAGAGACGCCATGGATTTCATAAGTATCCCCTCCAAGATCACAACGGCCCGAAAGTCACATTGGCGTTAATTGTATTCTAATCAGCCCATCTATAACATTAATATTTCTGAGAACAGAAATACACATTCTTTAAGACGAATACACCCGCCGCGCGCGTACGACGAGAGTTAGATTTTCCTCGCCTGCCTCATTATTTACGCCCCCAAAAAATCAGCCCTTCATGATTGGTTTTTCTTTCCATCGAGGAAAACAACGGGAATCTCTAGGATACTGAGAAACCGCCATTTTTCTCATGAGACATTTGGAGACCTGTGTGGTAGGTATTAATATTTTTCTATAAACACCGCTCCCATAGCACTTATGCACACGTTACTCACTCTGGGTAGTCACGGTACATATGAGCAGTGGTCGCTGTACATCGGCCTCGATCTAAGCTATTGGAGGTGCAAGTGAGCTAGTTAAGTTTGCCGCGTCGAATACGGGCGTGTGTAGGGGCTTTAGTCATGGTAAGAAACAGCCCAATTGACAGCTAACACTACATGCGTATGCCCCCGACCCAGTTCGAGTTCATCAACTATTTCTCTTAGTTCAACCCCCATGGCCAGTACCGCTAGTCAACTGACGGTACAATTGTACGATCATATTACCGGGACGACCGCAGGTTATCAGTAGGCACAGAATAATGCCGAGGTTTTGCCAATAATGGATTCGCAGGAAAGATGTGTCGTGTCATCGATCTACTACGTATTCATCAATAGCCAAAGGAACCCAAAAACA